TTGCGAAATGCCGCACGTGGTGATTGTAAAGAGATGTTTTTGATCCGACTGTTCATGAAAACTGACCTTCTGCCTTGCTTTTGGCTAGAATAAACAAGAGAAATGTAAATATACTGGCAGAGAGGAAGGTGGCGGAACCTGAACATGATATCACCCCATGAAGATGTGCTGACTCGACTTTGGTTGCAGCTAGAATGTGCCATAAGTATGCGAGCTCCAGTCAAGACATATATGGAACTTAAATGCGCTCCGTTAAAGTGTATCCTTTAACGACGGTCTGGAAACGTTCTTTTGACAAAAATGCCACCGCAGTATCCAGCGTGGCTCCATGCCATTATCAATTCCCAGTCGACTTTTTTGTTTCTCCAACCACACCCTGCAACAAATGGAATAGCCTTTTTCCATCCTTGACGTAATTCCTGTGTTTCCATCATGTGTCCTCGGCTATGAGGTTTTTTGGCTTGGTGTATCTTGGGAGGCGAACGGACCCGCAGCTCCATGCAGGGCGTGCGCCGAGGTTTCGTGGCATGCTCCCGATCCATTTTCCCTTCTTGCTCACTCTCTTCTTCCGTATAGGCTGACTCTGATCTCTGTTCCTCCACGCTTCGGAGGGAGTTCTGCGGAGAGTCGTTAAATTTGAATGGCTGTTGAAGACATGAATAGTGATTCTCTCGTATGTTATTGTCTTCAAAAACCATTCGGGCTGTATCAACTTGACATAGGCCCCCCAAAAAGAGCACCTACTTCGCCAGAGATCTTCTTTTAAGTTGGTCCCATCTGCCCTTGAAGCGCTGGAGGCATTCTGGCTTCAATACATGTGTTGATCAGGTCGAGTCGTACTGAGACTAGAAAAACACAAGCCCCACCGGATTTCCAGATGATCAACAGAACCCAATATGCGGCGGAATGTTCTCTTATAGGAGATTGAAGCAGCATTCACTGGCATTGACTTGTTATTGCCAACGGCCAGAGATGTTACGGCTCTTGTGCAGACGATTCTTCTTCAGAAACAGTCAGTACACTCCTTCAACGCGAACACAACCGTTTCTCGTCTGTGTTTCGAGAATGCAGCGAACAGGGTTCCTGGGTGTTTGGATGTAGTGAGCTAATCAGAGTGCAGCTTGCCGAACGTTGTATTCGTAGCTATCTGGCTAACTAAGGAAGGAAGAAGGAAAGGAAGAAGGTGTGTGGAACAGAGAAGGTAAGGTGTAGCCCATCACCGCCCAGGTCCCGTGATTTTAAGTACTGGGTCTTGAGTGCTGTCCCACATCACAGGGCATGGGGGCAGCTGTGAAGATATAGCCAATAATCACGCTGTTCATCCCAAGTATGCCACATGGTCGTTGGCAAGACGCCTCTGAATTATTCGATCGCTGCTGCACCTGGCGGTCCACCTGAACAGTTCTTCTTCTGGTGGCATTGCTTTATTCAGGAAACTTGTAATTCGTGAGCAAGCTTCCAGTTTGCGACTTTCTCGCAGAGGGCTATCCAGTCGCCCCAGGGGGAGGGAAGAGGGGGACATCTTCCACCTTGATTTTTTTTGTTTTCGCTGTAGTCTGTCGTACCCCATCACTAACAAATAAATTCCTTGGGTACTCACTGAGTATTCCAACCTTGCTGCCTGATATACATTTGGGCGTCGCGCCGGGCCGGCAGCTTTGTACACCCCCGTATTTGTGCCTTCTTTCACATGACCGGGCTTGAGTGCCTCGTCCTTGTAACTTTGGACCGAACATGTCGCACTGAAACAACTCTCACGGTATGTGCTGATGTGGGATTCCATCACGTGAGGCAGAATGGTGACTCGAGTAGCTCGCTACACCATCTTCCGATTCCTCTGTCATGTTAAGTGAGTTTGTCCGAGTTTCGTCTGACGACGAGCTCCTTCTTTTATTTTGTTCGTCCTTCCTCTAGGCCGCTGGTATTTGGCACATTTTCCCACACGATGCGTAATTTCCTGCAAAGGCCAAGGATACCGAAGCTCCCTGAATTGGGCTTATCATAGATAAAACCGATTGTCTGTTAGAAGACTCCTCTTCTCGAGACGCAAGATTCCACCATCAGATGTAAAGCGTTTCGCTGACAGCAGATCAGGGCTTAGGATGTTTCTCCGTTGTCCGGTCATGATCATTTTGCGTTTTGGCCGCAACGACATAAGGTCAGTTGGCATTGTACTAGCCAATCATTATAACGTCTGCGCAAATATTGCGCCAATATTTGGCCTTTCTGGTCTTTTTTGGCCTTCGTCCCAGTGTCAAATCTCTCTCTTGTAGCTTTCGTGTCTCTTCTCTTTTCCGAGACTTTGAAAAACGGTGGCCGATTAGCAAGTAGACTGCTCTGTCAAAACGAGAACATCGCGAGCTCTTATAATCCTCGTGAAGGACGGTTGAATGTCCGTTCGATTTCATCATCCGTCCTCAAGGTCTACTCAAGAGACACAGCTTGCGACTATGCGCATCCTGGGAAGATACCTTCTCACCGAACGTGCGATGTCTCACATTCAGGGTGAATCGCTATCTCCCGCCCATTCAAGGCGTGACCATTTCTCGTGGCTTGGCCATCGCCCAACGAATGCTTGTTTGGATCTTATAACGACCTGGGTTAACTGTCGAAAAGACCGCAACCAACTTTTTATTTTCGTCGCCCTGTCCGCGCAGCATTGAAAAGCTGCGCGGCGGGCACTCCTTCAATTCAAAAAGATCCCATGAAAAGCACAGTAACGAGATTGTTCTGTAATCCTCCCGTCTACTTCTCAGTAACCCGGTCTTCAGGGAGACAGTATTCGGTTTGAGCTTGTATCCGCGCGTCTTGGATGAGTCAGTGAGTCCTCGGTTTCGGTCGCTATCTTCGGTGGGATTAGCGAGAGTTCTGCAGCAAGGCCGTCGTCGTCGGATGATTGTGGGTATCCGCATTATAGCTGTCGTATCTCCGACAACGTATAATTAATATGAATTGTCTGGCTGTTCAGGCGGGGTTGTTGTTAGTGAGATCCTGGATCATCGCAGGTGAACGGATATTGTATGTCTCAAACCTTCAGTCATAATCCGCGAGCGATGGACGGGAGTTGTCGCAGAGAGATGAGAGAGAGACTAGTCAGATCCGTGATGTTAGGTGACGATGAGAGCCGTGCCGCTGGAGAGCAAACGCAGGCTGGGTCGAACGAACTCGTATTGAAGTTTGAGGAAGGGATCGTCACTGTTGGTGAGATAGGTCTCGGACAGAGAAGAGGACAGCATTGAGGAATTTCATCACGCTTATGATCCAGTCTGGTGTCTGTGCGGTGTCGAATAGTGCATAACCATTATACAGCCTGTGCCATCGCCTGTGAACAGCCTCAAGACCAACTGAATGAAAGGTCATAGTAAGGAATGAACTACGCTCCACATGCTAAGAATTTGAGAGCTCACTACATACGCAGTATTTATAGTACCCTCTTTTCCAAGCTCGAGTTTACCCAGGGCATGATGAGAAAGTTTAGGTAACCCCACGAAGGGGATGCCAAAAAATATGCCTCACAGACCCCGAGGGTGCCTAAACAGGCGGCCGCTAGGGTGTGAAATGCGACTAGCATTCTGTGGTTAGCCGCCCTCAGGAACGCGGCCCGCTGAAGCCAGGTAAGTATGGAGGAGAAAGGAAAGAAAGGAAGAGGTCACGGTCACCGGGAAGACGATATTTATGCCCGTCCCCTGGGGCGGCGCTAGCTTGTTCGGGAAGGGGTGGCCGTTTGGCGGCTCACTTTCGGTGGCATGTGAATAGGTAACCTGAGACACCCTTTTGGAAAATTGCGATAAGCGGCCTTACCCCAAGCTATCATTGGGTTGTTCTCTTGATCCTTTTGTAGTTGGTCCAGGGCATGATGAAAGAAGCGGATGCCCCGCCAAAAATGCCCTGAAAGCAGCCATCTTCCACGATCCCCTGCAGCGCACGAGCGCTACTTTCGCTGTATCGCCTCGTTGTCTTATATATGTGCCAGGAAATTATACCCCAGTGTAGGCTCGCACCCCGAGAAACGAATACCAGGAATTTTGGGGTCGATCTCAGGATCTATACCCGCGTGGCTGTAAATCTAGTCTATTTCTGGAGATAGATAGCGTGGCTGGTCTTAACCGTGGATCCGAGTCTTGGCGGAAAGCCCACTCGGGCTCGACAAAGAATCCAGAAGGGCAACACCAACAAGTTGCGTTCTTTTTTTGTGGGATTTTCCATAGTTCATCAGGTGCAGATGAACAGACTATTCCAGTCGATTCCCTTATAATCGTGAAAATATTTTCTACGTTTTCTTGTGCAGCGTGTGTTGAGGTTCCAGGATAAGGCACCGAATTGATGCCTCATTCCCAACCTCTGTCGGCATGCCTGTCCAGGGAAACCGGAGGCACTGAGTTTGATATGCGCTTCAAGCGCTCTTGCCGCCATGATATTCTACATTCAGGGGATCTTCATGGAAGAGCACCGATCGAGACCGATTATGAGGGGTTTACTACTGTCAGGGGCTTGCCGTCCGTTCGGGGATAAATACCCCCAGAATCGCATGTAGACAGTTTGATACAGTCAAGTTCAAGTTCTGTCAATTCCATTGAGGTCGATTTGTCTAGCAGGCCCTTATTCAATATTCAGTGCTTCGTCGTAGCCCATCTCAACACTGTGGATCTAACCAAGATGGGTATCCCCAGTCGTTGGGCGGTATGATTATACACATTCGCATCTCGGCACACCAAGTGTAATATACACAACCCCACTCATTCAACAAGATTTTATTGGGACTCCGTTTTTTGATTTAGTTAATCTTCCCTTGGGAAATTTTACTTGCAAGACAATAAACATGAACTATGACGCCAATGACGCCAATGACGCCACGAGTCAACAGAAACATCACGTGATAGATCGACTCGCGATCAGCCGCACGTGACGCAGTGCCCCGCTATCTCGATCTCAAGTCGACTCTCAGCCTTGTAGAAGTGTTATCACTTCTCAACTTTGCAAACATTCAAGAAAAGAACACAATGGGAATTTTTGGACACCACGATCTGGCGCCCGTCGCCGAGCCGATTGCCATCAACCAACAATTCGTCTCCTCTGAGCCGCAGACACTAGTCCTGAAGGAAAAGGTTCTCTCCGTCACGGGCGACAGCTTCGAAATCAAGCTTGCAAATGGCCAGCCTCTTCTGAAGGTACACGGGGCATGGGTCTCCATTTCCGGACGCAAGAAGGTTGAGGATGCGCAGGGTAAACACCTGTTTGATATTGTCAAGGAGCATCTGCATATCCACACTACATATGCGCTTGAGGATCCTCATAAGAAGAAGATTTGTGAGGTTAAGAGTAGTCTGAAGCGTACGTATTTTCGGGGGCCTCTTGGGCTGGTGATTTACATACTTTTCTGTGTGTGCATTACTGATTGACCCAGTCCTCGGATCCAAGGCCACTGCCTCTTTCATTGATCATAACGGCAAGGCGGTAACTTTTACAATGAAGGGCGGCTGGTATGACCACAGTGCCGATATAGTTGATGATAAGAGCGGCGCGACAGTTGCTCGCATTGATCGGAAGCTGCTCAGTGGCCGTGACCTTGTCTTTGGTCAACAGACCTACGCTGTTATTGTCGCTCCTGGTGTCGATGCGGCACTGATTGCTGGCTTATGTATTTGCTTCGATGAGAAGAACAACGAAGAGAGTGGTTAGTAAGCTGTAATACGTACCGAGCAAAATATGACCGAAGGAGATACAAACCTTCTGGCGCGAAGCGTTTGTACTCCCCATGATATTGTCGATCACCCTCGTAGTATCGCGATACGAGATACAAGTTGCAGAATCTGAGAGTTTTCGAGCTTGAAGAAAATTATTGTGGGTGGACCACTCCATTGGTATAAAAGATATACTCAATGCATCTGCTTTTAATATCTCAACGCTTAACAGAAAAACATAATCGCTCATAGATGCTATGCAACCCATTCCACCTCAACTCACCCATATCCATTCTAAAAAAGCTCACTTCCTCCAAACAGACCTGAAATAAACAAGCAGATAAACCATAAGATAATTAGTAACCGTAAAGGCAAGGAAAATGCCAAAATACGGCCAAATTTTCGACTCATCAAGTCCAATGCCGGTTAAATACTGCACATACACACATTAGCAAACGCCCCCCAATCCAAAGGATACGGTGTAATCAATCAATCAGAACGGAGCAACTCACATCGTCACCACGACTATACTCGCAATACCCACACACCCCACTCGCATCTGGATTATCCAAATATCCGACCCCTTTTTGTTTCAACCAGTCACCCGCGTATTGCGCACAGGTCATGTCAGGCGGGGACTGGAAGAGTGTTAACTCGCTCGCCGAGCAGATCACCTCTGTCCCGCCGAGGACGGCGGCGAGGACACCGCCGATCCAGTAGGTGAACGGGGTGATGTAGTACATGGTGTATTTCCAGAATGCGGGCATTTGTTCGTGCGGGCGGAGGATGCCGTTGAAGAGTTCGCACATGATTATGAAGAAGGGCATTAGGGTTGCGGCGACCATTGAGTCAGAGCTACAGCCACAATAAAACGTTAAAAGGAGACCTAGGTGGAGTGGGGAGGGGGATACAAACCTCAGCGCAGCGATCCACTGACCCCAAGACGTAGCAAAGAGGAAAAAAAGGAAGAACATGAGGAAACTATACCCGGCCGCAAAGCCCAGCGGAAGCCCGACCATAAAGTAATACAGCACATAAAAAACAACGCCGCCGGCAATGGCATACGGAATCTCAGAAATGATCTGTGCAGTGCTAAACGCGATCCAGTTGTAGACGCCACTCGGTCCTTCGCGCGCAAGCCAAATATCTCTGTTCAGGATGAAGCGCATGGAGATGGCGTTGATGAATTCGGGGACAAGCATGAGGACCAGGAAGCACGAGAACGCCTTGGATTGGAGATCTGTTGTGCTGTCTCCGATTTGGAGGTAGGTTAGACCGTTGATGAGGGCGTGTAGGAAGGAGGCGTAGAGGCGCGAGTAGGGGTATTCGGCTGTTCGCCAGAATTGGCGGCATGTTCGTTGGGTGAGGAGGGTTATTTGTTGGTGAAGGGGTGGGAGGGATGGTGCGGAGGAGGCGTGTTTGTTTTCGTGGGTGCGAATGTCGGCGATTTCTTTCTTGACGTTTTGTGCCTCGGCTGAGTCGCGCCAGACGGAGGCCCAGTTGACGCTGTTGTCAGAGTCTTTCATGCCGCCGACGACTACTTCAATTAGGAAATCTGCGGCGTTGGTGACATTTTGCGGGTTGTGGCCGTGTTTGTTAAAGTAGTTGAAGATGGTCTCGCCAGACTCGCCGACTGGTCCGAAGTAGTAAGTGCTGCCGCCGGGGCTGAGCGCGAGGACACGATCAAACTGCGACTGTAAGAACCAGCATACATCAAAGAACGGGGGAACATACCTCTTCAAATTGCTGCTGATTCGCCTGATGAATAGTACAGAGAACAGCCAGTCCCTGATCCGACAGTCGTCGCAGTAGCGCAACAATGCTGGTCGCACCTTGACTGTCCAGTCCACTCGTAGGCTCATCCAGGAACAGCAGCAATCGCGGACGAGCGCAGAGCTCGACACCGATCGTGACGCGCTTCTTCTTCTCAATATCCAACGATCCAATCACTGCATTCTGCAAGTCCACGAGATCCAGCGTGTGCAGTACTGTCTCGACGTACGCCAACTTCTCTTCCTTGGGAGTATCGCGGTCCTGGCGGAGGAGTGCGGAAAACTCGAATGCTTCGCGGATCGTGCTACTCTCGTCGTGAATGTCCATCTGCTGGCAGTATCCGATCTGTCGATTGAAAGAATCGTCGATGGGCTGGTTGTCGACGTACATTGATCCGGTCAATATGCCAGCGCTTGGTCGTTGGGTGAGTGCCGTCAACACTGCTGATGTCAATTTATGTCTCGCTGAAATCTCTTTGGTGGACTCACGAGTCGATTTGCCTGCTCCGGACGCTCCAACTAGCGCAGTGAGAGTGCCAGGCTTGCAATAACCATTCACACCATCAAGAAGCTTCCGCTTTTCCTTCCCGATCTGCACACTGAGCTCCAAGTCCGCCCAGGTAAATGTAGACTCAGTCGCAGCAAGAGACTGCTCAGGCTTGACACCCTGAGACTCAGCCGGTGAAGCCTTGGAATCAACCGAAACAGGAGAGGATTCCTCATCAAACCGAGCTTTCCTCTGGCTGAACCATTTCTTCGAACTGTTGTACTGGGTGGGACCAGCGCTGTCCAATTCCCACTCCATGACTTCGCTAAGCCAGCAAGTAAGAGCGACATAGACGAACGTGAACAGACAGAGAATTCCAAAATTGCGCCACACATGGCGGTAGTAGAATCCGAAATGAGCAGCGAGGTAATCGTCGCCGTTCACGACTGTGCTACCGATCTTGCTGCCGGCGTAAGCGCAGCTTTGGTAGGCGACGTCGGTGTAGTTGGATCCTGAAGGGACGATTGACGAGGCGGCGCACGTAAAGTTAACGTTGTGGAATTCGGCTGCCATTACTGATTCGTAGGTATACAATGCGGGTGTTATATACTACAGCTTCGTTAGTATATGCTGGTATGTAATCGTATAGACTGACCTACCGCAATCCATCCGACCCAAGGAACATCCTGCAGCATCTTGTCAACGGACAAGACATAGCCACCGAAAACAATGCAGAATAGAACCGAGACACCGCAGTAGCGTAGTGCGACCTCAAAATTACTCGACATAGCTGCGAAAACACGAAACTGGGCCGTGAGGCAGACCGTGCAGATGTAGATGAAAAGGAAGTCGATGAAGAATGGCCCAGCCTAAACTCGTTAGCAGAGCCTCGCCTCCAAACTTCGAGGGCATACTTACATCCGAACGCAGCCCCGACAGGAAGTACATCACAATCAGGTACAACAGAGTCAGTATAGCAGATAATATCATATCCTGCATAACCCGTGCCAGGCAGACAGCACTCGGCCTGACAAAAGCAAACTTCTTCTGCCGGCTGAGGATATCACGTCCCTGCATTGCGTCTTCAAGCTCCGACATCTGCAGCCAAGCAAGCAGAATCGAAGAGTAGAAGAGGACACCACCACGAGAATACATCCCCTCCGTTGTCTGCGGCTGCTTGTAGAACATCGACCCGATCAGCAGACCATAAACAATACAAGAGATGAACTTGATATACAGCGGACTCATGTGCCCTTTCAACTGCCACAGTTGCCGTTGAGCACAGAGAACAACCTGTCTGAACAGTGATATAGTGTATGGAGACTTGGACGAGACAAAGCGAGACTTGTCACTCTGCATCGTCCGCTTGAACTCCTCAATGCTCCCACACTCCGATGTCTGGCAAGATCCACTACACTTCCCGCCAGCGCGCTGGTCGTCGTACATTTCAACAGATCGCTCGATATTTTTGAATGCGACGCTTTGTCGGAACGCCGTCTCAAGCTCGATCGGTCCCTTGGGCGCGCGGTCCTGCCACCCAGGACGAAATCGTCGTCGCTCAGGCACGGTAATGCTAGTCAGGAAGTCGGAGGTGGTCTGCATCTCGGCGCATTCGTAGCCTAGATCTTCAAAGTAGCGCTTGGCTTGGCTGGCGGGCCCTTGGTAGAGCATTCTTCCCTCATCAATAAGCAAGACCTTATCCATGAGTTCGTAGATGGCGTCCGAGGCTTGGTAGAGTGTGAGGAGGGTCGCCTTTCCGCAGGTGTCGGTCATGATTCGCAAGCTACGCGCGTAATCCAGGGCAGAGGAGGCATCAAGACCTCGAGTGGAGTTATCCCAGCATGTCACAGAAGAGTCCGTGGCGAGCGATTCAATGATGGAGATACGCTTGCGTTCACCACCGGATACACCACGGATATACTCGTTACCGACGAGGGTGTTCATGGTATGAGACATGCCAAACACACGGCCGTAGATTTCTAGATACCGCGGGATGCGGTCCTGGTAGCGCTTTGGCGTTTTACTCTGCAGTGCAAATTCCAGAGTTTGTCTCACGTTGAGAGTGGGAAAATGCACGTCGTCTTCAGGCACGTACGCCACGGCGCTACGGTAGTGATTGCGCATTTCCTCGGGGCTCAAACCCGAATAATCGATTAAGCCTGTAACACCGAGGAAAGAGGAGTGGTGGCCTGCAATTGTTCGCAAGAATGTCGAGCAGCCGGCACCAGGTCGTCCAAGCACGCTATACAAGTTTAGAAAAAATCCTCGTCATTAACGTGGGTTTACTTACAGCATCATCTCGCCGCTCTCAACCACCCCAGAAAAGTCCCGGATAAGCTGACGTCCGTCTTCAGGCTTCTTCGATGACACCCATGGCTGAAAAGTCCATTCGTAAATATCCTGGAAAGTCAGAGTGCGCCACAGAGCCGTTCCCAGTGTCTTGACGCCGGCGTGATCATCCCCATCGCCCCATGTCGACACCGACTGGAAACTAACACCCAGATTCGAACGCTTCTTGCCTCCCCGAACCTGTTCCTCGAGGAACTTGTCAAACGAAGAGTGGGGCTCCGCATACTGCACGCCAGGCTGACTCTTTTCCGTCAACGTGCGATGGATATCAGCGAGAGCATCCTCGTCCGCGTGAGAGACATGCACACGAGGCCCGTGATCATCGGATGGAGCTTCCTGCCCCGACGTAAACGAATGCTGAGGCCGAGAGTGTAGAGGAGCGGGCATGATGTACCCAGTCGCAAAAACCGATCACAAAATGCTATGATGAAAAGCCGAACAGAACACACTGCATCTTTGTGCTGAAAGAAAAAAAAGAGATGGCGAGCGGTCGTCCTCAAATATCATACGTAACATCTCGGAGAGCCCAGTCCGTCCCGAGAAAACCGGAAAAGGAAGCCAAGCTACATTCTGACTCTAATACGTCCGCACCCAATCACCACCCTCAAAGCTTGCTGAGAAATCGCAAAGCTGGAGAAAGGCCGGGTGGGCCCGCCATCAAAACACACTGACTCGTGACAATTCTGATCCGCCGAGGATCTCGCGCGCCAATGATAACCCAGAGTCAGGGCCAGCCACGAGCGGCCCACGAGGGCTCCGCCTGGAGAAACAGGCGCCTGCGCAACCTTGCCTGGATCGGGTAAGTCGCTGGAGAGCGGAGGCAAATCTTGAAGAGCAGTGAAAAGAGGGCCCGCGGTGTCCGCGGGAACCGAGCAGAATTGGGAAGCCAAGAGGAGAAGATCCACACGAGCCAAAGAACGCGGTTCCGACAGCTGCGAGCTACTACAGTATGCTGCTGGGCTGCATGGACTGAGTCAGTCGGCGTTGGTTCGGGCGGCTATCTCGTCAAGGGCTTTTTAATGGTTGGCAAGCTATAGGTGGATGGCCCGATCTGCGTCGATCGGGCTGGAGCTGCTGTTTTGAGCGGAGAATTGACGGTGAGTATTGCATCTTGACGGTGGTCAGTGCGGCCTGTCATCGCGTGAGAGTGGGTTCAGTGCAGAAATGTCCGGTCTGACAGAAAAAGCAATGAGCAGAAACGAGGTTGGCAAGGCTGACGTTGCAGAAGGAGTTGCTGAGAAAGCCGGTATATGCGAGCCTGAGGCAGCAACACCAAGGCTGGCCTAAGCATTGAGGATCTACATTTACACGTTCCACGCGAGGCCGCTCTTTACTGCCAATATTAGATACCGATCATTTTTTGCATTTGTCGGATCTCTTTCAGGGTTCGCTCATCTTAATACGAGAGTGTGCCTGTGTTACGAGAAGCGTGACCGAGTCCGCTACCCGGGCTTCGCCCAGATGCATGCTGCTTGGCCTGTAGTCTGCCACCAGAATGCTGGGAAGATGCTAGATTTTTCACTACATGCTGTCACTTTTAGCTCAGTTCAAGCTCTAGTCATTGACCTAAGCATGATGAAAAAGTGAAAACCCGCGGACTTTATGCCAATGAATATGCCTCACAGACCCCTGAGGGTGCCTAATTTAAGCTTTGACTATTGCAAGCCTTATTTGACCATTGAATACGAAGCATTTCCCGAAATCAAATTGTAGCCAGATAGCTGAAAGTGAGGTTACCAGGTCCGAATAAAACTACCAAGTAAACTGGCAACCATCATCCATACGGTCACAGCAACTTACTGGCGTTCGGCCTTCTCGATTCCCGCCCGGCGCTTACCAAATTCATGGATGGTCGCGATAATCGCGGCAAAGGAATACATCTCCGCCGTGGACGGATCATTTCCGTACGTCATGTAGTTTATTGCGAGTTTCGAATTCGCATCTTTGGCATGGTAATCCAGGTAATAGGCTTTTTGAACTCGCGCTGAGGCCAATTGTCGTTGATAACCTTGTTCCACGTGTCAGTAGCGTTGGGGAATCTTGGCCCAGGCCTAAAGTGGCCCCCCGGCAGTACTTACAGCTGTGTCTCCTTTGTCGCCGAAGTTTTTCGCAGGTCCAATTCCAATGAATTCCCTCGCGCGTGCACTTTGAGACTAGGGGTGTGATATTCGTAAGGCTCTTTTCCGTCATCGGTGCTGTTGGAGCTAACTTGATTGTTGTAATAGTCTTCTTCGTTGTTAATTAGCACTGGGAGGACTTCGACCTTGAGCCCGAAGGAGTGCAGGATGGCGTAGAGGTGAGAGTCGACGCCTTTCAAGCCACCGGGCATCATGGAATCGGCTAACGCCAAGTTGTGGGGGTAGCAGTGGAAACAGAAGAAGCCTAGACACCACCTACAGAAATATTATTAGTCAAGTCTGCCTCAAAACCGTTGGTGGGGGTACGAACCCGTTTTGAGAAATCATGGTGTCTTCAGGAGGTTCTTCAAATCATCATAAAAGATCAGCGACTCCAACTCGGTGGGAGAGATGACCTGCAATTTCTCGAGCGGCTCGTAAATGTAGAGATTGTAGGTCAGTGTGAGCCGATAGCCACTGCTGATTGACTTGATCTCGTGTTCGCAATCACTGTAAAACGCCGCCCACTGAACTGAGTTTGTACTCTTTTCCGCCCATAAGAGGAGTCTCTCTCTACCGTTGTGTCGGACAGCCAGGTCTCCGCCTTCGGTCGATGGGAGGCACACAACCAACGAGCCAATCTGGTTCTTCGAGCGAGGGGTATCAACGTGGCTTGGAAGAGGCCAGTGGGACTGGAGTACACCTTTTATTGCATCAGCCAGCACGGTTTAAGAAATATCATCAAGTCAAATCTTACGTTCAGCTTGTAGAGCTCTGCACGGATCCGACGACGAGCCAGAGGATCGTTATCCCAAATCTTCAGCTGGGGAGCAAGAAACTTCTCAATCTCATCGAAGATCGCAAATTCCGCGGGGTGGAAAATCGTCGCGAATCGATGGGGATCAAGTTTGCCAACCTTGCGATACGCAGGATCCATAACCTCTTCACCCCGTCTGCCAAAGCTAGCAGCCTCGCAATCAGCGACCAGCTGGCCCAGGACCACATCACTGGAACAGGGGCCGAGGTATGGGGTGTCGATTGGAAGGATCGCGAGGTTGCTCTGATTCTGCCTTTCCCAGAAGATCCTGATCGGACTCGAAGATGAACCAGCTTGCCTATTAGTTGTACCGGTCTTGGTGACGGGAATGACGCCGGCGCAGACGAAGTTGGCAGATTCTTCCTCTTCGAGAATGGACTTTTCGAGGGCGCTACAAATTTTTTCAAAGGCCCTCTTGGTGAGAGAAGTGACCTTGGACTTTTTCTTAGCGGGTGCCATTGTGGACTTGCACCCTCGAAGGGGAAGTAGCTGAGTGAGGTGGTGACTTGATTAAGGTGGAAGAGAAAGGCGATAAAAAAGCAGAGTGGGAGATGAAAACTATCGACTTTAAATGTTGTAAGGAAGGAGCTCACGTTCAACGCGTATGTTGGAAATGACATGGAAATGGTGATATGCGGTGTTTGTAGTACTCAATGCGGTAAGTCTCTGCCACTTTTGGCGGTTGGCCTGCGTCTGCCTAGCAACTTTGCATTTCGACCAAAGCTGCTTGATATCTGTCTGGATTCATTAGAGCTGTCACATTTCTATCCTGGTCATGTTTCATATATCCTCGAATAGTTTGTTTCTGACCCCTACGCTCGGTCACGTACAAACATTGTCAGTTTGATATTTTATTGGCCAGCTTCTAACAAATACTCAGCGTGAAATGTTTGGTGATAAATATTCCAGTACTCAAGACCAAGCTGCTGCAGAAGGTACATATAAGTCTTTTCTGGGCTCTATTAAACCCAGAGGGTGATCTGTTTGGCTCCTGCCTGAGGCTCTCGTGGTACAGCCTGTGCTTTCCGCTTCAACAGTACAGCAGCCACGTGATCCGTGGAGATATAAATATCGCCTTCCTCTCCGTAACTTCCTCTTTTCTTTCTCTTCATACTTACCTAGTCGGGGTGGGCCGCGGTCATGAGGGCGACTCACCACAGACCGACCACCACATTGCACCGCGCGGTGGCTTGTTTGTTGAGGCACCTTCTGGGGGTCTCTCCCGCGTATTCTTTGGCTTACCCTTCGTGGGTTTATACACCTTTTCATCATGCCTTGAGTCTACGACTCAAGCTTGGAGAAGAGTCCTGTTCCGCACAGCCACGAAAATGATACCATGAAGATCATACAATGTGAGATAAAAGTGAGATATCTTTCATTACCTGACGACCTGCTTCCGACTCTCTTCCTACACTTCCTCCTCGTTCATACTCTTCCTGTCCCTACACTATCAGGCCTGCCGACGCGAGCCAGCTTAATCACAACCTCATTTCTCTATCACAAATATCGACACCATCAACGTCAAAATGAACTCATATTCCTTCGTTTCTTTCGAAGAAATCAGCTACATTATCGTTATGAGGAGTGTTCCTGGATTCAAGAAGACGTTCAGCTTCAACTGAATCTTCTTGCCGCCGCCATTCGTGCAATAGGACCCAGGTGAGATCTCTCCTGGAATCGCTGGTGAGTTTGAATTTTTCACTTCACTGAGGGACGGCGCTCACATCCTCTTCTACCAGGCTGTCTGGGCTGCGGATCGAGCTTTCCAAGCTATGCACCCGGCACACAGAATACCTCTTCGTGTCGCATACCACACACAATCAACATCACGGTCGACCCCGACTACGTTCCACACACAGCCCCGCTGAACGATCGATATTACAAGACCGACGATCGTATCATCAAAACCGCGACGCGCTTTGAGCTGGCTCGCGAAGCCAAGATGATCATCTGACAGTCCACCACACCGGAACTGAAGAAGTATCGTCCGGCTCTGACGCGAACCTCGACAACCTCTTCTTCACAACCTCTCCTTCCCGACCTCGGATTCAATACGGACACCATCACGACAATTTATTGAACGTTTTCATAACGGCTTTACCTCAAAAACCTGGAGTTTTCAGCCAAACCTTTTGCAAATTACCACGCAGCGAACGTTCACGGTAATGAGGGTTCTCATGACCTGCCGATAAATACAAAAGGATCTCCTTGTCCACGAGCAAAGTAATAATACTGCGGAAATAAATCCACCTGCAAAACGAATGCGTCTCAGCATACTAAATTGCACGATGGGGTCAAGTGCGCAAGCCTCCAGATCGAGCAAAAGGTGCGCAGTGTTACGGGCCTTTCGAAAGAAACAGATTCATTCGGTGCCTACAGGACGAGAATCTCGAAGATGAAGAAGGAAGGAGAAAGAAAGAAAGTCCGCCAGAAAAAGAGGGGTTAAGTCCCCAGCAAACGCGTAGTGCAAACGACCCAAAATTATGCTCAGGCATCCTTCCACGAGATGAGGCTATTCCCAGGTTCATCCGTCACACGCAGGAAGAAATCCTTTGCCCTGGCGCGACGGAGGTGATTGCTCTCGAATGTTTGAATTCAGACTAGATGCACAAAGTCACTCTTCCATGGAACATGGAAAGTCTGCGCCAGAACAGTCATTCATTCCAGCATCGAGAGACCTGCCCAATACTCCACTCAAAGATAGGAGTGGGAATATCATACCGGGTTGGGACAAGCTCCCATGGCCTTCAGTTCATGGCCAGAACGGCATATGGAAGTGGTATATTAAGTTATAGATTTGGTCCATCTAAGCAACGTGGCCGCAAATTAGTTTTGAAAGCCCACACTGGGCTCAATGGGGAGGTCTATGAATATCGCCAAGCAGCAATCCGCTATGAGACATCCGAAGACGATCCGATAGCAGCCCTTGCCATCAACGTCAAACAATTGAAACAACTATTCAATCTGTCACTGCCATCACAATTTAACAGCCACATCTGTTCCGATTAACAGATTGCAACAAAAATCGGCCCACATCCTCCGGCGGTTGATGCGCAACAGAATCATGCTCAACGCCGAGGGATTGTGAAAGCCTGGGTGAGTGAACCCCCGATGGACCTGCTACCGTCTGGACATTGAGCTCCTAGCATTCCTCTTATGCGGTGCTTCTACAGCCTGCCTCGCGTCCTGGCACTGTCGCTCCGCAGCGTGTGAAAGCCAGGCGTATAGTATCTTCGGAGTTCTCAGACCTTGGCTGTTCTGACACCATTGTGTCTCCTGAAAACAACGCTCAGGATTGCATTTTCACAGAGTCAAACTAATTCTAAACGAACGCTTTCCTCTCCTTGGAAGTGCAACATGGACGCGCAGCAGGATTTATTGTGTCTGTCTAACTTAAACACTATGAGTGACGACAACCAAGGTACTCACTCCGCATACTCTGGTGCTGTATGAGTCTCCCCGGAGTCTGCAGACATTCAGAAGGATCGAACAAAAATTCCGAAAGACCATACTACAGCCCTTGGGTGGGTAGAGCTATGGTAGCCTTTGTGTGGAGAGTGGCGGCTTACAGGAATGCCAGGGCTCTTGAAGACACAACACCTGCCCTCTTGAGGGAGGCGCCAGCAGGCTACAAGCTTTATCAAGACTAGGGGGGCGATGATTCGGGACAGACAGTAAATTATGAGCTCTCGTATATCCCGAAAATCCCAGTCCTTCCCTCGGATATCGACGATCCATGTCTTCGACCTCCCCAAAAGACTTGAACTTTGGAACCCGTCAAAACACTCTCTCCGCGGGCGTGGTCCACCCCAACTTTACATGACTTCTTCTGCTGTCGACCTACATCGGGAAGACCTCATGTGTCCATTGTCATTGTATTATGAGTGGCAGGTAGCAAGTCAATCTGCGAAAGTCCGCTTGGTACTTTGCAGCAAAGCGCGGCCCAGTGGTTCCACATCAGATATTGGTTCTTCGAGATTTTCTGGCAATAGTTTCGGCGCATCATTTGTGGACCATTGGGTTTTGGCAGCGCAAAGCCGAAGAAAGCTGGTCATGAAGGATCGGGATCCGAATCATCTGTTGCTCGGTCGGAGCATATCTCCGCTGAGATGGCATATTCGGCCATCGACACGAACGTTCGCACAGAACTTATCGAGAGATCGGATGTTTTCCTTCTTCTCACGGACATGATAGTTGACGGGATCGATCCTATTACTGCAGAAGAAACAGGTAATTCCGAAGTTTCCCGCTGAAAGCTTTCACGATTACACGCGAGGAGGGCGTTGCACCGTCTTGATGGGGCACTGTTAGGAAGCATCGGTTCACATGATCCTCCTACTTCTTCCACCACATCTTTCTCCCACCACATCTTTCTCCCACCACATCTTTCTCCCACCACATCTTTCTCCCACCACATCTTTCTCCCACCACATCTCCGTGCCAGGATATCCAGCTTAAAGATCGTCATCCAGCATAGTCTGAGAGAATGGAATTTCACCACCTACCTGCCACGAGGACTGGCAGACTTGGATTTGATTTATGTTTCGATATATTGAAACTAATCTTTCGCACTCTTGCTCTCCAAGACATCTGATATGCATGATGCAAATGCATGTACACACTGCCCCGGTCGGTATTGAAGACCCCGGCGATATTGGGCAACGCGATATTGACAAAGGGCACAAAATCGAGCCTCAAGAGAGTCCACATTTCTCTCCTTCCACTTTCGAAGACGATCTGGGAATCGAGGCCCTGATTGAATCATCAAATCTTCTTATCCTCTAATCTTCAGCTTTTAGTCACCAATGCAGGGGTTCTTTCGCGGAGCCAATGGGTGATTCAATCCAGCCCGAGGACCTGGATACTATGTTGCCGCACTGCTCTCCCATCTCCTGTCGCGCGGGACTTCTACCTCCTCCGACACTCGACTCCACCCAATTGCACTTTTCTACGAAAGGTACAAAGTGTGACGGATGAACCTGGGAATAGCCTCATCTCGTGTAAGGGTGCCTGAGGCATAATTCTGGGTCGTTTCCACACCGCGTTTGCTGGTGCGCGTTTGCTGGGTACTTAAGCCCTCTTTTTCTGGTGGACTTTCTTTCTTTCTCCTTCCTTCTCCATCTTCGAGATTCTCGTCTGTAGGCACCGAATGAATCTGTTTCTTTCGAAGGGCCGGTACACAAAGCAGCACCCCTAAAAGATTGGCTGTTGTTAACAGGGACAGACCGATGGTTCCGGATTCACGACCCTGAGGGCAGATCACTCTTCTCAAGCTTTGTCTGTCTGGACGAAGCGTATCTCTGACTGCCTTGATTCGAAGACAAGTTTCACAAGCAGAAGAAGCAGGAAAACAGACAGGATATCTTAATTATGGTTTCTTAGCTGCTCTTAATCCAGCTACTTATCAGAATGTTCTGTGCAAACCTGAGGAGGGTGAATCCTTTATGAATAAAAATCCCGGATCTCTTGAGCAATGAATGGAGGGACCCATGGGTTCCTCAGCCGGTCTGGACAGAGCCAATCCATTCGGATCTGACTCCTCTGGATTTAATCGAAGCGACACTTCCTCCAGTATATCACACTTGGACTGTACCTGTCTACCGGCATTTGCCATCGAAGCGGTTCGTTCTGCCTCCGCGGTACGCCCAACTTACCGATTAGCAAGACTTTATTGTAATGCGTCACGTCTCCTTGTCGAACCGGATCAAGTTGTAACAGTATATTTCGGCCAGCATAGTGTCACTAGAAATAGCGCCCGAGCCTGGGCCCAGGCTCACCGTATGAGTTCACGGGGACCTTTTTTCCGGTAGTGGTTGGGAGCTATAATTTGCTGGGGAGGGTACGAACCTCCCTAATCTTGCCTACCTGGGTTATAAGACGACGAAAATCTGGTGTAATGCTTAAGCTGGAAAGGAGGTCAACGTATCTGGCTAGGCCAGATAGTCGCCAGCAGCGTCCAACTTGCTCGGCCCCGGCACGATAACACCCAGTTCACCTCGACCCGAGCCGGCAGATGACAAGTATTCATGGATGATAGCACTGGAATCCAGATCACGCAAGGCAACGACAACCTGACTTTTGACATGAAAACCGGCGCGCTTATCCGCCTTTGCAAATACCCATGCAGAGTACCAGAATACCCAGAACGTCAAGAAGGATATTCATGTCCAGCGTAAGTATCCCCACTGAGACGGCGAAATGGCACTGCTGAAAGGGAGTGATAAAATCATCATCGCCGCCTCGCGATTCCCAAGACCTGTTTCCAAACACATTTTCGAGATTACAGGATGGAGACAATGCTTTCCACCTACAAGAAGCTGAAGTCATCGATAAACATGCTTCGTCAAGCATCGTCCGGTTTCTCTCTCTCTCCCCGGGGAAGCAAAGTGACTGATCATGGAGCTCAACTTCATGATCGATAATTCCATTGTCAGGTAGAGTCAGCACAGCGCGGCTATTGCGATGCATTTTGGAACGTGCTGGATATGGAGGATGATCAAGTATAGTTTGATTCGATCCCAATGGTGACTTCCGTGTGAAATACTTTACCTAGGTATAGGAAGCTCAACACCAAAACAAAAATGAACTTTTGATCTATTCCAACTCTACCATGAACCAAATAACTAATAACAACCGAAATGCACAAACCCCATCAAACGAGTCATATCAATCTCACACGGCGGGGCTAATACCCATTCTTATCAACCCCATTCTCCCTATAAACCTCCAAACTATACTTCGCAAACTTACTCCTCCCCCGAATGCGCCGTCCATACCGATTAAAAAGTGGGGGCAGAACACAAAAAAACGTCGCAAAAGCCGCCAAAATAGATGACGCAACATTCGCGCCCAGCCCCTCAAACATCTCCGTCGCGAACAGCGGAAACGCAGCAGACATACTCGACCTAAGCAACTGCACCGCCGCAAATCCGCTCGCTGCATAGCCCATGTAACTATCCGCAAGATACCCGGCTAATACAGAATCAAACTCGTTCACCGCGTACCCGATGAGTACAAGGGAGGCTGTTGACACAAGCCAGTGGACATCCGTGATGAGTGGCGGGATGGTCCACGCGAACCACCACAACCCCCTGCGAGGATCGGTGCACCGATCGAGAAGCCGAGGAGTTTGTGTTCTGGTTCGAGGGGGATGTTCTGGTCTTTGTATTTTTGTATTATGCGGATGTCTTGGATGCGGGTTAGCATTCCACTGAGTAATCCGATGCAGATGGCCAGGAACGGGAGGTAGGCGGATGTATCTGAGAAGCCCATTGAGACGTAAATTGGGGGGAGGGCTTCGGTGAAGAGGTAGATTAGGGCGAAGGCGACGGCAGACATGGTAGCAACCATGAAGACGATTGGTTCTGTGAAGAAAAGTTGGATTGGGCGGAAGAGGCCTATTCGGACGAAGGTTTTTAAGTCGGGCGTGTGATCTGGGTTGAGAGCTTTTAGGGTGGTGATGCCGGTGGCCTGCCGGATCTTTTCAACTTCTTTTTCGAGCACGGAGGACGGGCGCGATTCGTGGATGAAGAGGAGGAGGATTGTGACCAGCGCTGTTACGGCTGCTGCGATGCGGAAGACCCATCTCCTATACCACATATCAGCAGGTGTAGAAGTTAAGAGGGTGGGTGTGGGTACCAGCTGAGCGAGACAGTGATGTAAATACTCATAATTGGACCAAGCGCAAGGCCCATATTCGCGACAATGGCCCAGAGAAAGATGAGCCAGACGCGATCTTTCGAGTTGTACATATCCTCAATGCTCCCCGCGACGACGATGGCGGGAATCGCAGATAGAAAACCGGAGAAGAATCGGCCGACGACGACGGCCGCGAGAGACGGGATAATGCCGACAATCAAACAGAAGACGCTGTACAGGCCTGTACTGACGATGTAGAGCTTTTTGCGTCCAAAGGCCTCGGACCAGGCTGGGAAGATGATACCGCCGATCATTTGGCCGAGGAGGGAGCTGCAGTAGCGGTGAGTTATGAGTCATGCAGGTTATGGGTTATGCTGGTGATCCTCACAGCGAGACGAAGAGAAAAATCGCCAGTGTCTTGTCAATACCGTATTCATGGCGGGCGTGATCGGCTGCTGAGCTCTGAGTCATGTCAGTGTAGAACGGCAACACTTGAAAGAGGTATACATACACCCGCTGTACTAACAGACGTCCTGCTCAAAAATCAGCTCTGCTCTTAAAAGAAAGAGGGGCCACATACATACGTGAACAAATCCAAGAAAATAATCAACCCTGTATCATATATCTTTCTTGACGCGGGCCAATTGCGTGGATGCCGTTTATTCGAGACGGACCAGCGAATAAATTCTCCATTGAGGGTATATTCCAATCCATGTTCGTCCAGCAGAGACTGGATTCCCTCTGCATTCTCCACTGGTGCAAGCTGGAGCGGTTCGCCGGTGCCCATGTTCACAGGTGCAGTGAGAAGAGAGTGTGGGGGACAAAGGATAAAGAAGCGGAGACCCCACGGAGTCATTTTCTTCTCGGCTCGTTTGCCGTAATGGGCGTTCCGTTCTCCAGTATTGGACTCCACCGAGCTACGCTAGTCTTTGCCCTGTATAGATGATAGTGGCTGCAGTGGCCGCATAATGGCTCATATTAGCAGTCATTGGCCAGTCGGCTTGGCTGCATTCCCGATACTCGTGCTCTCCAGGCATGATGTAGTAGATGCCGCTAAGAGAAATACAGCCGAGCGCTCACTACAGAACTATACAAAATGCAATATCCGCCTAGATGTAGCCAATAATAAATTATTTGACACAAAATAAGCAATTCCTTCACACTTCTCGACAGAACAACTTCAGCTTCGACCCTCCTCCAACTGACATTAACGTAATTCCCTGCCGTTCGGAACACCCGCCCGTTCGGAACACCCCATCCAAAAACGCGTCTTTCTAACCACCCACCTAATTCAACCACCTACCATGCCACCAAAACGCGCCGAATCAGCGCAGAAATCGGCTAATCAAGAGGGCAAGATCTTATTAGCCCTTAGAGATATCAAAAATGGCCGTATCAACTCTCTTCGCGCTGCAGCGAAGCTATACGAAATACCACTCACCACACTACACTCACGCGCCACTGGCCAAACCTCACGCGTCGATAAGCGCCCAACAGGCCATAAATTGACCCAATTAGAAGAGGATTCGCTTACTAGATGGATACTCTCTATGGATTCACGTGGAGCAGCGCCTAGGCCGTCTACTGTGCGAGAAATGGCTAATATTCTATTGGCTGCCCGTGGTGACGACCCTCCGGCTACAGTAGGCAAGAATTGGCCATCAAGCTTCGTCAACCGACGAGACGAGCTTCGTTCAACCTTCTCACGACGCTACGATTATAAACGCGCCCAAAACGAAGACCCAAAATCACCACGAACCTGGTTTGCGACCGTCCAACGTGTTATTGATGAGAATGGTATCCAACGGGGGGATATCTATAACTTTGATGAGACCGGCTTCGCTATGGGTCTTATATCTACACAACGGGTAGTTACAAGGGCTGAATATTATGGTCGGCGAGCGCTTTTACAACCGGGTAATCGTGAATGGGTTACTGCGATCGAAGCAGTAAGCGCTGATGGCTATTCGCTACCGCCTTGCGTGATATTCAAAGGCAAAAACTTCATCGCTTCTTGGTTCGACGAACAGCTTCATCTTCCAAAAGACTGGCGTATCGAGGTCTCGCCAAACGGCTGGACAACCTATGAAATTGGCCTTCGTTGGCTACAAAAGCTCTTTATTCCAGCGACTACAGCGCGTGCGAGGGGTGGATATCGGCTATTGATTCTTGACGGCCACGGTAGCCACCTTACACCTCAATTCGACCAAATCTGCGCTGAAAACAATGTGATTCCACTTTGTATGCCTCCACACTCTTCGCATCTCTTACAACCGCTTGACGTTGGCTGTTTTGCTATACTAAAACGCGCATACGGCCGCTTCGTGAGCGATCTAGCTCGTTGGTCATATAACACTATCGACAAATTCGACTTCCTTAATGATTACCCCCAGGCGCGTACCGAGGCCTTTCAACCACATATTATTCAAAGTGCATTCGCAGCTACTGGTCTTGTTCCAATTGACCCAGAACGGGTACTTTCGAAGCTTAATATCTCACTCAAAACACCGTCACCACCGAATAGCCGGCCAACCACCAGCGATAGCCATTTTAGCCCAAAAACACCCAGGACCGTCGTTCAACTAGAAAAATCAGCTTCGTTACTCAAAGATCTATTAAGACAACGGTCAAACAGCCCTCCGAGCCCATTAAAAACGCTGGTAGATCAAATCATCAAGGGCCATTACGAACAGCTTCATTCAACAGCGTTATTATTGCATGAAAACGCTAGACTACGCGTGGGTAATGAGAAAACACGCCAGAAACGCACACGGTCAAATCGGCAAATAGTTCACGAAGGAGGCTTGACAGTTGAAGAGGGTCAACAGCTAGTTACGCAGCTAAATCAGCTAGTTGAAGCTGATCGGGTCGTTTCGCATGAGCAGGCCGATGAGGCTATTCAACTAGCTCAGCCAGCAACCAGGGCTCTACCAAGGTGTAGTGGGTGTAGGGAAATTGGCCATAAGATCAATCAATGTAAAAATCGTCAGATATAGCTAAATTGATGCGTTTTGGTTGATAAATTTTTATGCAAAAATTTCTAATGGGGGTAGGTGTTCCGAACGGGCGGGTGTTCCGAACGGCAGGGAATTACGTTATAAAGCCCACCACCTGACTGACTAATCCGCCAAGAACTAAGCTCCCTCCGCTCTACCATCTTTTCCTCAATCAACCTCTCCCCTCCCACCGCACCTCGCCATGCCCATCTTACACACATAGCATGCTTTTCAACGCCCTAATCCGCACCCACCACATAACCTCCCGCAAAAAAGTCTCCGCCCTCAAACGCGCCGCCGACACCCACCGCGTCGCCGTCCTCCTCCGCTCCGGCGGCTGTCCGGGTATCATGTATGTTGAGGGTGCGGAGCGGGGGCAGGTTGAGGAGTGGGTTGGTGTTGTGAAGAGATTGCGGTATAAGGACTTTCAGCTTGTTAGTAAAACTGGTGAGCTTGTACATGAAGATGCGCAAAGCAGCGCCAGCACCAGGGATAAGATCAATGTTGGGTTGGATGAGGTTGAGAGCGTCAAGGAGTTTGGAAGTGCGATGGCTTCGAAAGGGATTTGGGGGTGGTGGAGGAGAGGGATGGGGTATTCTTGATCTCGGCTATCTGAATTTTTACTGGTGTTTGCTGGTTGTTGCAGCCGGTTTGTTAAAATGATACCAATGATTTTCAATGTATACGCTATGTCTATTGTACAGCCAGCTGTATCGTATCCCGAACGCCAGACCCATCGGAAGTCGAATCACGACTGAACTATACCGGAGCAGGGTAGCTCAGCAACTTGCAGACATCCTAAAACAAGGGTTAACAACCAACGAGGCAATTCCACAGGAGGGGGGGGGGGGTGCCACACCTTTCTCCTCCGCCGGAAATGATCATAAATCTCCTTCCAAAGCTCCCGATCCCGACACCCACTCTCCTCAAACGTGCCGGGATTATTATCGCACTTGGGCTGCATCTCAGCCAGCTGTTCCTGCGGCCACATAACCCAAGGTTTAGGGAGAGGCCAATCCGAAAAATGAACAAACTTGGCCTCACGCATAATCTTATCGGGAATCCACTGCTCCGTCTCGCTACCAAGATAATACTTATGATCCTTCTTCCTAAACTCGCCCGTAACAAGCCCATAGCTACGATGCGGGATGACCATCGCACTGTCGCCGTACCGGTTATTCAGAATCTCCATGTCGTAGCGCGTCTCATTGAGGCGTAGGTCCATTTGTCCGTGCACGGCGTTGCGGGTTGATTCTTTGAGCGCCATGAATTCGTCGTAGGAGGGTTCGATTACGACGATTTGCGAGTTGAGGATTTTTTGCTCAGGCAATAGCCAGTAGGCGCGTGGCATTGCGACCGGTGTGCGCGGGAGGAAGAAGAGTTCGTCCATTGATTGGAGGACGGTCATGTCGGAGTCAAGGTGGATAATTCGGTCGTATTGGACGACGCCGAACGCGTAGAGTTTTGCGGAGCTGGTGTCCCAGTCTGCGGAGGCGGATTCTACAGCAGTGTCAGTGGGAACTTATGAGTGTGCTGGGGGGAAGGGGGGGCTGTACTTACGCGCCGAATTCTTCTTAATCCCCTCCACCTTCACCGGCACCAACTGCACATCATACTTCTGCTTCGCGGTCATAAGCAACTGGCTAATGCGATCGCCATCGTCTTCAATGACGAGATCCCACTCGTCAGGATAGAATAGCAGACGATCAGCCTTGGAACCGAGCTTCTTGAGCGAGTCAAAGACCATCACGCAATTGCACAGGTATGCCTCGCTGGTCGCGTAGGTCGAGTACGCGAAGCGCGACCAATTGACCTCGTCATAGTGGATGTGCGGGTTTGGCTGGGGAGGGGGTGGGATGCGTTTTGGCCAGAGGAAGTAGGTCAGGGCGAGGGCGAAGATGACCCAGGTGCGGATGTAGCGGAGTTGGCGTTTCACTAGTGACATCCAGGATTCGTCGGGGATGTCGAAAAAGTCCTCTTCTGAGGCGTCGGAGCCTCGGCGGAGGGGGAATGCGGTATTTCGGGCTGTTGCCATTTTGTCGGCTTGGCCTGGGACAAAAGGAGTGAAGGTATTCGCGGCCTCGATGTGAACGCGGCGTCACGTGGTATTATGTCATGTGGCTGTGTTGGTTCGGCACACTTTGGATGGATAAAGTGGATTTTGGATGTACTTTGGGTGTTTAGTGACTAGTCGAATTGGTCGATCTTGAAGCTTGTCCATTTTAAGTACAGATGTGTGGTGGGATGTGGATGCATGCTGTCAGATATATCTTGGCGATGGCGAAGGCGCGGATAAATATTTACAGCCGCAAATAACATTTCTGGGAGATTGGTCCCAACTCGAAATAAGCATGGAGCCGATAATTCGAAAAAGGTAATGTTGGTTAGACGAAAATAATTACGTTCCCAACAACCACAATTAAGCCACTCCATCCATAGGTCTTCTAGCAGTAATCCAGCATCTACAAACAAACTTACATAACTACAACCCCACCCATCAACATATCAACATATTCCCATCTGATAATTCATCCGATGTTTCATAAAACTAACATTTCATCCAATATTGTCATCTCATATCACGTTACAGTAAAAAGTGTATATACATTCCATATACAACCGCCTCCCCTCCCCTCTCCTTTTCTCCCTCCTATACACTACTCTCCCTTCCTCTCATCACAACCGCCTCCCCCACCCTCAGGCAAAAGCCTCGCCCCACCACTACTAACACTCCTCCCATCATCAACTTGCACCACAATATCCGTCTTGACAGTAACACACCCATTATCAACCTGAGTCTGAGTATCGCCAGGACTAGCATGTGAGATGCGACTCTCGGACCTCTCCCCCAGCCCATCCCCATCCCCATGCAAATGGGGATGAATCCCGTGGGTATGCGTCTGGCCCTCCTCATCAACCCAATTTGTCGTCGTCGCCGAATCCATCCACCGCTCCTTATGTCTGCGCTTGAGTTCTGTCTCATTACTCCGATCTGTATGTTCGTTCGTATGTGAGCGCGAGCGAGACCAGTACCCTGTTACCCGACCGCGGTGGTCGACGACGGTACGGAGGAAGAGTCGGGCAACGGGGGCGCAGGAGGCGAGGAGGATGGAGTAGTTTTCGATTCTACCACACCAAACTGTATTAGACAATGCCTTGGGAAGCGAGGTTGGAGGGGGGGAGGGGGAGGGACGTACTTAACCCAAAGAATAAAACTGACAATATTATAGGTAAAGTCTAGCCTATCGCCGAGGGATTTGAGTTTCTACTCCCAATCAGCATGAATCCATACAAATGCAGATGGTATTGAAAGAGGGTAGGTAAGGTAACTCACATAAGTCTTAACAATAGACGCCGCCCCAGAAAGAAGCAGTGGCCCGCTCAGCGTGATAGTCTGCCAAATACGCCGCGAGCGAACGGTCCCATTAATCTTGCGAAATTGCGACCAAAACGATAGATTGGGGTCTCGATGCAGCGTCCGTAGGAAAAATTGCCATAGTTCCACTGCGGCCAGGACGCCGAGGTAGAAGTCGATTACTGTATTGAACCCTGCCAATTCAACCAGATTAGCTTTCGACCACACCCGAATCGGGAAAGAACCTCAAGTATACTGGCCCCAGGGTAAACTCACCACCCTGTACAAAACCCACAGTCGTCTGCACACTCGGACTCTGACAAACAACCGAGCCATCAGCAGGGAGAGGTGTCCACATATACTTGAAATATTTCACCCGATCAGCCGGGGCGTAGGGATTCGGTCCACACTGCACTATAATCTGGACGATGGTAACCATATTCGCGACGATCTGAATAATCGCACACACGATAATACTCAGGCGCAAGCGCCGGTCGCTGGCCGCGAAGCATGTCAACAAGAACCACATCATGCCTGTTCGGGAGATCATTGCTGACGCCACGGCGATGGGTTGCGACATGAAGTCCCATTTCATGGTGTGGAAGCGTTCAACCGGGGTTAGGTAGTAGTAGTGGCGACCTAGACCCCAGGATGCACTATATCATCAAAGAAAAATGGTTAGTATGTAGTATACGTGAGTGGGTGGGATGTGGGAGGGGAGGGCTACCTCAGTTGAATCATCGTCATGTGCACGATGTCAAAGACGTAGGCGGATAGGAAGAAGAGGTCTTCTACACCCCAGATCCGTCCTGGGGCTGTTACTTGAGGTAATGCCCAGCGGATCCAGGCCTTGACGGCATAGCGGAAGGTTAGGGCTAGGCCGACGACCGCGGTGAGGACCTAAATCAGTGTCAGTGTGTGTTGGTTGGCAAGCAGAGGTATTGCATACCCAGCACGCGATGAACGTGCCCGAACCTGCGATTGTCAGTTACATCCTGAACAATTTAAAAAGTCACGCGCGACATACCGATATCAACATCGCCCTCTTTGGGGCGGGGGATATCCATTTTGAAAGCAAGTGTCAGGGTCCGGGTCCGGGGTGGACGGCGCGCGGTTCAAATAGCATCGACTGTCGTCTGCCGGTGCCCTCTCCTCGTCTCGCCTCGCCAGTAGAGTCGTGGTAGGGAAGGAAAGTGGACGGCGATGGAAACACATCGATGACGGATCAGAAATACCTCCGCCTTGAAGAGTGGAGATGAGAATAAGAACGAGTTACAGGTCCAACACTTTCATTGCAACAGTGGGTGAGTTTGACTAGCGAACAAGGGGCCAGGCACGATGGATCACAGGGTGAACCTTGTGCAAACCTTTTGCCAGAGAGTTACCAGGCGCTTGGGATAGAACTGCCAGTGGGTGGTGGTGGTGTGGTGTAGAGTTTACTTTTCTACAATATGTAGAGCGTACGTACAGGGGATCTTAAAACCCACTCAACTATGAATAAAGGACTCGGAATAAATTACCAGCTGAGAAAAATGATCATCGCTCGCTGGAGAAGGATGCCCTGCAGGTCCATGTGGACGCGGCAGCATTCCAACGCGTGAGCCCACGCCCCGCCATGCGTTCGCAAGGAGCGTCAAGTTGCATATTCAGTAGTGCGTTCTGACTTTTCCCGCATTTCCCGGATTCAGCTCAGCGGGCCATTCGCTTGTTTTTCCTCGTCTCGAGTCATCCCACTCCAATGTTCATATCACCAGCTACCAACTACCCGAATACAAAGTAGTACCAAGTGATACTGGTACGAAGTGAAAATGAACGCGGAACGCAAAATAAGACTCAAGTGGATCAACTTAATGCAAGGAGATCGACCTCGCTCAGCTCCTGATCTGATTGGGTGCGTCGGGTGTGATCGCGGATCCGAGCCACTAGTTAGGAGAGTTTGGATGTGATGCATAAGATCTTCGCGAACGAGTGATATGTCATTTTCAGAGGTGTTCGTCGGGTATCAGGATGAGATCGAGTCACAGCACTATTTTAATTTTCATCACAATACACTATTAATTATCACATTATCACAAATGTCTATGTACTGCTGGAGGAGGATTGTCGAGTGGAGGAGACAAACCTTGTCGGGGACTAACTTCGGGTAAAGCATCCGATCTCCACCCATCCATCTACTTCCGTATTCTACTCACAATACCCTCAGAAACACAAGCTGAGTTTTTTATCTTAGAAAAAATATACCTCGCTCATTTCCATTTTACCAACAGCTAACCAGCTAACCAGTCAACCCTCCGCGAGGCGCATCTCAACCAGACTCTCCCCCTTCTCCACATACTTCTCGAACCCAACAACCAACCCAGACACCTCGGCAAGAGCCCTCCACTCCTGCGAACTCCGCTCTCGCCCTCCATATAGGGCAATCATACTAGCATGCAAATGTGTATACGTCCGATTTTTCGCATACTCGATAATCAGAATGCGCGAGTGGGCCCCCATCGCCTTCCGGAGTTTCTGCAGCAGTGACACCGCGTCGAGATCCGGGAGGTTGTGCAGGATATGTTGGAGGGAGTAGATGTTTGCGTTGTGGATGGGTTGAATGGGGGAAATTTTGTAGTTCCATTCCATTGTTGTGAACCCTGCCTCACTTGAACCAGCATCCGGGGGCAAGGAGGTTTCGATCTCCGCGTTGAATTCCTGCACCACTAATTGATCGCGGCGGAGGTGCGGGTATGCAGACTGTACTTCGAGGAGGAGTTCGCCCTTGCCGCCGCCGATGTCGACCATGACCACTCCCTCGCCTTGGCTAGGTGTAGGGGCAAGTGCGGGGGCAAGTGCGGGGGCAAGTGCGGAAGCAAGGTCATACCCCAACTCCTGTACACGAGATGGAAAAGTACCATACTTAAGGAACTTACCCACCATAAACTCATTAAAGCTCTCCATGCGGCCCTCGCGCTCCATGATGGTGTACGTGTGTTCCTTGGCGAGCGCCTCATTACCCATGAGCTTGTAAGCGTGCTGAATCGGGCCGTCGGCGTCGGCGAAGGGGTACGCGAAGTTTGTCGCGACCAGTTTGCGCATTGTGAAGGCGGCGGCTAGTAAATCTTCTGTTGTGAAGTGGAGGGCGCCGTGTTGTGCCGATGGCATGGAGACCAGGTGCTTTGTTATTGCGTTTGCGCGGAACATGGTTTCGGAGATCTGGTCGAGGAGGCCGAGACCGGACATTATGTAGAGTGTGTCGGCTAATACCGTTCAGCATGTGGTGTGGATGGATGTGGTGAGGATAGACTTACAAGCGAGGAGGACGCCTGTGAATTAGCATTAGCATTGACATTTGGCAGTTTCTTAGTCTGCTAGTAGGGGGTATGGAACTTACCAATTTGCGGCTCCCCGGGTTTAAGCTGCGCATTAGCTGCACTGGCGACTTCCTCGGCGGTCGCATCGCCTAGTTGGACTAGGACTGCGAAAAGATCGAAGTGTACCGCGACAGGGACGAAGCCGAGCGAGGCGGGCTGCCTGCAGTTAGATCGTACCGCTCCTAGACTCGGAACTACCCAGAAGAAAAAAGAACTTACCACGGTGATGGTCGCCGCGAGAAGAGCGCCCGGTGGAGGAGACGGAGACGGGTTGGAAAGGCCTAGAAACGTTACTAGCCGATTGAGAAACGACATGGTTGACACTGGACACTGTCAAGGGGTATCAAGTACCTCCAAGGGAGACGTGATTCAGTCTTATGTAGATTAATCAAGGCTAAAGTAGCATTCCTCGGCTGCATGGTGATGGCGTGTCGTTCCTACCCTATCCTAGTACCCAGTATGGATTCGTACTTACCGGTAAATAATGTAGATTACCAGGATAAGTCGCAGTCTGGAATCGCGGGGCAAAGAGGGCACGATGTATCAACAAGGGGTGCATTGGTTTGCCGATCGCTTACCCTACCCTTCTTCACTAAGTACTCCTGGAAGTCAAAATAGAACTATCCAGACAAACAGACACGTCCGATCACGGATGAATCAAGTCCCAGATGGAAATTAGCCGCGCTCGATCGACCTACACAAAACCTACACCAAACCCTCCGTCCCTTAACTAGTAACCTGGCGAACTAAAGTAGGGAACTAATGTAGGACAGCACCATGGAACACGTCGAGTGGGGGAAATCCACCAATAAAAAAAAGTGGGGCCAACTTTGCCGGGATCTTCGATCGCCGACATTAGCCTCATACTGTATTGTACCAGTACAGCAGTGTCATAGTATAGGGAAGGCTTGACCGCGTACCTTCCCAAAAATCTGGCTAGGCTAGTTCCTAGTGGCGGTTGCTGTATCTCCTGGCTGAATCTACCTATCTCCTGCACAACACAAGCCACGCGACTCCATGTGTCCTGCACCTCCTCATATACTTAATAGATATCGCGCCCATAGGTAGTCGATCAATAGTCGCATCTCTCGAACCACGAGATCGGGGATTTCTCCTTGCGCGTGGCACCCCTGTCGGACAATCAGCCGAGCCCTAGCCATCACTGCACTCTACCGCCAGAATCACCAGCGGGCGAAATGGAAAAGCTCACCCCCAACGAGCGGGAAATGAGCCCTCTCTCACTCCCACACGATGTTCGTGAATCATCCCCAGAGCGCGATATGGACCCGCGCAATCCGCAGAATTGGAGTTCAACTCGGAAAACATTGCTCTTTATCGCGTTAATGTCTAGCTCGTTGTTGGCGGATGGGTATGACCCCCTCCTTCCCCAGATGATCACCATCTAAGATTCTGTTTATGATAAGTGCAATGGTCTGGGGCGGAACCCTCATAACCCCCCAAGCCCTCGAATGGGGAATCTCAATCAACAAATCCGCGACCAGCATGAACTACGGGATTCTTTTGCAGGGGTTTGGGGGGATTTTTGCGGTGCCGTTGATTGAGGCCTATGGGCGGTAAGAATTCTTCAACATACATACCTTCCCCACGGTTGTATTTTTCAAATTAAGCTGACCATACTGATACTGATATTGCAGCCTCCCAATCTGGCTCTGGCCCCAGATAATAACAACATTCATAGTCCTCGGCGCAACACTCTCAAACAACTACGACACCTTTACCGTTTTTCGGTCCTTGCAGGGTCTTTTTGGGACGGTGCCGCAGGTTATTGGGTTGCCAATTATTCGGGATATGTATAGGGCTGAGGGTAAGCACACTACCCAGTAGATCACAAAGACCATGCTGATAATATTCTAGAATGGCCGCGGATGATAAATATCTGGTACTCCCCCAACCCATCTCCCATCGATCCCCTGATTCCCTCATCCTCTCATGCCAATGCTAATGTTTCTGTTAATAATAGGGGAACAACCTTCCTAGTAGGCCCCTTCCTCGGCCCAGCAGTAGCAGGCTACATTGGCGCAGCGACGACCTGGAGAATCTCTTTTGGAGTGTTGACCGCCCTCTACGGAGTGTCGACGTTGCTGGTTATTCTCTTTGGAAGGGAGACGTACTACAATGCCGAAAAAACAGCAAATTCGTCATCAGCCTCTTCAAGGCTAGCGTCCTATTTTGGGATTGGTAACACAACCCTCCCGAAAATGAAAACAATCAGTTACTGGAGTAGGATGCTGGTTGCTTATATCTTTCGGTTTCCGTTGTTTTTGACGGGGATTACTATTTTGGTTATCTTTACCTGGCCCATCGGTGAGTTCTTCCCCGTCATCTTCCCTTTCAGCTGGATGAATCATCTCGACTTGAATCATCTTAATTGTGTCCTCTCATTTGAATCATCTCAATGTGGATCGTCCCGATTGGATCATCCCAATCCCATCATCAAATTTGAACCATCTCGTCTGAACCATCCAATCACACTAACAATCCAAAGGAATAACAACAACAATCGACACCTTCCTCCACAGCCCACCGTACCTCTTCAACACAATCGGCGCATCCTCAATGCGTTTCGCCGGTGTTATTGGCGCACTCTGTGGTACTTTCCCCCCTTCTCCCATCTCCCTTCCCCCCAACCAAACCAACTAACGCTCTATCACTCCAGGCTGGCTAGTCGGTCACCTCTTCAACAACCAAATCTCCACACACAACGCAAATTCACGCCCAGAAGCCCGCCTCCACGGCATCTGGTTCCCAACATTTAGCATGGTCACGGGCCTCCTAACCTACGGCCTCACAATGCATTTCCAGAAACACTGGATTGGTATTGCGTTTGGGTGGGCGATGGTTAATGTGGGAATGGTTGGGACTATTGTGTATTTTACATCCCTCTCCCTTTTTTCTTTCTTTTGCAGCGCATGCTAATTCCGTTGACAGTGCGATTACAGCCTACGCACTAGAAAAATACCCCTATCACGCCACAACCGTCTCCGCCATCTTAAACATGTGGCGGACATGCGGCGGGTTTGCGGTGGGATATTTTCAGCCTGCGTGGATTGAGCGGTGTGGATTGGGGCTGGTTTTTGGGTTGCAGGCTGTTGTTGTTGTTTTTTGTGTTGTTCTTACTATTGTTCCGGTTTTTATTAGGGAGAGGAGAGCGACCACAGCTAGAGCTGGGGCTGGGGGTGTTTAGGGTGAGTGGTTTGAAGTATTTTATATACATATCTTGTTGATATTGATATTGGATTACTGGATTATGTGTATATGATAATGTGAATGAATTACTTTCATCATGATGATTATGATGATGAACTGTCAATTGATATATTTCAAGTATGATTGTTGATGTACTCGTGCGAGTCTGCGAGTCCCGACCAGCGATGCGAACCGAACGCCGACCCAAAGACAAGAAAAAAAATAAAAAAGAAATATGTACAGAGAATGGGATATATACAGCCACAACGCCAGCTTCAGCTTCGCCTGGTGACAATATGACCCCTCGGCGGAGGTAAGTAAGAAATGCTCAAACGGATGTAAGACGACAGCAGTCGCCAATGAATCAAAAATGAGCCAGCATCGCTGTTAACCAGATGCTGGTTTAATCAAAAATATACTCAACCTGAGGACAAGAAGACTGAAAGTTCCTCAACAACTTCTGCACCCGCGGTTTTATCCACCCCGAATACGTGCCATTGCTCGCCAAACCGTGAAACGTCGTTGAGGCATGCTTGCAATTGCCCTCGCGCTCATGCCACGTGTACTGGAGACACTCGGGGTTCTGCGTGCAGGCGTCGGCACAGCTATCCAGTGACGGAATGGTGGGTTCGTCGAAGATAATGTCCATGGAAGACATGTTGTCCCAGTCTTCGCGGCCGGTGAGGTCGCCGTCGTAGATGAATTCGCGGTAGACGTCAGCGTGGAGAAGGAGGGCGTTTTTTCCCTACATTGCATTAGTATCGATATATTCGCGAAGGAAAGGGTGGGGGTGACTTACACTTCGGAACCAGTCCCGGTCGAATTGCCACATCTCCTCGATATCGCGCGGGCTCATGCGGTGGTAGGAGACGGCCGGGTAGCACCATGGTTGACGACCGTATCCTTCAGAGAAATGATCAATTTCCCACGGGCGAGTCGTCAGCATCATCGGCCAGGCCCAGGTCAGTGGGATGCGGATGTTGTCCAGCGCGCGGGCGAGCACGCAGTCACCCGCCCATTCTTCGGCTGTCATCTTCTCCAGCTCGGCTTGGTGTTCGCGGCGGTAGCCCTGCAGACGTTTCATGGCCTGCGCAGACAGAATCACACCCGATCCACCATACGCAAATAGGATATCGCCAATCTGCATCGGACTACCGATGTAGTAGCTGCGAGTGTGATCGAGGTGCGCGAGCCAATTAATCAAATTCGGCCAGACGACGTAGGTATCCGCTTCGACAAAGACGTACCACTTGGCGTCGGGCATGGCCTCCAGCGCCCCGTCAATCATGGGCAGGAACTTCCACTTGTCGAGCTTCCAGCCGGGGTTATTGGTTTTGCCGAACGGACCGTTCTCGTGGTCGCCCCATTCTTCGTCGGTCAGGCCTTCACGGCCGACCTGTTGCAGACGGTGGTAGATTGCAAACTCGGGCTCGTTCATCATGGTCTCTTCGGTCACATTGTTCAACACGTCGTAGGTCTGTACGCCGGCGATGGTTTCTTCCAGATCGGAGAAGACCGCGTAGTTGGGAACACACTGCAGCGTCGTCCGCAGCTGCGTCGGCACCTTTTGCTGGGCCTCCGTGGCGCCTGTCTTCAAGACCACAAAGACATCGTCCATGTCCCGACGGATGTGTCCGCATTTGTCCTCCTCCTGCAGCTTTTTGTTGGGCTTGGGCAGTTTCGGACCGGAGCCGCCAGACGGGGGTTTCTGATGACCCTCCAGAACGATCTGGCCTTCGTCGGAGTGGGTGTATGCGGCATTGTCAACGGCGGCAGGTGTGGTAGGGTTGAGCAGGTAAAAGACTAGGGCGAGGGTAAGGAGCGGCGAGACGATGAGGACCCATCGTCGAGGAGAATTGAACATGGTGAAGGAGTGAATATGAATCAGTAAAGGAGTGTAAGAGCCGAAGCCATGAGACCGAAAGTGAGCTGAGGTGAGTGAGGTTGAGATAAAAAGGCAAGTGCAAGTCCCGAAGAAAAAGGGACGACAGGACGAAGGGACTGAAGGACGGACGATCATGGGGACATGGGACATCCTCTCCTCGAGCAGGACAGGACGGTTCATAGCCTCAAGGCATGACGATCGATGGGGAAGAACCGCGCTGATTCGGCGGGGCCAGCGAGACGTGCGAGTGATAGGTTCGACAGAGGCGCACGATCAGCGACCACGCGGGCCAGGGGCCAACGAGGCCAGCGCGGTGGTTCAAGGAGCACCCGCCGCCCCACGGCGGCGTCATCGGGTGCGGGTTTTTTGCAGGGGCACACCGTGGGGAGCAAGGATCGACTGGGGGGTGGGGGGAGGAGGGGGAGACGATCCAGGGGTGAGCTGTAAGTACTGGAGTGAGCCCTGTATCGATGGTCAGTAGGTGGTTTCAGCAGACAAGATGTCGTTGTCTTCCCAGGGATTTCCCCTGCTGTAGAGACTGATACTGACAAATGAAGTTGTCGAAGGGATGAGGTTGTGGATATTGCTGCCTTGGTGCCTGAGCCCGTGACAGCTGAAACACGCATGCTGAAACATCCCTCGATGACGTGGGCAGGCATGCTGCAAAGCATATACCGACATTTTACAAGAGCAATAACAAAAAATAGTGACGTGCTCAAAATAAAATAGGTAGTCCATTTCTACTGTAGTACCAGAGTGTCGGGGGGTACACTGAGACTGCTGCTACTTCTAACTACTGCCAGAATACGCCGAGGTACTTTTGGGTACGGGGAACCCTGCTAGCGTTCCAGTAACCGCCGTTGCCTCACCCTACATGATGTACTGCAGGAAGCGCCCTTGAGCGACCTGCACTCTGCACATTCATCACAAATCGTATCGAATGCAGTCGCGTTGAGAATAAATCTAGAAGTCATGAAATCACCAGAGAATTCCACATTGTCAAATTTAAGTACGATATCCTACAGTCCCGCCCTCAAACCTGGAACCTTGGAACACAACCCCTCACCGCCATCACACATACATACCCTGAGCCCTTGGTACATACTAAATAGCGTATGTTATATAGTTATATTCAACTCTATCAATCCCAATCCCAATCAAACCCGGATACTGCTGACGCCAAATCCATCTGCCTAATCCCAATCGCAGACAAGCTTCATTTCATGTGGAGACTAGTGCGAACTCCCCGATTCTGAATCTCCCGAGGCGTTAGTTCTCGGCTAGTAAATGCCTGAGTGATGGATCGTCAGGGGTGGTCACGTGTTCTCCTTTTCATCTCATTATTTTCAACTTTCAACTTTGGAACTGGCGAGATCACTCGCGGGTATGGAGTAGGCATGGATGGAAATGAAAGAATTAAATATGAACTACATTGCTCAGGGTAACGTTTATTATAGTAGATGTGCGAATCTAATCCTATACCTCCTCTCATCTTCCCTTCTTAGGGGTATATACAGTACCAATCAAACTTCAATAGTTGACGATCACACGTGTCAATAAAACGGGGATAGATATGAGGAGCAAAGAGTAGGGTATGAGATCACTCGAGAAGGGTCCATTCACTGACATAACTCACTGTGAAAGACGGCAGCTCGAGCACGAGCACGGTGATCATCCAGGCACCAGCGCAGCCATCCCGCATGTACTACACATAGCAGTGTAGTAGAAGATGGACAGTGAAATCGTCGGTCCAGTGGCGGTGCCGAATCCTTTTCTTCCCTGGTGGTGCTGGACCCTGAGGAATGCACTATTCGCATCTGAAACAACGGAGGCGTACATAAGTGGGTCTGGGTCTGTCGGTCCGCGAACACCAGAGCCATGATCATTGTCATTGAAATGAGCGTCTTCCATCAAAGGATATAAAAACACCCAATTTCAGTTATTTAGTGTAATCACCCAATATCAACCTCCCCCCTTCCTCCTGAAACGTCTCCGGAAAGAATCCCGGCGGAGGCCAAATATCCGCGATGGAAGGCGGATGAACGAGCGGCTGCGAGCCGACTAGTCGATCGGGGTCGTGGCAGAAGGCTTGAAAGGTGCTGTCGTCGAGAAAACCAAAGTCTTTGAGCCCTGCTTCGCGGTTGTGTGACCATTCTGTTGTGTCGAGGTAGGCGAGGTCTTTGAAGATTGCGTCTAGGTTTTCTGGTTCGGTGAAGTCGGGGACGGAGGTGGGATTTGGGTTGGTGGTTGGAGGGCGGGGTATCATTGAGGTTGTGGAGTCGGGGGTTTGTGGTTGTTGTTGTTGTGCTGGGGGGTGTGGTTGGTAGCTCATTGTGCCAGTCGTAGAGTTTGCTGGTGGTGGCTTTTCGGAAATAGGATGAGAGGTAGGGAATGTTTCGAGTGGGAGGTCGGCATTTTCCATGACTGTGTCTTTTGGCGTGAGGGATTGGCCGTCGACAGGAATACTAATTCCCATAATGGACGAGGCGTAGGTTTGGTCTGGAATACCGGGTATACCCCGTTGTATAGCATTCGGTTTTGTCAGTGACATCGCAGGAACAGCACCCCCAAAAGCAGGCGCAGAGTGGAATGTATTGGAATGGCCGTTCGACTGCGACCGCTCCATCGCCGCAAGGAGTGAGGCATACACTGGCCAAGTCGGGGCAAGAGTCACCGTCTTCTGTCGGAATTCCTCCGCCCACCGCGCAAACGGAAACGTCTCCAACCCATCGACATTTTGGCGCAGCGAAAATGCCTGTTCGGAGATCGTCCGCAAACTCAATTCGAATAATGGCGGCAGTCCGCACATGGAAAAGTTTTCTAGGTGCTGCGAGAACATGGATAGTCCGCGATAGAGCAGTTTCTTTGCGCCTTCGGTTGCAGGGCGCTGGGATCGATGTAGGCCCTGTTCGCTCGGGATAAGGCGGACGTAGAGCCATAACAGTGTGGCTACGTAGGTCATGCCTAGGTAGCTCTGGTGTGGGAGCAGAGCGGAATGACGTTCGGGGTAGATGCTTTCTGGTCCGATGAGTCGGCAGCCCAGTGGTAAGCCGTCATCCCATTGTTTCAGGTCCATGACGAGCTGCTGTGCGAATGTGGCAGGCTTAAATCCCATCGAGAGATTGCGGGAGATCTTGTTGAGGACACTGGCGAGCTCTACCAGTCGGTTGAAACAGCTGAGCGCCATCAATGGCCCTCTTCGCGGCGGGTTCTTCCCAGCGACGCCGTGGCCTGTCGGAGGGAGGACATCGACCCAGGAATTCCACTCCTCCAGCCCATCCTCCTCCAACAGTCCGACAGTCGCAAGATCATTCGACGACATGGCCGGACACCGCTGCAGACGAAACGAAAGTAATGAGTCAATGACGAAACAGCCGAGATACACGGCTTTGCCCTGTCGAAGCTCGTCGGACCGTCGCGCATCGCTGTATGCACCCAGTCCCATCGAGACAGCCATGCGAACCGCCTGTCCACTCAATAGCCACGCCGCCGTCCAATCTTCCAGTCCCATATTGACCAATGTTAGCAACAGCAATGCTTGGATATGGCCCAATTCATAGCGTTCTTTCTCCGACGGAATCAAACTCCGCGAGACGGCATAGTACTCTTTTGCCAGCGAGGCAGATCCAGCAGCACCCGCCCGCTGCGGCTGTAACTGCGATTGGGTGATGGTATAGGCGAGAATCGCCCACAGAGCCGCATGATCCCCGGAACCCGGCGATGACGTCGTAACGGAGACGGCGGCATTGGCGTAGAGGTACGACGCGCGTAGGATATTGTGTTTCGCAACGACGGGGAACCAGCTGTGCGTGGCGGCAAAGTAGATATCGAGCAGTTGCGACGTTTGCGGGGGTAATTGGAGCGTCGCCCGTTCTTGTGTTCCTGCTGTGGCAGTCCCCAATCGCGCGCGCTTAACGCCGGGCGAGTGCGACTGCAACGAATCCGCGCCGACAATTCGCGGCGCATTCCCCAGCGGCATCTCATCCCTCGACACGCGATACCCCCAGCCATCATCTTCACGATTGAACGACCGCTTCCCATTGCTGCTGCTGTTGTTGCTGCTGGGCTCCGCAAGCATCTTCTCCAACTCCCCATATAGTCGCGAGGTCTTCCAGGTTTCGTGCAAGCTCTCGGAACTCCCATCCTCGCTCCAAACCGACATCAGCCGGTCCCGTCGGGCGAGTGAGTCGCTAGTCGTCCCCAGCATCGCGAGCATGCTCTCCTCGAATCCGTCGATGTTACAGAGACACAACGCCCAGAGCTTCTCGAGGCCGCGGACATAGCCTTCTGGAAGGCCGCGTTTCTTCGCATGTGGGTCGTAGGAGCAAGGTTGGCCGGATGCCTGGCAGGCTGAGCAGGTTGGGCGGATTCCGTCGCATTTATCCTGGAGAGTCAGTATCCTGCGAAGACTCGGCAATAGGTGTAGGTGTAGGTGTAGGCAGGCACCTTTTTGCTGCGACAGCGGTCGCAGGCGCGGGAAACCCTCTTCCGTCGAGGGGCCTTGTCGGAACCCTCATCCATCACTGAGGCGCGGACACATGCTATGATGCAGTGTCGGGTGTCGTGCAGGTGTTGCTGGGCAGGTGTTGCGGTCTTAAACCCGATGCAATCGGAAGAAGATGGATTACGCAACGGGGATGGATCGTCCAATCAGGTGGATTGTCTGAAGCGAGTTAGACCGATGTTTAGTCTGGATCGTCTGGACGATTTGGAAGGTTGGAACAGTGTCAGGGCGAGTTCCCCACGTCCCCACGATTGTGGGTGTGTAGCAGCTGTAGCCGGGGTTGTGTTTGAGTATTGTTCGACTGTACTGTCAAAGATACTCAACAGCTGAACTCATCAGCAGCGGTAGTAGTAACTGAAAGTTGCTACTTTGGTAATTTGCCATCGCAATACTTAGTCTGAAGCGAATAAACCAACGCTAATACCGAGGGTAGAACTAACTGCCGACGATCGGCACTTGGCTCGCCCAGCGCTCTTACAGTAGAGCAGTCGGGATGTCCTCTGGCACTGATGGTAGTACAGCCCCACGATCACATCTGAACGAGAACGAGCACCCACTGCACTAGCACTGCCCAAAATATTAATAGAAGAAATAAAGATAGATGCAGGGCACAGCCTCTGTCCCTGCATCGCGGCATCCCCTTTGCACCTTGGGGTATACATACGGCATCCCGATCTCCACAGCCGGTCGTATCCATCCCGACGGAACGGGCTCCGAGCCTGCGGAATGCATCCGAAGTTAGCAGCCGAGGCTACATTCTCTGCTGCAATTATTGAAACGATCAATTGACGCTGATTCTCCTCGCTCTGAATTGAAACCCAAGACACTGCTGGCTGCTCTGCTGGCTGCTCGGACATAATCACCTAAAATGCCATTTACTGGGCGATCAACTCGGCGCCCGCTGCTCGAATTTATGACTAGCGGGTAAAGATTTACCCGTCAGATCATCGTGGCCAAGCGATGGTTTCTATTTAAGATGTTGGAGATCTATTAATATTATTGAGCTGTCTATTCCTACTGACGAGGGATCTGCAAATGCAGGTGACGACTTCAAGCAAGGTTGCATGCGGGTGTGATTCGATTTGTGGCTCAGCTGGACATTGGAATACAGAATGAGCACGTGACTCTGTTGATGTCTATTTAAAAAAAGGGAGGGGGTAAATAAATGGGAAAATAAACAAAAATCGCCAAAATCATCCGATTGAGACACATTAAAAAGCAGGCAGATGTTCAAACAGTTCTTCTACAACATATCACAGCATTCTCATACCATAGCGAAGACCTTGGACTAATCGGATATCCAAAGGTATGGAGTACGCCGGCTGCCTCCCGGAGCAATCCACCGGGGTGACCCAGCCGGGACATCCCAGCTCTCTTCGTGCCTTGCAGCCGGACCCCTTGGGTACACTGTAAAACCGTCTTCGCTGATCGATATGGTCATGTGAACGTGGACGTGGGCGGTAGATATGTCTCCTCGTCGACCTTCCCGCCCAGTGATTCTTCCTTTCAGATAGCACAGCTCAATCCACGATCTACAATACTTGCGCTGTCTCACCTCCACCGGTGTTGATTCCTTGGTCATCTCATGAGGCTTGACTCAAGCCCTCGCAAACTATGCCCAAAGCAGCGGACTGCAGGACCGCGGAACAAAGTCTCCGGCACTACGCTCGGAGACAAGAGTAGTTTACCAATGGAGACATATTCACCAGACGAGCAAGTGATTATTGCAATTGAGCAATTGAGGATACATTCAATCACTCTGAGACTAATTACTGAATGATCTACCTCATGCTCAAGTTTTAACATCATGTTCGGCTAAATTGCATTGATCAAGCAGCCCGGTGACATATGCACCAGCAATCATTCGGCCTCCAATTCATCCTTCGTTTACATTAATGCTTACTATCGCCGCATCTGGATTGCTTCTGATAGGCGTAAGTCCCCACATCTCAATCTATGCTCGGCCTCGCGTTGTGATTATCCCGAACCCCGGGGACTTAATGGTTTAATTCGTCGATCGACGGGCCATCTCCCGGTCCGATCGACCCACGACATAAAACCGCATGTCCCACCCATTGATCCCACATCGATCTCCCTCATCACCTCACAATTATCCCATTGACTGCTAGTGCGTTACACTACACACTCCACAATGGCATCCACCGATCCCAAACTCACCGGCTTCGACCTCATCCAAACAACCTACAAACATATAAACACCCACTCCATCCGCGCCGACATCCTCATCCCGCAAGCACCCCATGCCGGTCCCCGCCCGGTGATCCTCCGCTACCACGGCGGCGGCCTGTTGATGGGCGACTCGCTCTTCATGATGTTCTTTCCGCACTGGCTCGCCGATCTCGCCCTCGCCCACGGCGCCGTCATCGTCTCGCCAAACTACAGACTCCTCCCCGAAGCCACCAGCCCGGAAATCTACGCGGATATTGAAGATTTCTGGACATGGATGCACTCGTCGGCTTTTACCGATCTGCTAGCCACCCACTCCACCCCCACTGCCGCCGACCTCAATCGTATCTTGACGGCCGGTGATTCGGCTGGCGGTCTGCTGAGCGTTTACACGGCCCTCGCGCATGCGCCGCAGATCCGCGCGTCGACGGCTTCGTACCCCTGGATTGATCCTGGTAGTGAGGCGTTTATGACTGCGCGTGCGATGCCGCCGTTTGGGAACTCGACGCCTGAGAAGATTTATGATGATTATATGAAGACGGTCAAATTTGGCTCGCCCAAGTCGTCGGTTGACTCTATGGAGAGCTTGACGATTATGTGCGCTGCTGTGGAGTATGGTCATCTGGGCGGTCTCTATGCAAGGGATACAGATGGTGTGCCCCGCGAGACGCTCTACCCCAAGGCTCGACTTGAGCAGAAGGATGTGCAGATCCCTCGGGGCGGTCTCGCTATTATTCATGGAGGGGACGATACAGTGATTCCGGTTGCAGATTCGGAGGAGTTTGTGAAGAGGGCCAATGAGTTTACCTCCCACCTTCCTGGCCCCGGAGTGACGCTTACTGTGAGAGACGGCGAGCATGGATTTGATAGTGGGTTGAGGTGGCATGAGGAGGAGTGGATGCGGGAGGCGTTTAAGGAGGCTGTTCGGGCTTGGTTGGAGTAATTTAGATCGCTGTATACACTACAAATACATCATTCATGTTTATATCTGATTATCAGCTAAATCAAATATTATAAAAAAATAGATTTCATAAAACGCAATAATAAATAAAAATATCTGAAACAAGCTGAATCCCACTGTCCTCACCTCCTCTGACTACACTGTTGTCTCCACTTGAGTGGGCCAGGCGGTGTGCCCAAGCTCTACTTTTCTCCCTCCTTTCATCCCCTCGACCTCACCACAACACCTCCGGACGGCATTAGTGAATCTTCTTGCATGATGCCTGGCCTTCCCGAGCCCACTGCGGCCGAGATATGGCGCAAACGCAAGCGTGACGAGGAATCCTCTCGGTACGTCGACCTGTACCTACAGAGAAACGCGATGTTTACCCCGACCCTCCTAACCCATCCATCCAGCACCGCATTCCTCCCATGGACAGACCAAGATCAATCATACAACCCTGCGCCCGCAGACATTTCGTTCCGTCCCCGCTGTCTTCCTCGCAAACGCCGCAACACCTCCGTCAACACCCAGCCACCCTACCTCAGCATCCCGCAACAAAACAACACCCTCCTCTCGCCCAATGTCTACGCAACACCACACGACCCTTACTCACCCCCCGTCTCGCCGAAAACTCTCGTTCCGATCCCCTATCCCGCGGGAACATCAACAACGGCCCCAACTTCCAACACAATGAGCGCAGCCGCGCTTCGACCATGTCACATCTGCCATAGAAGACCAGCAACCCGCTCCGTCCTCGACGCCTACGCAGACTGTGACCTCTGCTCCGAGCGAGCATGTTTTATTTGTCTGCGTCTGTGTGACGGCGAAAACTGCTCCGGTGCACCGTCCCGCTCTCCCGACCTGCCGGATCTGTACAGTCCCGGCGAGGAACTGGATCTGGACCTTGGGTTTGGGGATAGACCGCGTCGGAAGATCTGTTCTCGCTGTGCGGTTGAAAGTGTCACCGAGACGGGATTGGAGATTGTTAGGTGTCTCGATTGCATGCGGAATCCCCAGCCCAGCGTAAATCCGTGGAAGGAAACCTGGGATGGGGATGTAAGGATGTGTGGGTGATTGCATTGTGGCAGCATACAGCACGCTTCGACTTTTTAAATGGGTGATATGCTTCGTATTCACGGCATGTATCGCGCGCATGATGATAATGATATTATGACGGGATGGACGGTACTCGACTTGCATGCAACTTGACTCGCCCCTGACTCGGATACCGAGTCGTTGGACTGCACTCGAATCTGCTTGGACATTGCACATGGAATATACTCGACCGACATACCGATTTCTGAATTTGGCTGGATGATTTGAATGTACTTGCTTCATGAAATGGAGGACATGGGCGCATGGGTTTCGATTGGCGTTGATTGCAGGTGCATGGCTGCGGTATCCTTTTGCATCCTTTTTTTGACCTTGACTTCCATTCTACCTACATTTTGAGCTTTCGGCGATAGCATATCATTGCATCATGTGGTCTCTAGACCTTTTTTCGGCTAGCATGGTATAATACCTCATATCATTTTTTTTTATACATATATAACTTGCGCACTCTATGAACGTCAACAGCACCACCACAGTAAAACCATCCCTATCCAAACACGTGAACGACCTATGAAAACATACTAAAACTTCTATCCCTCAGAAAACCAATCAACAACAGGATCCAATGAATACAAACATAATCTTCGTCTGGGGAAACCCAGCCATCTCCCAAAACAAACGCAAGCTCACCTAGGCGGCATTATCCTCGACAGATCTGTCATCAAGATCGGAAAGCCTCCATCGCAAACTTTTGTGCCCTCCCACAGGCTTAAGCAGTTTTATGCTCACGACTTTCTTCTGCTTTGATATCAGGCTTTCTGCACGAGGACCGGCGACAGCATTGGCTGTAGGAGGGTCAAGAAGGATATTAGTATCAGAATTAGTCACACTAGGCTGGTAAGAGGGATCTTTACCTGTAATCTGATCCTCATCCTCTGAACGGAAAATTCTTCTTGGAACGAAGCTTCCAGGAACTGCTGTTCGTCCAGCCAAAGTCCTGCGTATCCAGAAAGTGTTCCAAGACGTCTGAACTTGAACCGCGCATGGCAATGAGGCTTGAGTTCAACACTCGAATGTGTTGTAATTCAAAGGAAGATTGCTTATTTCTTCTGGACAGCAAACCTGAGGGTTTATATACACATGCGACCTCCAGATTGATTTCCAATCAAAGCTGGTAATTCCGTGAGGTTAGGAATTGATTCCGTTACGATACGACATATCACAACATTCCCCCTCAGGATCGCTCGAGCAGGGTGATACTGGACTTCGTAATGACCCAGGCCTCGGTAAAACCACTAAAACCTTTCTTGAAGGAGAAAAAGTGGAAAGAGTGCCATGGTGTAGTTATCCTGCCTGTATGCCGATGAGGTTGCAGAACCTCAAGAATGGCTTTGGTCCTAATGGCTTGGTGAGCCCATCAGCCGCCTGGGAATTGGTTGGTATGTACTGAAGACCGATTTCACCAGCGTTTAGGACTTCTCGTTGATAGTGAAATTTCACGTTGAAATGTTTCGTTCGTTTGTGAAATTCAGGATTATGAGATAGGGCGATAGCAGACTGATTGTCGGCCATGATATTTGTGACTGGAGATTGGAAGAGATAGGTTTCAGCAAGGAATGTCCGAAGCCATTGTAGATGAAGGATGGCATTATATTGACCAATATATTCAGCGTGAGTGGTAAATGTGGCGATTTCCCCCTGTCTTTTAGATGACCAGGATATTGGTGCTCCTGCTAGCTTGAATATATATCCGAATGTGGAGTAAGCAACGTCAGTAACCACAGATCCACCGAAATCCGCGTCAGTATAACCGATTAGTTATCCCGCTTGGTAAGTGATCTGGTATGACTGAGTCGCCTTGAGATAACGCAGGAGTCATTTCATGCTGCTTGGTGATGCTTGGTGATGCAATTGCGGCCGGGAAGTAAATCGACTTAACGTCCCAAGCGCAAAAGCAATATCTGGTCGGGTTCCGACCATCAGATACATTGGCGCGCCAACAGCAGAGCAATAGCGGTCTTTGGAATTCTCATCAATGTCTTCTTCATCTGGCCGAGTATTTAATTTCGGATTCATAGGAGTGTTCTTTGGTTGACAGTCCTCCATACAGAAGTCAGAGAGCACTTTCTGGATGTACTGATGCTGATGAATAGAGACTGATCCGTCAATATTGAAGTTGAATTGGATTCCAAGGAATGAACGCGGAGTAGCCAGGTCATTCAATTTGAAATCCAGTTGAAGAGCTCGCCGGACATTTTCGATCTCATGGGTCGTTGCGCCTGCCACAAGGAAGTCATCCACATACACACAGACTACACAGTTGTCCTTGTAGAAGACACAGTTATCGGATTGTGCCATAGTGAAACCGTTTGATTGTAGCACCCGTTGAACGCAGCGATACCAAATTCGAGGTGCTTGCTTAAGGCCGTAGAGGGATCGACGTAGTTGACAGACGTATCCCTCCTTCTCAAAGCCTTCCGGAAGCTCCATATAGATAGCCGTGTCAATGTCTCCATGTAGGAAGGCAGTGACTGCGTCAAACTGGTGGAGCTTCCATCCTTTCAGCATAGCACTCGCGATGATACAGCGGACAGAGTCCATGCGAGAGACAGCTGCGAATGTGTCATGATAGTCAATGTCATGTCTTTGGCGATAGCCTTTGATCACTAGTCGTGCTTTTCGGACCTTGTTTGCTTTGGTCTTGAACACCCATTTGCAACCAATGACCTGTTGTCCCGGGGGAACAATATATTCTCGACGAATGAGTTCCCATGTCCCGTTATCAAGTAGGGACTGGTATTCTTTTTGGATAGCCGCTCGCCATTCAAGATGATTCTGGCCGGATATGGCCTCTTGAAATGTAAGCGGGTCATCATTTGTGGAACCCATTGGCGAGGTTATAATATAGGCTTTACCAAGAGATTCTACGAGTCGCCGTGATGGTCTGCGTTTTCGCCCGTAGAGTGAATAACCTAGGTCATGTATCTCTTGGGCATCACTTATAGCTGGGTTGACAGGCTGTGGAGTTGATTCTGGCTGGCCAGTCTCATTGGTGGGTTGGTTTGAGTGGTCAGCTAAGTTAAAATCTTGCTGCTGCGGCTCGCTAGAGAGAGATAATGGCGGTGTCAACGGTGCTGGCTCTGGATCAAATGCTGTCGGTTCAGGCATAACTAGTGGCGTAGAGCTACTAGCAGAGATGTTATGACTAGCACTTTCTTCAATGAGCGGAGCCACAGGTGTTCTTTCATCAAACTCGACATCATGAGAGAAGACTGTCCTGCATGAATGCACTTCGTAGAGCTTGTATTGACTAGGTTCGCAATAGCCTAGTAGCCGGCATTCGGATGATCTTGGTCCGGTTTTCTCTCTCTGTGCGTTTGGAATCAAAACCCATGCACGGGAGCCAATCCGACGCAGGTGTGATAGCACTGGAATTGTGCCATATATGGCTTCGTACGGCGTCTTTTTCTTGAGGATAGACGCAGGAGCGCGTAGTTTGAGATAGAACACTGTCTCTAAAATCTCAGTCCACCAGGAGGGAGGTAATCTCGCATCAAACAGGAGCGTATTTATTCGTTCCTGGATAGTACGGTTCGTTCGTTCGGCTAACCCATTCTGTCCTTTGCAGTATGGATCAGATGTGTCAAACTCAACCCCCTGGCGTTCGAGATAGGCTCCAATTGGGAGGTATTCTCTGCCATTATCACAGAGGAACCGTTTTATTCGAAGCTCAAATTATCGATTGACCCAGGCTTCAAAGTGTTGGAGTTTCTGGAGCGCTCGGATTTTCGTTTCTAGGCGTATGCCCATGAGCCTCGAGAGAAGTCGAGCACCAGAAGAGGAACTCCCGATGAAAAAGACCACATCTTCATTCAACAAGAATCTTTGAAGTCATACACTCTGATATTCTAGAAATGCCAGTCGGCAAAGATGGCTCTAGGTACGTGATCACCTTTACTGATGGCTTCTCTCGAGGCTCATGGGCATACGTGATTTCGTTTCAAGGGGTATGCCCATGAGCCTCGAGAGAAGCCATCAGTAAAGGTGATCACGTACCTAGAGCCATCTTTGCCGACTGGCATTTCTAGAATATCAGAGTGTATGACTTCAAAGATTCCTTCTGGTGCTGCTTACCCGACATACAAGCCGGGCACTGTGGCGTTGCCTGAAGTTCTGCCACTTGTCTGTTGTTGGTACGGAGTGCCAGTTTGAGAAAGGACCGTCCTTAGGTCTCCTCTGTTTAGATGCCCTGATCTAGCATGCCAGAGTGCTTCTTTAGGGATCTGGTCAACTCCTCTGCTTGCATCTTCATCGAGTATCTGAGCTTCACTGTTGAGTTCAGAGGTGGTCACTGCGCTCGGTGCACCACTTGACTCTAGCGGTTCATCGATATCCATTTCGATACAATTATCATGATTATTAGATGATGATGACCTGGCCAGTTGGACCTGAGGTCTGGATCTCTTGCTCACATAGCATCGCAAAATCAATAGATCTTCTTCTGTATGGAAGGCAGCCCCTATAGTTCGCCCTCGGCGTTGCAGAAAGACGTTCTGGGGGTGCGCTATCATAGAATAGCGATCCCTCAAGAGCTTTGGTACGCTGATCAAGTTCATCCCGATTCGGGGAGCGTAGTAGACATTCTTGAGGATCAGGGTTCGGTTGATCTTCCCCCTGAGCGTAAGCTTGATGGTGCCAATGCCCTCAGCTTCAACTGGATCTCCCGCTGTGTCTAGCATCTCATGGTGGATCCGGAAACTGCTAAAACAGTGCCGGTCCCAACAGATATGGCTAGTAGCAGCAGAGTCGAGTATCCACCGGGGATTCGGCGCGTGGGTATAGAGAGTCGTCACTCTCGCCCTCACAATATTGATCCTTGGTCTCTTGTAAGAAGTCGGCGGGCCCTGCCGTTCTTCTGCCTGGCCTTGATGTGATTCATTTTGTGGTGAGCCAGAAACACTCCTTTCTGTTTTGACACCGGTGTCCCACTTAGGGCGCAAATGCGGGTTCTTTTTCCAGAATTTCGAGACTTCATGGCCTCGTTTCTTGCAGTAATTGCATTTCTTGATAGACGCCTTCACTGTGTTAACTGACGGTGCTCCGCGCGGAGGAGTTGGAGAATTCTTCGCTGAAACTGTCCGTTCAGCATTTGCAAGGCGATTCCCAATCATGGCGGGATTGGCCGGATCCTTGTCATTTTGGATGGCATCAACTATCGGCGCATATTCCGGTCCGATCTGAGTTAAGAGGATTGCAACTCGTGCGTGATCCCCAATTGACCCTGGCATGATCGCATTTAAGCGATGTACTAGCAATCGGACTCGATCAACGAATTCACGTATATACTAGTGCAGCTAGATCCAGTGGTTTCTTTGAGCTGGGCGAAAAGTTCGCAGAATGTAGCTAGCTCCATTCGTCTATATCTCTCTTCAAGGTCGTTCCAGAGATCTCGAGACGTTTCTAGCCCTGCAACATGAACACTGATTTCGACGGAAAGATATCGAAAGATTGTGTGATAGGCTTCAGCCTCACGTTTGGACCATTCCTGATGTCGCTCAAAAGCCTGGACTTCAGCTTCTAGACGAGCTTCGATAGCCTTCTGTCTTGGGGCTCCAATAAGGCGTTCATCAACCAGTGGAACAATGTCGGCCGTAATCGGTTTTGCGTATTTAAAAAGGCAGTTAGGACGTTGGAGATCTCCGGACATGATATCCCAGACTTGTCTTGCCTTTAAGTAGGAGGTCATAAGATGTTTCCAAGTTGCATAATTATCACTCCCTGTTAAAGGCTCAATAGCTGCGAAATTTCGGTCGGGAGACTCGGTTAGATGTGCAGGCATCGTGGCTGTGCCTGAAGTGCGGGGTAAATATAGCTTCAACAAGTTATAGTATGCAGTGGTTCTCAGAGTGAGTGGAGACGACACCCGAGAAGTTAGCACCCGGGCTCATAACCTGTTGTAATTCAAAGGAAGATTGCTTATTTTCCTTCTGGACAGAAAACTTGAGGGTTTATATACACATGCGACCTCCAGATTGATTTCCAATCAAAGCTGGTAATTCCGTGAGGTTAGGAATTGATTCCGTTACGGTACGACATATCACAACAGAATAATCTCGTTAACATCGGTTCATAGGCCACCATGCTTCCGATGGTTACGATCTTTGTTTTCGCGATATTAACCCCCCTAGAGGAAAGTCAGCCAGTCGCGAAATATCGTCCGCAGAGTCGTGGTCAAACTCGTCTCGTTTGGCACAGTCCTGTAGCGCTTCGGCGGTTGGAGGGGGTATTCGCGGTATGCTTTGAATTCCGTCATTATTTTCTGAAGTTCCGAGCTGGGTCATCGGGTCGTCATGTGCCAGCCATTTGACTCGGCACTTAAGTTCGTGCGCAGGTATAGGGATGTAATCTGTTCATTGGCTTAGCCACCAGGGTAGGAGGAGGAGGGGCAACTTCTTAAGCAGAGGCGTAGGTGAGGGGCTGGTTCGTCGGGGGCTCAGCCATTCGAGGTTCTAGAGGCGAAAAATTGGACACGTCTGACGGCTTTCCTGGCCCTGGGTGCATATGCCGGAGTGTTGTAGATGAGTAATTTGATCGGCCATTATCTGGTTAAGGAAACGAGGCGCTTTCTCAAAGAAATGCCAAAGCTCGTCCATGGGAATTTTGTATTCGCCGTCTGCCAGGTCAGAAAGCGTATGGCAGTATTTTGATCCCCCCAATACAAACTTGACACAGCCCATTGGCTGCATATTCTCTGATTTTCTTCTGCGTTCAGATAATACCCCTCTAAAACGAGTCGATTTTGAACCTCCCATGGCAGAGTGCGCATCGCTTCGAGTCCCAAATATCCCCTCGAACAAGCTTGATAAAGTATAGCTGTCGAACGAGAATTTCGCTCTTTGGACATAGCTGATCATCTAGCACGAGTCTCTCCACGACTCCTGTCCTTGGGCACTTAAGTCTGAGGTATCGCATGCTTTCGGGTCGAGCAGCTAAATCACGGTATTAGAAACGCTGTGTCAGGCAGCAAGATAACGTACAAGCAGACTTAATTATTGATTAAAATCTCAGAAACGGAACCATGCCCTCTTCAGTCTTGGTCTGTTCTTCCCTCTCACGCTTTTCCAGAGTATGTGTGCAACAAACTCCTTCCATATGCTCAGTGCAAGTTCAGATCAAATGTCTTGGGGTCCTTCAAAAGCCGTATACTGTTCGATCCGAGCTTTAATTGACCTGTGGAAGGGAGAACTCAATAGCAGTGCCTATCTTTTCCAAAAGGCCATGTTCCTAACTTCTGGGCCATTCCAGTGCGCTCGCTCGCCAGGAGGTTTGCACAGGTCCATATACAGCCTTACCATTAATGCCATTTGCTTTGCATCCACTAGGGCATCATTGTTATGCCCAGCGAGAGGGTGGCCACGAAAGATGAATAGAAACACCACCCCCAGCCATAATTGGTAATGACTGCCTCTGGATCAATTGCTCCGCACCTTCTGTATTGGCGCCGACTGTCAAAATTGACTGATGCCGTGTCTGTCTCTTCCACTTCGACTCTTTCAATGTTTGACTCTTGAGATGTGATCCAGTGGAACCCTGTAAGTTCGTGCTGCTTCTGTCTCCAATTTGAACTAGCCCCTTCATGTAGTATCGTCACGGTGCCGTATTCAGTTGTTCTGATTTTGTTGGCTTCTGAAGGCTTGCCTCTCGAAGGATCGGCAGATTTCTGTCTTGCTTCTGTATCATATCGGGCGCTATTTTGATGGTGTGTGATCCCCATCTGCGGCTGCTTCAATCATGCGTTCGAACTGTGTGCTCTCTTCTACGCTGCTTCTTTGTTTGGGCATTTCAATAGAAGCCTTTTGCGGCGACCATGATTCAAGGAGCACATGCCCCGTAGGATCCGATAACTTCACTCTCTCTGTCATCCACACCAAGCACACCCGAGCCGCATGCAATCTGTTGTAAAGATACAAGCTTGAAGCCTTCCGAAAGGGCCTAGACTTGGTGGACTTTGACTGTGCCTTGAGAGTTCACTCAAATGCTATCTTCCATCATTCTTGATGGAGTGCTTGAATCCCGCAAACTCAGTTGAGGATCGGGAAAGTTCTAGGAGTGAACGCCAGAAGGGTCTTTGGTGAGGCTCTCTGGTGTATCCTTCCACGGTAAATCCTTCGAAAAGGGCTTGTCTGATGCCAGGGCCATCGTAGTGGTGTATGAGCGTCCTCGCTTGATCTGAATCGAAGCTGTACTTCTTGTCTGACCGTCGATAGACGGGAGTATGTGTGTTAGAGACTATGATAGTCGATGCCTACCCACGAGCCCGCGTATTTCGCTTTTTTCAGCGAAGCTTTTTGTCGCCTGGGTGCAAAATCGACAACATGAGGGCACGACTGATGTTCCGATTGAGGGTAGTCGGTGTCTGCGACTGTATATATACGACATGTTCCATGTCTTTCCGAGGAGTTCGAAGGACGACCGCTCCATTCAGGAAATGTGGTCGAGGTGGTCGACGTGGTCGACTATACAGGCGACGCCCTATCGTGAATGTCCCGGGTCAATCCAGCTACTTCCAGAGCTGCACGATCGCCTGTCGAGATATGCTGGATGACCACAAGCAGTTACTCGCCCGTGGGCAGTGTGTGCGACGGTGGCCATTGCCATCTGCCTTGTAGCTGGTAGAGTGGTAATTTCCAAATTTTACAGGATTGTGATCTGGACGCAACTCTCCTGGCATGCAGTACTGACGTCGATGACATTTGGCTCTGTCAATGCGATAGTAGGCTGATCTGGCCTCCATGCTAGAGCACCGTCCGTGAATGGCTGCTGTGTTTTGCGACTCGGCATTTGAAATTGGATTTTGGCTCTGGGGCAGAAGAATTTGGCGTAGCTCTCACTTCGTATGAGCTATTGAGGATAAAAGAAAAGTCAAAATAAATCTGTCCCAGGGCCGAGATCCATTAATATCTCATCAGCACTGGTCAGTGCCGCCAAGTCGAAAGTGATGTGCCGTCATCTCAGAAGCGCCTGTTTCGTATTATACAGTCGCTTTTACATTCTGGACCGAATGGCCTCGTGTCTTGTATTATTTTGGAGCGGCTTGTGGTGTAAAGCAGATCGAGACAGTAGCAAACCTATTCGCAAGACACATATTCCAGCTGTCACATTGAATGCGGGCTTTGGAATCTGGAGAATGTGGAAAGAAGAAGGGCAAGTCTCAAAGACCTTGCAGATCACTTCACGGAACCCTTTGCAGTGGAGGTTTTATAGGACACTCAAACGTTCTAGTGCCTTCAAATTCCGGACACTGGGAACTTCTCTTCGATTGAAAAACGCCTCGCCCCAAGAAAAGCAGATATATCCGGATGTGTCTCCACACCTCCAAAGGCCACTGATGGATATTCGAAACCTTTCTTGTGCCCGTGAAATGCCTCAAAAAGCTACCTGGTTGTGCGGTGGCGCCATTTTTGGATCCATTGGTGTGCGGCAGTGCGGTCGTAAGCAAATAGGATATCTAGTTCAACAGCCATTGACTACTCTGTCCGACTAAGCAATGCGACAGAGATTGTATCAAGGCCAGTCAACCGGATGACGCCGGGAAGACGTAGGGATTCAGCCAGAAGTCGATGATAACTCGTATAGCTCCAAGGTCAGTCTGTGCGGAGTCCAGTTTAGGGACAGCAAAAGCTTCTGGGAGAACATCAATGTTATTCGAGTCAACTGGTGGTTGCACGGCTTGCGAGGAGGTCTTGGGTCGCCATAGTGCTCGTAATAAAATGAGTGCCGGACAGAAATGTTTTTTCTCAAGTGGTAGAGGCAGAGGGGACAGTGGTAGTAGAGGCGAAGACAACAATGGTGGTAGTATAGAGGGTAGAGGAGATGAAGTAGATAGAGACTGGTTGTGTAGTAGTTGAGAGTCTTGAGGCGCAGATAGAGACCGTGATGGTGGTAGTGCCGAGTATCAAAGAGGCAAAGACTGGGTTCAGAGATCCCGGCCCTGCTGTCTTGGGCAGACCTAACCGTTGCTCTTGACCTGAGGGCCGAGACTCCTCAGAACCTCTGGCTGGGGAGGTGCCGTACTCTTCCTACCCTGGGCCAGGCCCATATCCCGAGGCATTATATTCCTCACGTCCTTCTCGCGCCTGGAAAACTTGTGCACGATGTCCTGATTGATTACCGCCTGCATGTCCTTGCATATCCACGTCCCCATCTGGAACTTGGCGAATTAGCCCAGAACACCCGTTGAGATTGGAAATTCCCAGAACGCGCTCACATTATCCTCGCTCCAGGCAGCAGGTAAATCACCTGGCCAATTTTAACAATAATGAAATGCGCCACATAGCATTCTCTTCATCTCAAGTTTGCACTCCTCAAACCTTCCTAAGCCCATATTGCCAGACACCACCCTTTGCCGTAGTTCAATTTTGTGCGTGCCGGTGCTCCAGAATCTCAATTTCGTGCGTTTCTCTCCTCTGTGTCCTCCTTGCATTCCGAGTCCCTGCTTCTAGACCTTTTATAGTTACTATCAAGCTCTCAGGGACCAGATTGGTTTGACGCAAAGCCTAGTTGGAGGAAGTTGCGGTAGGAATAGCTTTAGCACTTTCCTTAATCGTATTCGTATCGGGAAAGCACTAGAGCCCTCTTCTGTAGCCAGGACTGCTCCGCATAACGATGCCGTAAGCGGGTTTCTTCGTCTAAATGGCACTTGTAGGCCTCAAAAACCTGTCTCGTAACCCGGCAGTGCCACTGTCGTATTCGCCAATGGATAGCGTAGCGGTACGTTCTTCTCCGAACAGGGTATTAGATTCAGCCGTCACCGATCACTCGGTCAACTTGATGTGTCCAAGCATGGCATCGGACACTGCAACAAGGCCAGTACTTGAAATCACGAGACCTGGGCGGTGACGGGCTACACCATACCTCCGTCACACACACACCTTCTTCCTTTCCTTCTTCCTCAGTTAGCCAGATAGCTACGAATATAACGTTCGGCAAGCTGCACTCTGTTTAGCTCACTCCATCCAAACAGGTTATGAGCCCTCTGGCTCGCTCGCACTCGATCTAACCAGTCGACTGCGATCCTCGACACGCACGCAAGCACACGCTACGCGTAGATCTTGCACGCTATCTCTCACTTCAAAACCAAGGAAAACCCACGGTTATTCCACGGTCAACACACGGTCATACCAACAACGCCACGATGCCCGATCATAAAGAAAAGGACATCGACAAACTCACGAACATCGTGCCCAAGCTCAAAGGAAAACAAAACTTTCCTCGCTGGCGCGAGTTTCTCGAACTCGCTTGCAGGCATTACGACAAACACCTCTGGCAAATTGTCACTGGACAAAATCTTTGCCCTGAGGGCCCAGTCGATTACGCCGACAACGAAATCCGCGACCGCGCAGCGGCAGACTACAATGTCAACGTTGCTACACAAGAACAAATTGATGAATGGACTACTGTCAACATCGATAACGTTAATGCGGACTATGATGAATGGACTAGGCTATCCGACGCTGCAAATCTACTCATCTTCGCTACCATCGAAGACTACTGCATCTCAATGATCTCCGGTCTTCACACAGGCCCAGAAGCCTACGCTGCGCTCCTCAAGGCCTATGGACAAACTACACCCGATACCATGAGAATCAAATTCGACATACTCATGAACTGCACTTTCCGAGTCAACGGACATCCTGACGCATTCCTTGGTGCCTGGCGCAAAGCTCTCAATGATTATCACTCTCTCGTGACCAAGGATGAACATATCCCAAGGACACTTCAGTATATGCACTTCGTTCGTGCTGTACAGGCAAATCCCGCTACAGAAACCTGGGTTGCAATCCACCAACCAGACCTGGCCTCACCCTCTCTTATGGAAGACACATTCACAAGCTTCCTCAACCACCTACACTCTAAATACAAAGCCCAAACCTCGTTATCCGCTTCAATGACAAGAAACGACAGAGAAAGAGGCACTGGACGAGGCCGCGGAACTGGACGTGGTGGTCAGGGGGGACAACATGGAGGACAAAGAGGGAATTACGGTGGACAGGGGGGCTCAAACTTCGAGTCAAAGCAGCCTCTAAAGAAGAGAACCTTCTGTGAGTATCACAAACGTGAATGCCACCACACTACGGAAGAATGCTCTCAAAACCCGAACAGACACGAAAAACCAACGACTCAGGGAGCATCAGCAGCCACTCAACCCCCAGAATATAAGGCAAGTTGTGCTAGAGTACACAGAATCGGGGAATTCGACGCCGATTCGTATTTCAAAGCTGCTCAAGCCGCCTCCCTCCACAACAGTCAAGGCTCTACCTTAGAGTCAACACGTACCAACACCGATCCAGGCGTGTCTACTTCAGAGTCAATCAAAACAGCATCAAAAGCTACACTAAACAGGGAAGTACCAATCACAGACTGGATGCTGGATTCAGGAGCCACAGCACATATGACACCTCACAGAACAGTCTTCTCTACCTTCACACCTCGCCGGGAACCAGTCTACTTGGCAGACAACCACACCCTATGGACAGAAGGCTATGGAGACGTTTACCTCTCAGTTGGTACAGGACCTGACACTGGACAAATCGAACAACTACACCTCGTTCAAGTCTGGCTGGTACCAGGTCTAGCCAAGAACCTGGTATCCACCTCTAGACTCACTGATAAACACACAAATGTTCTTAATTGCTGTGATTACTCTCTCATCCTACGGGATAACAAAACCATTGCCTACGCGTACAAGAGATACCACGAGTATTGGTTTTACAACCAGAACAACTCACACTTGTATTCATCACTGGCAAAACTCAACCTCTTGGCATACTCATCCTCAGCTGGAAGAAATGCCAAGACAATCACACCTATCAACATGCACCTGGCACATCGTCGAGCATGTCACGCTGGCGAACAAAAGGTTTCACGCATGACAACCCATTCGCTCGGCATTGACATCAAAAAGGGAACCGGTATTCAGAAACCCTGTGGTCCTTGCGTACAAGGCAAAGGTCATTCTCTTCCCTTTGGCCGCCCTAAACACATCACCTCGAAACCAGGACAAGTCATTCACACTGACGTCTGGGGACCGCTATCAGTCATGGCACAAGGCCAATTCAAGTACTTCGTTCTGTTCATAGACGAAGCCTCACGGTTCTGTTGGCTACAGCTTCTCAAATCACGAGATGAAGTGCTTCAAAAGTACATAGAACTTGAAAGATACTTACTCACTCAATTCGGAGTCCGAGTCAAAAAGTTGCATGGCGACAACGCCAAGGAAAACATTCCTCTCGAAACTCACTGCAAAGCAAACGGAATGATTTGGGACCCTTCTCCACCATACACTCATCAACTCAATGGAATACCAGAATCCAAGAATCGTTTTCTTATAGAGCCACTGATTTCAATCATGACAGAACATCAGTTGCCCAAACATCTTTGGGGCATACTCTTACAGGGAATCAACTACACATTCAACAGGCTATGGCACTCCACGATTGACATGACTCCTTATGAAGCACTCTATGGTCACAAACCTGATATCTCAAACCTGAGAGCACTTGGATGTCAAGCGTGGTATCTTGTCGACAAGACAAACCGACCAACCAAACTTTCACCACATATGATGGAAGGTCGCCTTATTGCCTATGGGAATGACTGAAACTACATCATTTACGATGTACACTCAAGGAAATACGTTCACTCACGAAATGTCACGTTCAACGAGCTCATGCCCAAAGAACTACCAAGACCAACGTATGATCTGGATGCAGAACCTACTCTGGAAATGAAGAAGCAATCACCTTCAAGCCATGAAGAACTGATTATTGATGACGAAAAATCAAATCCCACTGCGAAACAATACGTACCCATGGAATTCCTTGAAAATTCTCATCAGAAACCAAACTCCACCATGGAACAGTCATCTTCAAACTTCACGCCCCAACCAGAAATCTTCTCCAGACACAGACGCAAACCACCTCTGGCGCTACCACCAGTTTCTCCATCGCCTTTCTTGGAAGTCACAGATCTTCCGGAGGAAGAACAAGCGCATATTACTCCACAATCTAAGGATGTACCAGGACATTTCCCTTCAACACCAGTCAATCCTGATGATAACCCCTCGAAACCGGAACCACGGCGATCAAGTCGCCAAAAAGACACTTTCCAAAGTTGGCCAGGAATCAAAGGATTATCTTGATATCCGAAAACAACGAGCAGAAGCACGAAAAGTCAAAGCCAACACAGTCAACCACATACTCAACGAGAACTTCGACAAGGGTTTCCAACCAGAACTCCAAGATGAGTTAGAAACTTTGGAGCAACAGCTACCAGAACTCCTCTCAACAGTCGAACTCGACGACCAAATTTGCGAACTCTACGCCACATACAGCATCCTCGGATCAACCGAACTGATAGGATGCCCTGTCCCTCTAGACCACACAAACGCGATGTCTGTTACACAAGCAGAACAAGACGAAACTCGCACACTGGACTGGAGACGGGCGATGGCTTCACCTGACAAAACAAAATGGCTGGAAGCTGCACACGAAGAAATGCGACGTCACATCAAAAACCGCACTTGGCGTGTATGTCAGAAACCAGCGCACCGCAAACCATTCCCAGTCAAATGGATCTTCAAAAAGAAACATGACGGCACATACAAGGCCAGACTTGTAGCCAAAGGTTTCTATCAGCGACCAGGGCTTGACTATGTTCAAGTTTTCGCACATGTGGCAAAAGCAAGCAGCATAAAGCTATTTCTAGCAATTGCTGCCGACCAATCATGGCCAATACACCATATTGATTTTGTGGCTGCCTTCCTTAACGCAGAACTTCTGGAAGAAGCCTACATCGAACTACCAGAACTCGAACCACACTGGGATAACCGGAGAACACACTGTGGACTTCTCCTCAAAACACTCTATGGATTGAAACAGAGCCCCAGACAATGGTACAACCTACTTCGAGACTTTCTTCTGGCGCAGAATTTCATCATGTTCCAAACAGACCATTCTGTGTTTATGCTACACGACAGGGAGCATTGGATCTACGTCCTCGTCTACGTCGATGACTTATTGGTACTCTCACCAAGTGAAAGGCACATCAAATGGTTCAAAACTGTAGCCGCTTCCTACTTCGACCTAACCGACAATGGACCGCTCAAAAGATTCCTTGGCATCGATGTCCACCGAGAAGGGCTGACAAACATCTACCTCTCACAGGCTGATTATGTTGACAAAATCCTCCTTCGCAAAGGATTGTTCGACTGTCATCCCGTAGACACCCCTTTTGCTAATACAAGACCTCTTGTTGCAAACAAAGACAAAGCTGAACCCGAAAAGGTTCATGTCTTCAGACAAGATATAGGCGAATTGATTTGGTTGGTGGCGATGACACGACCAGATCTTGCTTATGCCGTCAACAAACTAGCCAGATACGCACACAATCCTTCCTCAGCACACTTCGCAGCGCTAAAAAGGATTCATAAGTACCTCAAAGGCACCCGCAATCTCATGATCAATTATGAACCTTCCCAAAACCTACTCACTGGTTGGACGGACGCAGATTTCAACGGGAAGCATGCGGATGACTATGTCAGCACTTCTGGTTACGTATTCAAAATGGCCAACGGCCCAATTTCGTGGATCTCTAAACGACAGACAGCGATCACAATCTCCACAACAGAAGCAGAATATGTTGCAGCAACAGTCGCAACTTCTGAACTTACATGGATTCGGAATTTCCTTGGAGAAATGGCTCTATTCGAAGAGTACACATGTAACCGAGCAACCATCATCTATGAAGACAACAACGGCACTATTGCACTCACCGAAAACCCAGAAAATCATGTCAGCACTAAACACGTCAAGCTTAAGTATCATTGGATCAGACAAGCAGTGTCTGAAGGTATTTGCAAGCTGGTACACATCGTAACCACTGATCAAGTCGCTGATGGACTTACAAAACCACTCACTGGACCAACGTTTGCCAAATTTGTCAAAATGCTGGGATTAAAGACGGTCCTCATAGTACGAGAAAAGAACAGCGATTTGCTTCATCAGTCACCTCAGAAGGAGGGGGGTACTTGAAATCACGAGACCTGGGCGGTGACGGGCTACACCATACCTCCGTCACACACACACCTTCTTCCTTTCCTTCTTCCTCAGTTAGCCAGATAGCTACGAATATAACGTTCGGCAAGCTGCACTCTGTTTAGCTCACTCCATCCAAACAGCCAGTAAGCTGTATAAAGCCAGGAAAGGTGTATGGGTTCACGACGGAAACGTGATAGGTGCTGCGAGAGGGGGATAAGCGACGCCAGCCTCAACTCGTGGTAGGCATCATAAACTTGATATTAGAACAATTCAAGATTCCATTGGGATAGGATCTGTGCGGTTCGCATGTGAATGCCAGTTGTACTCTCTATCAAGATCAAGTTGGCCAAGAGCACCAGGGTCTTTGGTACGGGTTAGGCGGTCATTCCGAGGACGAATGCCAGCAAAAACTTCCCAAGGGTCAGTGATCATGGTCCCCTCACCAGATATATGGGGCGGCAATGCTGTAACTAACTTGCAAGACCTTGCCGCCGCTAGTTTGATTCTCAATTGTGTCGGTGGCGATTTGCGGGTAGATCCTCGATGGTTTTCATCAACATCTGATATCTTGTACCTTTTCTTCTGGTAGACCTGGCTCGGCATAACTCTCTGCGAGAAATCCCAATGCGCCATGTTGATACTGATAGCCAAATTCACTCCACGAGAGCATTGATCGGGCCAGGAAAAGGATCGTCATCCCACGCTTGTCCCAAATCTGACGAGCCGTTGGAGAAGACCGATGGCTATTATCATCCAAGATTATAGAAGCTTCGTAGACCTCGTTGGTCCTCCGATGTAATGGTTGTGGGAGCTCGCGAGATGATGGATGGAGCGATCTAGGGTGAGGCAGAGATTTGTAGAGGGAAGATTGGTGGCTGAAGCTGAACAAACGCCAATCGACAAAGCTCACCACCATGTTGTTGATATCCAAATCCTAATAATTCCGTTCATAGATACGATTTGCCATCCTGAGCTAGCAAACAATGACATCATGTGGTTGCAGTGAGACGCTCCGGGAAGGATTCAGGGTCAATCTTTTATTGCAGATGATCCTTGTCAATGTTGCATCAACGATGTTCTATGTACAAAGAGCCTCCTTCCTTGCAGTCGACCAGGAACATATCTTTCGGGCTACTGCCAGAGAAATTTTACTGCAGTGTGGGAGATTGGTGATGAATCGGGATGAATCACATGCCGGGTTTTGACCAAGATTCGTTTACAGACAAGAGATGCGAATTGTGCTGGGAGTTAACTACTAGTATACTAGAAAGTCAGTGTTCCACTGCGACAAAAACCACAGGTACAATCGAATCATGGATAATTGTCTGTGTTATCCCATTTGTTGAACCTATTCTGTAAAATTTGTAGACTATACAGCCCTATAGCTCTATCAACGCGCCGGTACATCCAAGCCAGGTGATATTTTAGAACACAAGAGAATCGGACTGCAGAGTAATGCGACAATAAAAATGTAATTGATGAATATACTAGACTACAGTCTGATAAGAATATTCAGCGTAGGGTATAATAATAAAGTCCAAACCACATCAGTCCGACAAACAAGCCCGCTGCAACAATCAACAGCAATGTCACAAGCCAGCAACTACCTACCAAACCGCATCTGCGCCCCAGCATAATGCCACAATCCCCGCATGAACCCCTGGTATTCCACCGCCTCGCCATACCCTGTCAGCCCATGACTGCGGTCTCCGGTACAATACATCTCCGTCAACCGAATCTGCCACGGCGGGTATCCGTCCAGTTTCAGGAAGGGGCCGAAAACAAGCAAAAGATCCGGCTCTGGCTTCAACAAATCTCCACTGCTGGCATCTCCATCCTGTAGCGGGTGAGTTGTGATTTCTGTAATCTCTGCGTCCACCAGCTCCGGCGTAATATCCTCCGGCGAGAGCTTTCCGCTCTGGGACATCTCTGCCAGTGTCTTGGTGAGGTCGACGATGGTTTCGCGGCCGTCGGTGGAGGAGAGGAGGAGGAGGGTGAGAGAGGGGTTGTCGGAGTTGGAGCGGGTGCCGTGGATTGGGTGGTGTGGTGCGTAGAGTTGGAGAGAGGGTTGCTGGGACGGGGTTCCGTAGTACGAGGCCAGTTTCGTGGTGATGATCTGGTGGAGGGCTGGGATGCAAGATTTCAGGACGCCTTTTTTCTTCTCGTTAGCTTTCTGTGTCTCATTTCTACGTTATGCCACGCAGGGCTGGGAGGACGTACCTGTCTTCTCGTACACGCTGAGCTGCCCAATCCCCGCACACGTACACCACGCCGCGAGCTCCGCAACCTCATCCATGAGTACGGCGAGGGCATCGTCCTCCGTGCGAAGCGTCAGAATAACACTCAGGTGCTGTGGGAGTCGCTTCAGACCGCGCACATCCTTGCGAATTAACTCGGGAGTTCGGTGGTGGTGATATACGATAGCAAGGACGCGGTCGACGACGGCATGGTAGGTCTGGATCAGACGGACGACGATGCCGAAGATGATGTGTGTCAAGGCGTAGGTGAGGTGGTGGATTTGCGACTTGATGAAGGTCCGGATAGGCGTCTTGCGCGGTTTGCGGGTGCCGCGGGCGTGTCGCGAGGTGGTGAGGTCGGCTGGGTCGGGCAGGTAGGGCTTCAGCAGGGCCTCGCGGTCGGCAGCGCTGAGCTTGTTGTTTCGCGCTCGGACTTCGGCGCGAAGCACCTCGCGCTCTTTGGGGGAGACCATTTGGGTGGTTGAGGGGGGGAGAGTTGGAGAAGTTCAAGTTGTCAACGGGCGGCGATCGGAAGAACAAGCCACCTCAAAATTGGTGGTTGACCAGCTGTTTGTGAGACACCGCGAGTTCAATACCATTTGAATAATATATGTCATGACAATGGGGCAATGCTGTATCTAAATATATATTATATTCTATCCTGGTGCCTTGCACTGCCGAGTGGCCAAGTGGCTTGACGACATCGAACATCAAGGCTTCGTACGAACAATAAATTGTGAACAATTAATCGATATTTGCAGATACAATATTATAGACCTTTCACCTAGTGCTGTCTTACGTACGTAGAGCTCTCAAGTAGCATTCCTGTGAAACGCGGCGATCCCTCGCGTCTTCCCCGGACTCCAACCTCACCTTCTCCCACCTTCACTTCCACCCGAAGGCACCACCACAGGCACGAGGGCACCACCGACGGAACAAAGGTTCCACTCTGCATGCACCTTGCTCGCCCTGCTTGCAAGGCATGACTCCATCATGATGGACAATGCATCCATTGCCTCGGCCAGCACCCGCTCCGTCTTCCCCAAAGGCCCCAGCTTCACCCTCGAGGACTTCTCCAGTCGCGACTTCATCGTCAAGGAATTCATCGAGACCCTCTCCGACACCGCCATCTCGCACCGTCGCTCCATCGGTACCGCCATCCCCAACCAGCCCTTCGATCCCAAACCCCTCATCCGCACCTTCGAACATGCCCAGCGCCGACTTGGCGAGCTCTCCGGCGACCTCGAGATCCGCGAGAATGAGCTCTCCGCCGCCGTCCGCCGCGCCGAAGCGCAACACTCGCAGAACCTGACCACTCTCGGCCGGAAGCTCCGACAGACCATCGAGTCGTTCCAGCAGCTCGACACCTCGTTGAATGGCGCCGGCTTGGAGAATGCGGGGGGCACAGGCAACATGGCTGTCGAGACGGGAAAGCGGCTGGAGGAGCTGGATCGGCAGCGTCGGCGGGCTCTCGACGCGCATTTCTTGCTGGAGTGCTGGGAGGGTGTCTGCAATCGTGGCGAAATCACTCTCCTGGAGAATCTGCGCCGATCAGGCACGGCCGAGGCGAAGGTGCGGTCGGCGCATATTGCGCGCCAACTCTTGCGCATTAGCCAGCGGTTGGATCCGCAGAGCTGGCAAGAAAGCTCTGCGAAGAATGGAAATGCCAATGCCAATGCGAATGGAAACTACGGATCAAATTCGTCGTCTTCCGAGGATGTCAGTCGGGAGAGCAGTCCCCCGCGGCGAAACACGCGCGAGGTGATTGAAAAGTTCTCTGAGACGCTGGAGAAGGATCTTCTGAAGCAGTTTGACGACTTCTACCGCAAGGCCAATTTCGAGGGCATGAAGGACTGTGCGACGGTCTTGCAGGATTTCAATGGCGGGTCCAGTGTGATTGCCCTGTTTGTGAATCAGCATCAGTTCTTCATCGACCGCAGTCAGCTTGTCACAGAAGAAGTGGGTGGCGATGCCGAGTCGTGGGAGCGCATGGCCGATCCGGACGCCGAGTTGCCTGGCGTTGAACCCAGTCTGCAGTCTCTTCTGGACGAGGTGAAGGTGGTCGTGCAGGAGGAGTCGGCGATCATCCGCCGTGCGTTCCCCTACTACGAGCAGGTGCTGGGAAAGTTCTTGCAACGAGTATTCCAGCAATCGATTCAGCAGAGACTAGAAATGGTTCTGGAGAAGGCCAGCGGAGTTTCGTCACTTGCATTTCTACGATGCCTACAAAGTTCTCGAGGCTATATCAGCGCCTTGATTGATGACTTGAAAGCCCACGGATTGACCGAACACCCCGAGACCATCTCTTCTCAAACCGCACTCCTCCTGGACCAGCAGCTGGAAGAACTGTTCGTCCCCTACTTCGTCGGCTCTTCTTACATTGAACGCGAGAAACGCACCTTGGAGGAGCTCTTTAATGCTGTTCTCTTCAAATTCACCACTTACCAAGCCCGACGAAAGAAGGCCGCCACCACATTCATGGCTTCTCTCTCACGCCCCGGCACAGAACTACTGTCCACGACCCGCGACGCCTTCATCAACCGCCTGGATTCCCCCGAAGTGTCGCCCATCCAACGACGAATGCTTCTCCAAGTGGCTAAATTAGGCGAGGTGCCCGAAACCGTGCGGTTGACAGAGATCAAACTCACCGAAGAAGACGGCCAGCCCAACCTGAGCGACGCCAAGCGCATGCTGAAATGGCTGGCGGAGGCTGTGGGTCGTGGCTTGGAGCTGAGCGTCAATACCGACACCCACAAGGATGTCTCCGCCATGCTGAACGTCCTCTTGATTACTATGGGTGATGGATACATCGATGTTTGCCTCGACGCCGCCCTGGAGGCCGCCACCTCGCAAGAATCTGGCAAGACAGAGCCCGATTTTGCGTACCTCCCGTCCGTCCGCACGACGATTAGCATTACTACGTTGATGGTGATGTGTGTTAATGCGGTTCTGCTCCCCTTGGCTGCGGGCAGTATCACGACCCGCCGGGATATGGAGAAACGAACGAGCCAGACGACCTCCCGAATTGAAGAGAAGATCAACACGATCGAACAAAAGACCATTGACGGAACATTGGCCTGGGTCAGCCGTCTCCTCTCGGGGCAAAGGAAAAACGATTTCCGACCTCGAGACAGCGACAACACCGCCTGGCTCGAAATGCTCCAAACACCAGTAAGTATCCATCCAGCCAGCTAGCCATGATTAAGTAAACTAACACTCTTCTAGACCTGCGCCTCAATCTGCACATTCCTCACCCGCCTCCAAACAATCGCCAAAACCTCGCTCCCCTCCAGCGGCTCCAACGTCCGCTCTGTCCTCACTGAAATCGCCCTCCGCACTCGCAGTCTGCTTCTGGAACACTTCAAGCGATTCTCCGTCAGCGGCCCGGGCGGGCTGATGGTTACCAAGGATATGACCCAGTACGCCGACCTGCTCAAATCATGGGACATTGACGAGGAAACGAAAGGACCCGGTGGCGCGCTGGACGTGTTACTGGAAGTGGGCAGTTTGTTCGTGATTGGCGTGGAGGCCTTGCGAGAGCGGATCCGCGGCGGCGCTGCTGCTGGTACGACTGCTGGGTCTGGCGGCAGTACGTCGACGGCTGGGACTAGTGCCGGCACAACATCTGCCCGACAGGAGAAATTGAGTGTGCAAGAGGTGCGGGCGTATGTTTCTAGACGCGAGGATTCGAATACCCTTGCTATGCAACAGGTTCTTAATGCGCTGTGACCTGCCGCAGCTACCAACAACTTTCTTGATTCAGCTACGTCTGGACGTCTCATTCGAATATTTGTGCTATACCTTAGAGTACTCTAGATTGAGCAGGGGTATCTGCTCTGCTAATCCATGAAACCCGACAAGTCCGAGATTAGACGGGGATGGCCGATCAATATTTCTTTGTTCAGTTTGCTGGCGTCGGATCTACGGACTAGTACCTCCCACCACGTAATTCCTGGCATCGCCAACGGCTGCCAGTGCTACTAAACTCCACTAGTTTGCCCACCCACTGGAAATCCAACTACAGTAGCCTCGCGAAAATAGGTAAAGTAAAAAAATGGTATACATCACCCAACCCCTCGGCGAACCCTAGAACACGCACAGAACAATTAATTATACTTCGGTTTATCATGCACCAGATCGACTCGACCCGATCTGTGGAACCCACATCGACGTGTTCTTTCCGACGCGCGCTTCGGTTCGTTTCTGTGGGGTTAGAGTTCGGTGACAGCTCATAATTACGCGTGTACCGCCATCGTATTGCTTTCCTTGTTTGCTGGACTTGGATCGGATTTCGGGAGGGCACTAGTGGGGGGCTGACGGTGATAACTGTTTTTGTTTGTGTTCGCGCCTCTTTCCGAATTAGGATGGTTGTGGTTAGATTGTTTAGGCGGCCTGGCTGGCTGGCTGGGTGAGCTGATTGCGGTTCTAGAATTGAGTGTGGGTATCATACATACAGTAAGAGCCTCTCGGGGAGGGGGGGGGGGACTGTGTGTTCGTAGGCTGCAGCTTGGGCCCTTGAAAGGGATGATGGATACCTTTTCCGTCTGATCTTGAGATAGACTTTAATGATTCAAGTAATTGTATAGTATACATCGATGGGGAGCTACATGATATATCCTCGAATTGACGGTACAGATAAAGTCAGTTCCTCTTAGCCATTTCCAGCAGAAATGCATACGCAACGCCCTCCCTTCTGTTTTCCTCAGCCCCGTGGTCTTCACTCTCGGTCGGGGTGTTCCTACAACAAATGATTTCATCTCCAGACTGTAACCAACCACCCCGCTGACATGGTTGACCAGGACCCCCAGCTAGCCAGAGACATATGTCGAATTTGGCAACGATTACCCCGCCATTCAACCGCCTATGGTGATTGTTTGATAAGGAACAGGGGAGGAAAGCGGAGAAACATAATATGCTGCGCTGAAAACAAATTAGCCACCTCCAGATACCCTCTCTTCGATTCATTGTCATGCAAACTCGATCGAAAACAAACAACCAGACTCACAGAAGAATGCCTCGAATGAAACAAAGCCGTGGCGGGGAACGGGCCGACCCTGTTCTGTTTTTGTTTTTGTTTCTGTTTCTGTTTCTGTTTCGTCTGGAGAAGTTGATACAAGATGTTTCCTTGCATCTGCAGACGATGTGCCTTGCTGGGCTCACATATTTACCGCTTCATCTATGGTGGTGCAGTTGCGATGATGCAATGATATGGATTCGTAGGTGCACCATGTACATTTCATACCCTCCTAGCTGATATGTGTAGTCGATCAGAGACCAGGATGTCTTTTCATATCTCACGATCCTACCGCAATTTCTACTACTGCTCGACAGGATTTATCTCACCGAGTCTCCACGAATGTAGATAACTGGACGATCTGCGATGACATTCCCGTCTGTCTAGCCCAGTAACATACATACACTCTAGCAGGGATGTCCGAAGCGCCCCCAAGAAAGCCTAGCGTACTCAAATTCGTGACCCCCTGCCCAGGATTCTTCCTTGTACCTGAGAGTTGTTTGGTTCGGAGATAAGGTACCAGCATACCCTCTCGCAGTCCCCAGATGAGGCAATAAGGCTCAACCGGAGCCCCTCGTATTCGGCCTGCTGACGATCGATTTCCAAACGAACGTTGGGTACAGACGAGGCTGGATGGCGTGTTTCAGTTGGCGCCAGCACATGAACGCATGTACCTGTACCCTACAAGGGCACCGTGGGTAGGGTAACAGTAGGGTTGGTCGGTATTCCCTACTCCTTCTGTGCTGGCAGTTGGCAGGTGGGGACATGCATTGGCCGTGCGGAACAGATCAGATCCAGATAGCCTTTGTAACCGGTGGAGATCGCCCCTTGCCAGCCTGAAGCTGCAATTCAGCCTGGTCGAGTCCGGGCCAGGATCTGTACTACCGGCAACTGCCAACTCATGGCAACTCATGGCATGGCAACAATCCACATGGCCATCATTTCACAGAATGGTGTTTGTGTAGCACCAGCGCTAAAAAGAAATGTGCAAACACCCTGCAAGTCACGATGAACGGTTCGCGACTGATCACATCGAGGGGCGGAAAGTGACAGGTCTCGAAATAAATGTCACACGTCTGTGCGTACCTTTCTTTTTCTTGCATCCCGACCTACCCTAATACTTAAAGGATGTACATACACACCAAGTACAGCTCTCAGCTATATCTATGCATGCCACGCCCGGCTTCTTCTGGACCTGGATGCCTTCTTAATTATCCGATCACCGTTGCCCAGGTTGATCAGCGACCAGTCCATTCCGCTAGAGCATTACTAGCAGCATCGGCGCCCGGACTATTTGCCCGCCTTACACTCCATGCAGTCAGTGCAGTTCGACGACTTCGAGTCGCTGCCACCGGCAGTCCGGCGGAAGGTATGTCCTCTTCCCTGCGCATCCCTCACGTCACCCTCGCCTTTCCCACACTGGCCCTTCTGCGAGCCTCCCTCCTGCCTCGTCACATCACAGCCCACTCCGGTGGAGTCAATAGTCTCCCTGCTTCCCCTGAATTCCACCATCCACCACTCCCACTTGGCGCCAACGTCGATAGTGCCTCCCCAGCATTGGATCGTCCTCCATTCCTCCCCACTTGCCCTCTCCACACCTGTTCGTCGCTGACTCGACCAGTTCTTCTCGAATGTCGAGCGTTTGCGCATTCGGCTAGCGCAGAGCGATCCCAGTTCCCCTGCGTGCTCCACGTCAAACTATGGGGGCCACCATGTCATCCGGTCCGGGCCTGGCCCTCTTGCGCGAGTGCGAACCCCATCGACGGCGTTGACCAGACGCTCCGGTCTCGAGAAATCTCGCGCGCCGCAGAAACTGCGCAAGCCTGGCTCCTTGCAACTCGCTGCCCTGGTTGCTCAGGCCGACTCGCAATGCTTTCATTCCTTGCCCGCTAAGGTCCAACAAAAGCTTTTCTCCCCCGAAGAACGCCGTCGTCTACGTCAGGCCTACCGGGACAGCGTGATTTACGACGCTGCCGACCAGGCCTTCTACCGAGGAAACCAGAACCAACGCCACTGTCACCATCCGGCCACTCGTCGACCGCAGACGCAGCCTCGACCTCGCCGTCGCTCTATTGACAGTCTGCCCTCGGACAAAACACTCCCAGTGGCCCAACCATCCACCGTCTTCTACGATTCCGACTCTGAATCCGAGTGGGAGGAGACCAATTCCACCATGGATCAATCCATATACGACAGCTTCCGCTGGCTCGATGAGGACGGCGACCTTGACCTCTCGTTGGACGAGTATCACTCGCATATCGCAGCAGCCACCAGCAAAGGCAGATCTCGTCGTCGACCCTCCTTCCGTCGGTCTCTTTCCTTCTCGACGCATGCTTCCATGAAGCATCGTCCCTCGCCCTCGATGCCAACTCGCGCTCTCCCATCCAGTCAGACCATTCAGCCCCTATCTCCTATTCCTCCTCTCTCTCCGGTCTCCAGCCACCACCGCCGCCGCTCCTCCTCGCGTCCCGCATCTCGCCGCCAGCCCGCCAGCCACGCGGCAAAATCCTCCACCTCCAGCATTGACCCGTCCGCTCAATACTACCAAGACCCTGATGCGCGTCTCAAGCTCCGCGTGTACCTCGCATCGCCGCAGAAATTCGACGAAGCCATCGAATTCGGCTTTCCCTCGCTGGACCAGAATAAGGAGAATGTTGACCCCGAGCCGACCTCTCCGTCGGTCCCCGTCAAGCAGGAATGTGCCGGAACATTCTTCGAAGATGACGATGGGACGGTCGTCGGTAGCCCCGGCACCTCCATTACAGAGGAACCGACCCCCCCTCCATCAAGTGCTCCGGCACCGGCATCTGCACCGGCCACTGCGGGGCCCGCACACCCCCGGCACTCGTCACAACTCCGAGAAATCACTCGCCCGTCCGCGGACACCCCATCCCTGTTCCAACGACGACAATCGTTCCTTCCGGGGTCCAAGACCGGACCGCGTCAATTGCCTGGAAACCGCGAGATGACTCTCAAAATGACATTAACCCGACCGGATCTGCGGGAGGAATCTCCCACCCCGTCGCAGCAATCCCCACCAGATGATCCCCTGCGGCTGGCTGCACTTCCTCCGGCCGATCGCAGTCAGCAGATCTGGGATGATCTAGATGATGAGCGCGGGATGGTGAAGAAGATTTGGCGGCGGTTGCGGAGGAGAGTTTAATTTGTTTTCTTACATTTTTATATTCCCCCTTGCGGTGTTTTTTTTTTTTTTTTTTTTTTTTTCTTTCATTCTCTGATGAAAATGCCTGCGGGCATCATGTCGTTCTTTAGCGGATTGGCGTCGGTTGAGCTGTTATCGCAGCGCTGTATATATTTGCTGCCTCACTCTTTGAACATACCAACATCATTTTTCTCTCACTCAGTTCCTCCATGGCTCTCTATTGTATGAATTGTAGATTTAAGTTTACAGTTGCAATTGAATTGTAGGTCATCCGATTGTTTACTAGTACTTTTGTATACTTGCGCGGTGTTCCACGGTTCAGCGATAAGCTTCACGTGACTCCGAGCTCCCCGGAGCTGCGTCTACGACTGCGTGGCCTCACCTCCGACCAATCCAGCAACATTGCACAACGATTCTATTTTAATTAACCTCCTGTCAAGGGATCGACTCTCCCTCTCGCCTCCACTGCCCTTCTCTTCCCGCCGCTACCCGCGGGACGGCCGCCGCCTACCTTAACCGCCCCTTCCGATGCCTATGCCTACTCGCCTCCGATCATGATCCCTCGGTGGCTGCTGCTCGTGGTCGGCCTGCTGCTCCTCAGCATTCATCCGACCACGGCAAAAGACCATAAACTGAAGGCCCACTCGACCGACTTCTCCCACCAACCGAACAACCTCTTCTACTTCCAAGGCTCCAACACCATCCTCTTCCAAGATGCCATCGCGCGCAATGCGTACATCTCTACCGACGGCGGCAAGGAATGGTCTGTCCTTGGCACGCGAAAGGGTGACGATGGTAAAATGGAAGGAGAGATACTGCTGCTGATGCCACATCCGTTTGATGAGAAGCGCGCCTATGCGCTCGCTGATAAGGGAACTGGTTGGGTTACCACTGATCGCGGTGATACTTGGAAGAAATTCGAGATTAAGACGACGCCGAATGTGTCGCGGAAGAATTCGCCTTTTCGGTTTCATGGTCATGATCCCAAGAAGGTTATCTTTATGGGTCGCGAGTGCTCGATTACCATGTGTTTCCCCGTGGCATATTACACCAAGGATGACTTTAAGACGGTGAAGAAGCTCTCCGAGGAGGACGCGACTTTCGACTGCAGCTGGGCTGTCGGGACACCTGAGTTTGGCCAGGATCTGGAGCTGAAGGCGTCCATAGCTGATCGCATCATGTGTGTGGTGACTGGAGCTATGGACGGACGACTGGATGCTTTCCTGCACCGTCGTCTGGTCTACTCCGATGACTTCTTCGAGGATGGTGGCCATGAGATCAATCTGGATCGTGGTCGTCCGGTTCCTGGAATGGAAATCCGCATGGTCTCCGTGAAGAAGTACATCGTCGTGGCGTTGCAGTCGCGCGGTACCATGGAGCAGACGCTGTATATCAGTGACGATTCGAGCGAGTGGCATCGTGCGGAATTTGGTGATCACCGGCTCGAACAGGATGGATACACCATTCTGGAGAGCACCAATTACAGCATCCAGGTCGATGTGCAAACGACCCTGAGTGAAAACCCCGTCGGCGTTCTCTTCACTTCCAATTCGAATGGAACATACTTCACTCCCAACATCAGACATACCAACCGAAATTTGTTTGGGAATGTCGACTTTGAGAAGTTGGCAGACATCCAGGGCATCGTGATTGTCAACACCGTTGACAATTGGGAAGCAGTGGAGGATGGCGCCAGTGAGAAGAAGAAACTCGTCACTCAGATCAGTTTTGATGATGGGAGAAATTTCACAAATCTCAAAGTTGACAACGAGAATCTGCACATCCATTCTCTCACTTCCTATGTCGAGCTGCACGAATTGGCCGCCCTCGGCCGGATGTTCTCGAGCCCGGCGCCCGGACTGGTCATGGGCGTGGGTAATACTGGTGAATATCTAGAGAAATATTCCAAGGGCAATCTCTATATCTCCGATGATGCAGGTTTGACCTGGCGATTGGCACTGGAAGGCCCCCACCGATTCGAATTTGGCGACCATGGCGGTGTCATTGTCGCCATCAAGGACGACGACGCTACCAAAAAAGTCATGTATTCCATCAACCACGGCAAGGAGTGGGAGAAGCTCGAGCTGGATACCAAGATCAAGCCTCTGTTTATCACGACCACTCCGGACTCCACTAGCCTCAAGTTCATCCTGGTCGGAATCTCCAATGAAGACAACAACCCGAAGTACACCATCTATCAACTTGATTTCGATGACCTTCACGAACGCAAGTGCGACAAGAATGACTTCGAGGAGTGGGCTGCCCGTCTTGATGAGAACGGAAAACCAGACTGTCTGATGGGCCACAAACAAATTTTCCACCGTCGCAAATCCGACGCCGAGTGTTTCGTCAAGAATGAGTTCAAGATTGACCATCCCAAGTCGGAGAAGTGCAAGTGCTCCGCCGAGGACTTTGAATGTGACTACAACTTCAAGCGCAGTGAAGATGGGAAGAAGTGTGTACCGGCCGTGGCTTTGTCACCTCCTGCCGGTCAGTGCAAGGACCCTAGCGACACGTTCAAGGGTCCTTCAGGCTGGCGATTGATCCCCGGAAACACATGTACACGGGAAGGTGGTAAGAACCTCGACGAAGACGTCGAACAATCGTGTGGAAACGCCACCAGTCCGCCCGCAGCTGATGGGAAAATCCGCGTGGGCGAAACACACTACTTCAACTCGAAAAAACCGGCCTATTACTACCTCGAGCGTCAGACCAGCAGCAATGGAGATGACGAGACGATCTTCCAATTGACCGGCGACAAGGAACTTTGGGTTACGCACGACCACGGCAAGACCTGGGCACAGCCGACGCAGTTGAAGGGCGAGAACATCGTCGATGTCATCCCGAATAGGTTTTACACCGATGCAGCATTCTTCCTAACCGAGAGTCAAACTGCCTGGTTTACGGTCAATCGTGGAGCCAAATTCCACAAGATCAAGGTCCCCACCAAGTACATCGACCGGAACATTCCTCCCCTGGTATTCCATGAAAAGTACATGGAGTGGGTGCTCTGGATCGGCTCCAATGAGGACTGTGACAGCAGCAGCAGCAGCAGCAGCTGTGAACTGGATGCTTGGTACAGCACCAACTCAGGTCAGACGTGGAGCGACAGCCCCATGCTGCGTGGTGTTGGGCAGTGCGTCTTTGGCTACCAGCCAGGTCTGGAGAATACCGAGAACCTCATTCTGTGCGAACAATACCAATCTGAGCTCAGCACGAAGGACCGTCAGCTTGTTTCTGGAAATAGCACCGGCACTCAATGGTTCTCGAAAAAGGATGTGAAATTCGAGAACATCGCCCACTTCGTCACGATGGACGGCTTCTTCGTTGTTGCCACTTATCCAACCGAGAAGCACGAGTTCCTCAACGTCAGCACCAGTCTTGACGGCTCGATCTTCGCACAGGCTCACTTCCCGCATAACCTCGCCTATACCGATGTCAAGCAATACACCGCTGTCCCGGGTTCTGGACATGCGCTCTTTATGAATGTTGAAGCGAATACCGACGAAGATCGCAAGTTCGGCTCTCTTGTGAAGAGTAACAGCAACGGAACCTATTTTGTCTCTAGTCTCGAGGGACTGAGCCAGAGCAACTATGGATACATTGATTACGAGCGAATTGCCCATCTGGAAGGTGTTGCTATTGCCAACATTGTTGTGAACAAGGACGAAGTGAAGACCAAGTCTGCTTCGAAGAAACTTCGAACTGTTATCACCCACAATGACGGTGGTCAATGGGCCTTGCTCCCGCCCCCGAACAAGGATGTTGACGGTAAGCAATTCGATTGCTCAGTGCAGGAAGGCAAGGGAACGGATTCTTGCGCGCTACACCTCCACGGCTACACTGAGCGTCTCGACTGGCGCGACACTTTCTACTCTGGCTCTGCCATTGGTCTTCTCCTTGGAGTCGGCAATGTCGGCGAGTATCTCTCTGAGCCCTCCACCGCCGATACATTCCTCAGTAACGACGGCGGAATCACCTGGAAGAACGTCAAGAAGGGTCGATACATGTGGGAATTCGGAGACGCAGGCTCTGTCATCGTGCTTGTCCGCGAACTCGAACCTACAAAGGTCATCTACTACAGTCTGGACAGCGGCAGTACCTGGGTCGAGTACCAATTCTCTGATACCGAGATGACCATTGGGGATATCTCAACGGTGCCTTCCGACACGTCGAAGAACTTCTTGCTCTGGGCCAAGGATATGAAATCCTCGTCCTCAAAACTGGCAACTATCAATCTGGATTTCAGCGCTATCTATAGTCGCGAGTGCGCGGCCATCGACTCCGACGATGCGGATAAGGATTACACACTTTGGACACCGAAACACCCTCTCCAAGATGACAACTGTCTCTTCGGTCACGTCGAGCAGTACCATCGCAAGAAGGTGGATGCCGAGTGTTGGGTTAACTGGCGCGAACCGCATTCGCATATCATTGCCAACAATTGCACCTGCACACGAGCAGACTTTGAATGGTAAGTCACTAGTACTCAACGACTCCGATGACTTTAATTTGTGGTCTAACAAAGACCAGCGATTACAACTACGAAATCCAATCCGACGGAAGCTGCGCTCTCGTCCCCGGCCTCGCAAAGCCTGACCACAGTCTCGCCTGCAAGCAAGACCCTTCCTTGATCGAGTACTACGAGCCAACTGGCTACAGAAGACTACCGCAGACAACCTGCCAAGGAGGTGACCGCTACAACATGGACAAGGGAACCATGCGTCCCTGCCCGAACAAGGAAGACGAGTTCGATCGCAAGCACGGTATCTCCGGCGCAGCTCTCTTCTTCGCTATCATCATCCCCATCCTCGCTGCCGCCGCCTTCGGCTACTTCGTATACACCCGCTGGGACGGGAAATTCGGGCAAATTCGTCTGGGTGAGAACTATGGCTCGGGCTCAAGATCGGGTCAAGGATGGCTTAGTCGGGATGCGCTGATTACCGTGCCGATTGCGATCATTGCAGGCACCGTTGCGCTAGCCAAGGCTTTGCCCTTGGTTACGGGTAGTCTGTGGCGGAGTGTGAGCGGTCTGTTCCGTGGTCGTGGCGGATACGGATACCAGAGAACGTATTCCACGCGGGACTCGTTCGCTCGACGCGGCGACTATCACGTCGTGGATGATGAAGACGAGCTGCTGGGCCCGGATGAGTTTGAAGAGGAAGAGGAGGCTTAGTTTGCCTTGACCCGCTTCAGCTCCAGGATGCGCTAGTCTGATTTATGGGGTTCTATCTGGTGAATCTGAAATGAGTCTGATATGTGTCATTATGAGCCACTGATTTGATGTTTATTAAGATGCTTTTGCTTTGGATTTGACTTGATACTGCATCAATTGCTGTCATCAGCTTTGCAGATAGATTTGGGTTAGATATAATCATTCGATTGATTCCGGGATTACTTGTAGTTATTCTTGTTCTCGTAGTTTCACTTCGTGTCTCATTCGTATCGCTGTATCGACCTGGTCATGCTCGTTCCTCCCTAGGTTCCCCGTCTTTCCTCTGGAGAGTTCTGCCTATATACAGGTAGGTCTTACTCCTTCGGCAAATCCGCCGGTCCAAACGAATCAGGCAGAAGCTACGCATTAAACAGTTAGTTATCCTACCTTGCTTTTCTTTCTTGGGAATGTATATATACCTCACCCATCGTCTTTACGGTATAGTTCCCATCCGCATCATACATGTAGACCGGGAACGAGGGCGTCGTGAACTCGCGCATACTAATTAATTAGCATTGTCCAGTACCTCCGTGCCTAGTGTACCTGAACTAGGTACTGACAACAGGTAGAGGACGAAGATGTGACTTACAACTGCCGACACATGCCACAAGGCGAAGCACCCGGTCGAATATCCGTCGCGACAGCAATAGCTTTGAAATCCTTGTGTCCAGCAACCTGCCCACTCTTGTTAGATTTTTTTTTACACACGCGAAGAGGATATGGGAGTAGAATAATTATGACAGGCAAGATAACTCACAATAGCAGTCCCAAACGCAACACGCTCCGCACAGGTCCCAACAGGGTAAGAAACATTCTCGACATTCGCGCCGGAGATGTACTCGCCCTGATTCGTCAGGATACAGGCTCCAACGCGGAACTTCGAGTAGGGGCCTGTGAAATAATCAGCATTTCTCTATTTCTTTGTCGTTTCTTGCTGGGCTTGTTCAATGACGTACAGTAGGCGGTTTCTTTGGCGGATATGGCTTTCGTAGAGAGCGTGGTGAGCTCTGCGGCGGAGACGGGGTTGGATACTGGAGGCATTTTGCTGGTTGTCGTGGGAGAGTAGAGAGATGTCGAAGTTAACTACGGTGACGTGGAGTGGGGAGTTAGGTTAGGTTGGCGGCAACGTGCCGAGCGGGGCGTGCTTATCGCCGGTGATAGCCGTTTATCGATAGTACTTAATGCAACCGGGCCCTTAGTGGATCCCATCTATAGCAGGGGAGATATGGAGCCGGGCGTATTCACAACACCTTCAGACTTTTCGATTGGAGAGACTAGGCTTAAAAAATTGAAAGGATTTGACATAATTTTTTGACTCTTAAGCTCCCCTGGTCAGGCAGCACACTCCAGATATATTTTGGCTCAAGTACAAAGCTCAATCCAACGGCTACACTACATTTTAACAGCCCTGCACACCTTGAGTATCGTTAATAACCACTCGCCTTCTCAACCATCGGCTTAAACTCCACTGTAGTCGGCTCCATCCCAATCCCCCGCTTCTTCGCATCCTCCAAAATCGCCACCGTCGCCGTCGCCCCAATCCTTGTAACCCCCAAACTCAAAACATGCAACAGATCATCCAAACTGCGTACGCCACCCGCAGCCTTAATCTGCACTTCCGGTCCACAATGCTCCCGCATAAGCTTGAGATCCGCCACTGTCGCCCCGAGATAGTTGTACGACCCATCACTCTGCTTGACAAACCCATACCCACTCGAAGTCTTGGCAAAGGCAACCCCAATCTCCGTGCAAATCTGGCTAAGGCGGATGATATGCGGAGACTGTAGATAGTCGTTTTCGAAAATCACCTTTAGGATCGCGCCCCGGCTCACGACGGCCGAGTTGATTGCTGCAATCTCGGTCTGGACGTAGTCCCAGTCTCCGCCTAGGACTTTGCCGATGTTCACGACCATATCGATTTCGGTCCCGCCTGTTTCAGCTGCGGCGGTGGCTTCGAGGACTTTGATTTCGGTCGTGCTGTTGCCGTGTGGGAAGCCGATTACCGGGCAGACTTTAACGTCTGTGTTGGCGAGTTCGCGCTTCGCGAGTGGGATTAGGTAGGGCTTGACGCAAGCTGTTGCGACGTTGTTTTCCCGCGCAATCTTGAGGCCTGCGAGGACGTCTTCGTCTGTCATTGTCGGGTGGAGGAGGGAGTGGTCGATCATTTTGGCCAGTTGGGGAAGGGTGGCAGTGATAGTGTTGTTGGTCGACATGGCGGGCAAATTAGACGAAGTAGATTTGATTTTAGGAGACTTGTCAGTTGGAACTGATGATTAATTGTTTTGAATTGGCGAGGTGCGACACTTGGCTTTATACTTGCGCTTGATGGGCTCATAGATTCCGGTAGAGGCTCGGAACACCCACCGGGTTGAATACCAATTCGGGCGATGATTCCGGTCACATGACTCGGGTGCATTCAGCAAAGCCGTGGGTGAGAAAGTGCACCGGGCTACCACTCTTGGATGACTTGTAAAAAGCAGATAATTAGACCAGGAATGAATTTCCTCCAAGCTCCTGCTATCTGGTCTCTTTGGTCTTTTTGCTTGAACTCATCCAGTATCCATTTCATTCATCTGTTTCCATCAGATGTCCAAAATATCTGAGCTGTTACTTAATCTAATTTTCGTTCATCCACTATTTTGTCTCTTTTCTTTCTTGGTTCATCCGACATTTGTTTTACCTGGCCTCTTATTATTGATCTTGGCTGATCTGATATCAAATTCGTCCAATTTTTTATCTAATCTAATCTAATTTCATCCGATGTTAAAGTTCATTCTTCCTTCGATCTTATCCGATATCTGATTATCTGACCATTTATTTTTGTCTGATCTTCTGGTTCATCTGACTTTCTGTTTTTAATTGATCTTTGTATTTTTTGTTAATTGGGTTCATCCATTCTTCGATTTCATCTGATGTCATTTGATCTTGACTCATCTAATATTTGGCTCAACCCCTTCTTCTACTTTATCTGATATTTGGTTCCTCCAATATCTAATTTATCAAATATTTTATTTATCTGATATCTGATTCATCTTACTTCTTACTTTATCTGATCTTCTGATTGATCTGATCGAAATCCATCTCATATTTAGTTCTTCCCTTCTTTAATTATGTCTTATGTCTGATTTACCTGGCCTATTATCTTGTTCTATCTTAAGCTATCAAATTTCCAGTTTCATCTCTTCTTCTATTTTGTTAGATGTTTCATATGAACTGTCGTCTTAACTGATCTTGGTTCATCTAATGTTTGGTTTCATCCATGCTTTAGCTTCATCATCAGATCTCTTGTTATTTAAGACTATTCCTGCTCAGACAATCGAAATGTAATTTGGTCTTTCTCTCTTTCTCCACCATTTACTCCAAGAATATTCTCACCGTTTCCACTGATAGCCACTGGAGAGCACTGATCTAAGCCTGTGAAGCAAAGCCAAGCTGAGGACCACTGGCATCAAACACAACATACTGACTCTTGAGGAAGATGTCACCGAAGATAGAAAACCCAATACCAGAGTTGGACTGAATACCACCCAGGCAGGAGGAACCAACACCGGAGGATCCGTAGTTGATCAGGGAGCCAGGGACAGTAGCAGTGTAGTCACCGATGGTGACACTGAAATCGGGCAGACTAGCGGAGCAATCAAAGACATAACCACCAGCATAATAATCTTCTTTGGCACCACTGACCTGCGAGTAGTACCTCGAAACAATCGAGTCGTCAAGAAGCAGCAGGGTAGTGCCGGTGTCAGCAATTCCAGAGAACCCAGCACCAGACCGACTTCCAGCGGACCATCCATTCACGTTGAAAGACCAGAATCCTTGCGAACTGTCAACGTCGGTATAGGCGATTGAACCGGTATACTTGGAGGAGTCGGTGAAACCGAAATCGTAGACACCAGGCTCGTTGTGCTTCAATGCAACGGCAAATAGTGGCTGATCAAGCGAGCTCTTGACGTTATCGAAGAAAGTGTTCTGCGCACGAGGCGAGACAGTGTTGATGCTGCTGAAAGCAAGACCCAGCAGTCCATCGTTGTCGGTGTCTTGCTGAAATTCGGAGCTGATTTGCTTAGCTGCTTCGACGGCTTGCTTGGAAGCAGTCACGCCACCGACAGTGACCGAGTCGGTGTACACGTTTCCGCTGGCACCACTTCCGTCGCCATACGAGATATCCCAAGAGTAACCGGATAGGAGTTTGCCGCTCTTGCTAGGATTATAGACGGAGTGGCCGGATTGCTCTGAAGAAGAGAGCTCCGTCGAGAAAACCCAGCTACAAATAATCAATTTGATTTCGAGATGCTCGAGGAACAAAATTGGACTTACAGATCGGCCGATCCAGTATCAATATCGAGGTTCAGCGTAGTGCCACCGATAGTAACGGGAGTAAGGTACGCTTCATCATTGGCCTCGGGGGTAGTGGTAGCAACGCCGCTAGCAGCTGCAGCTGCCTGGACATGCGAGGGTACAGCAGCACCATACTTTGAGAGAGCACGGCCATAATTGGCAGCGAAATTGGCAGTCTTGGTAGCTGGGCGAGCAACCTGGTTGACCGAGAACTTCCTGGTGGTGGGAACAGCCGAGGCAATAGATGCCAAACCGGCAATAGCGACGGAGACTTTGTCAAGGACAACCATGATGGATTTTCGAGGAATGGAATTCGAGAAGAGAAGCGAGCTGTGATGCTGGATGGAATGGGAATCTAAAGGCCCGGCGAGGAGGGCCTTTTTATACATTTTCCCTTGTAGTGTCGCTATCTCAGAACGACGAGGAAGTGAGCACTCGAGGGAGTAGCCATCGCACCATTCATGGGATTGAGACTAGGTCTTTTCCTCTTCAGGAATCTGAAATGACGATCCACGAGCTACAGAGACTAAACATGCCCGGGTTGAGTGCGGGCATCGAATAGCCGCTGGTGAGAGGCATCTCCAGGCTCTCCACTCGTATTCACGAAGATCAGGAATAAATTACCGTCCATAAACCACCCGCGAGGAAGTATTCTTTGATCTAGCACATTACCACGTTGGGTCGACTTCGGATCATAAACGAATCTGCAGGACGAAGGGTCCGAGCTGCAGGGCTCGCGCAATGGTGGTGAAGATTTGGATTCAAGCTTCTTGATCAATTGGTCTTGACCCTGTTTGGGCCAATTGGAACCTTCCGGGGGTGGAAATTAGGTGACATCGTCTCGAGCGACTGGCGAACTGGCCGCATCGAAGCATTTTAGCCAAGGCCACCGTGGAGATAAGAGTTCAGATCTGCTCTGTATGGGCTTTTTCGACATATCAGGGGCAGCCCATTTGATAAGAAAGGGTCATTCTTTGGCCAAGGTAGGTGCTAGTAGAAGAAGGTTCTTTGCAACCGGTGTTAGCAGCTATTAATTCCAGGGAGTCATGCCAGGTGTATGTTGTTGTGAATGACGTGAACACTTTCGACAGGAAAAACCTCAACTTTCGGGCTGGAATTAGCATGGGTAATCTGCAAGCCGAATGGAGACCAGAGACAACCGACGGACTTCCGCCATCGGTGCCATGGTTGGACGCCGACGCGGGGGACGATGCCAGATAAAGATAGCTCGGAGTCGCGTGGCGTCGCGTGGGCGGGGTTGGCTGAGAGAGATCCACAATCGATGCGACCATTCACGGGGACTAAACCACTCTGCTGGCCCCTCAGTTCACTCAGATCGAGTAGAAAGGGAGAGATTCCGGCTGATTCCCTACACGCTCGCCATATCACTCATTATGACAGTCTCTTGCACGCGATTTCTCACTTGCGACAATCCAGCGAGAATCACGAACTGAGACTGCGACGCGGGACTTTCAAGCGCCTCTCCCGGAGCACAATAGGAATTCCGTTCGATATATTACGGAATTCTCAAAATTCATATCCTGCTAAAGGGTGGCTGAGGTAGGATTGCATGTTTAGTGTCAAATGACTTGGAATAAATTGTCAGCATCACGCATTCGTCCTGAGTCAAGAGGATCGAGCAACTGAATCAGATTTATCATGGTGAAGGGCGAAATCAAGGAATTGAAGCTATGCAAAAGCCTTGTTGCAAATAAGCAAAGCCCCAAAGCTTGTCCAAGTCCCACTTAGATGGAGTCTTGGCTGTTCCGCTACTTTTCTTCGGCCACACCATTTATTGTCACACAGTAAGTAGCAGAACAGTCCGGTAGATCTGCTTGAGATATGATTACATTAAGCAATAAACACGACTGGAAGAAACATGTTGCAAAATGAGTTTCGCACTTTATCATGCTCTAAGGGGGATGTCGAGGACAACTAGCCGAAAGCATCATTCTTCTGAAATGAAACCAACCGTAACTCAAGGCGACAGTGTCGATTTGTATTTATTTATAGACATTAGGCAATTATTGAAGGTCTGAATCATGGATAACCTAGGACCAAGGCTCCTGATTCTATTACTGTCATCTAAGCTCACTTGAATCTATATTTTATGAGACCATGTCTAGATAATGCTCAGTGGCAACACTTGAGGTATGACGAGTTAAAGGTATCACAAGATCTGTGCCATGTTCTGGAAATTTATCGAGCTGTGTACAAATAACTTGCAAATATGTTTGACAGTGGTAGCAAATCAGATGTTAGCATTACGTTGAGAATCAGGCCTCAGTGTAACTTATCCACTTGGTTGATAATTTATCTTCCGAGTAAACCTTCCCTACTCATCGAGGTCGGTTAAAACGAGCTGGCCTAACAGAAAGACAAATCTTGGTTAGTCGCTGGCTATGCTACTTATTTCATTGCCTGGCTGATTTACTCTGAAATTTCAGTCTGATGCTGAAACTTCGGACAGTAGAATAAATAATTTTCAACTCTTCGCCGCAGCAGGGTCCTCATAAGGCTTAACTCCAAGGAATTTCCACACCCTGGCACTATCCAACTCAATTTTCCTGGACATCGAAATCACCCACTCAGCCTGTCCGTCTGTGATATACGTGACACCCTTTTTCTATCCGAATAACCTTGAGTCAGCTTCAACTCAGGAATCGGGCGTTAAAATTTCTTACCAAGCCAATAGTTAGAGTAGTAGCACCCTCCCACCATTCCTGGCAGTATTCAATCTGTTTCTTGCCGCGGATGTCCCGAACGATATTGTCTGCCACAACCTGTCCTTGTTGCATAGCCGAACGCCCATTTTTCGTATCGCCAGCATCAATCACATCACCAGCTGCGTATATACTAGCGCACTTGTCATCTGAGATTTGCAGTGAGGGCTTGACATGAATGTGACCTGACTTGGAGATGGCGGAGGCTGCTGCGAAGCGTATGAGATCTGTGTTAGGGACTTGTCCAGTGCATTTGATCTGTGTTAATATGTTAGAAGTCTATATTGGCTCTTCCGTTATTGGCGTAGAAACTGACCAAACAATCGAAATGAACACTGCCATCGCTCAGTTGGATATTGCCTTCTGTAACACCAAGTGGAATGGCAGGCTTCTGTCCAAGCACCAGTTTCACCCCAATTTTCTCCAGTCCTTTTCTCATTACATCATGTAGCTTTGTCCCGAAACCATCATTCAGCAAAGTTCTTCGGGAATGAATCAGGGTGACATTCTTATCAGGGAATCGCTCCTTCGCATCCGCTGCAAGCTCCACGCCCGCAGGTCCACCGCCAATAACGACAATATCGGAAGCGGATTCAATCTTCTTCCGGTGTTGCAGAAGCGCTTCCATGCCCGAACATTTGTCTTGCTGGTCCACTCTAGACGGAAGCCCCGCTGAAGACCCCGTCGCCAAAACCAGGTATTCGTAGTCAATGACTTCTCCAGAAGTAACGCGCACCTTACCCCCTCTTCCATCCTCACCCGGCGCAATCTCTTCGACCGTGTCTTGCAGCCAGATATACGAGTCCTTTGGAGCGCGCAGGTATGAACCGTAGGGAATAAATGCTTTGGCATCATGTCCATCAACGACGCAGAATCGCGGCAGGACCCAGGTAAGTTGGAAGTGGCTGTTCTTCTCGATGATAACAACACGATACCCTGACGGTATGCAGTTCACGAGGTGCCGGGCTGCATTGTAACCCGCAAATGAGGCACCAACAATCACGATGTTCTTGATGCCGGGACGATATGTTAGACGGTGGATTAAATGATGAAAAAACTGTCGCAGGTGAGCACTAGATTGGCGAATTATGAGTGCAAATAGCTTGACTAAGAGGAATATGTTTGCGAACATGTTTCCTAATGCTTCCTGCTGGTGCTTTGGTGTTGTAGTACGCTAAGGTACCCCAAGGGAGGTATTTATCCATGGATGGAAGATCGGATCAGATAAGGGCGGGATCGGTCGGTTCCTCGGAAATTCCGCGGAGAGTCAGAGCCGTAGTGGGCCCACCGACACCGACACCTTCCCAACTTGGAGCTTACATCCATCCGAGTACTTCCTTACCCGGTCCCCTATCTTATCATCTGCCTGGTCTACAGATCTTGGAAGTGGAAAGATCGTACATTGAGTATCAATGTCCGGAGACAAAGCATGAATGCGAAAATCGTCACGGTGACGGGGAGCTTGGTCGCACCTGGTGATAGAAAAATGAGGTTTTGATGGTCGTCTTAAGTTTCTTTCTAAGGCGAATCCGGGGTACATTCCTGCAGACGTTTCGAAACCACGATGGCTCAAGCTCCCGACACAGAGAACACAAGAGTCGTTCGCTTCTAGTTGGTGCTATCTCTATATAACAACAGCTCAAGTTAAAGCATTAGATAGAGTGTCGGAAATAGCTCAGCAAGCGCGTTGTGATAATGACAGTGATGCCCCAGAATCTCGGCCTCCCCTAGAATTCATCCGTGAAGCGGATACTGTATTCAAGAAGGCATAATTAGTCATCAGCTGCTCCTGTTGCAGGCTGAAACTAGCTTTGGTGCTACAATGTCACTGTGGATCGCATTTTTCAGGGACAAGTCTCCACAGCCCTAGTTTGTTTCAAGCTATCAACATGAAACTACCAACACATCTCTAATTGCCTGGGAGTTCATTCTTAATTTGGAGTCCTTACCTGACACGGAGAAATTATGGAGCGCTGGAATGGTGAGACGGCGCAATTCTCCCCTTGATCAAATGATGCAAATTTTGAAATGCTCTATATAAGGTCGACCGTCCCTTCCCAAGGTTATTCCAGTGCCACGGAAGATTTCACCCGAGCTACCACCATGTATACACTTGGAAATCTTGCTGCCCTCGCCTTCGTTGGTGTTGCCAGTGCTCAAAGCACAGTTGGATTCGGCCCAGCCTTCTCCCTCGGCCCTACACAGTCATGGATTCGTGAAGCCAATACAACGCTTGTGCTCCCCGAGACTCCCAGTCCCCAGAAGGACCGTCTCGCTTTGTGGCCCGGTATGGGAACAAGCGGCGGTGATTTGATTCAGGCTCTTGCTGTCTCCTTCGCCGATCCTGATGCGTATGTCATTTTCCGGAGCAATCTCATTTACTTCCTAGCTGACATGAACAGAAACTGCGGAGCTAAGTCTGGGCAATGGTGTGTGTGGGCTAGCACGCTTCAAGGCGAGCAACTAGGTGGCAAAGAGGTTCCCGCTTCTGCTGGTGATGAAATCACAATGCATTGTAAGAGATTCTTGTTCATTACGGTCAAATGGTGCTAACAAAAAGGAACAGACAAATTCAACGACGACACCAGCAAGTACGACCAGACCGTTTTCGTCAACGGAGAGGCCGTGTCTACTCTCTCGACTAGTAAGTGGATCTTGGTGTGTAAATATGTTGCTTGACTGACAAGAAATACAGGCTCTGGACAAGCTCAAGGTTGGGGCACTGCTGTTGAGTGCCAGGATGATTCATGCGATGCTACCACTGCGGCACACGGTGAGCTTTTCTATTTCCCTTTCATCCTTTTGAGAAAAACGCTAATTTTACAGAATATCTCGATACCACCATCATCTTGAATGCTGCTGACTCCACTTTTGCCGATACCTTGGCTCTCACTGAGGCTACTTCCTCTGGTTTGAAGACAAACGACAACAAGGTCTACACTGTTTCCAGCATCAAGATTCAGTCTCACACTTATGACTTGTGAAATTTTATGGAAAAAGGAATTGGCCCTAGCGATTTTAGTGGAGAGCTCATTTCGTTTCAAAAAATTACAAAAAGTTCGATATCAAGCTTTCTAAGCACCTTCTTTGTTTATTTCTATCTAGGTTATAAATAATTATAGGGTACAGATGAATGAGGCTAATGTTAAGATAAACAAGAATAATATGGGTGAACAGAATAAGGTTAAGATTAGGCTACATAACATAAACTTCAATTAGGATGAAACCCTACAATCGGACGAGAAAGCATGAGATGGGATGAAAATTTAGTATCGGATAGATGGGCATTGAATTTCAAGGTTATCTGAAAAGAGTCACAGGTATTCACTATCCGATGGGACGTAGTCTGAGACAACAGTGTCACAGCAATATCCAGAGTCTATCTTTCTTTTTCTAGTCGATCCTCTTACTTGAGCTTTTAGTCTAAGATCATGCCCACTTCCCAATCAGAGCCATGATTCCCGCTCCCAAAAGGGTACAGAATATCATAAATAAAAGCTTCGATCTCTGCTTGGTCCGGCAAGGATCAAACAAAAAGTCTCTCGCAAGCAGTTCAACAAGTCCACTGTAGATCAGAATTCCCGCAGAGACAGCATTCAGCACGCCTTGGATAATCAATGATACCTTTGAGCCAGGAACATATGTGGTCCGAACTCCCAGTCCAATCGCAATAGATACCGGAGTTGTCAGTCCATATGCTGCGCACAGAATCCAGGGGAGCCAAGTGTGTTTTCCAAATGGGATGGCGGACATCCGGGCGCCAATACCAAGTCCCTCGAAAGATTGGTGGAAGACGAGGACGGGGTATAGTGTTGCAAACTCCGATCCTGTCACCCCAAGGTTAAGGCCGATGATGACGGAGTGGAAGATGATTCCAAATTCAAGTAGGAGGAAGGCGGCGATTTGTTGCCGAAACGAGCGCTCGGCGGTGTCATCGGTTTCAGTTCCAGTCGAGGTTGTGGCCCAGGTGTCAGTTTTCTTCTCATTAGGAGATAAAATGTTTTTCTCTGTATCTGGGGCGGCTTGCAAATCCGGATGATGTTCGTATTGGACGAAGGCCCCTGTTGCGGATTCATCCTTGTGCATCCCATATTTCTGCTCAACATAGACTTCGGCGGCAAGATCGAGGAGGAAGATGATTACAATTGATGCGAGGACAATTGCAGCACACCAAGAGTATTCAGCCCAGTATCCAGACTGTCCGACACAAGTCTGTGGTCCAATACATTTGTAGGCTGGGTCAAGAAGGTGGATGAAAGCAGTGGCCACGATGACGCCAGTGCCGAAGTATCGGGCGAAAATGTACACGCTGAAGGGAATTTTCCATCTCGTCATGTGCTTAGAGACGACTGGAAAGACGGTAAAAGCGGAAGAGACGAAGAGGATCACGAAGATGGAAGAGATGCGAGCGCCGAGGTGACCATTGTAGTCATTGCCTTCGATTTCGAGGTAGCAAAGCACATCCTCCTTACTGGCAGTGTTCAGATCGACGCTTGTGGGATCGAAAGACATTGCCCCGGCTGGTCAGAGACAGAGAATGAGCCAGACTGGTTTGTTTGAAGTCATGTCTTCCGGCAGAGTTGAGCTTTACTTTATAAAGCTGCTGGTGAGTACCTTGGGGTCGTGGTATCAAAGTTCCTGCAAAATTGTCCATTTACACTGCTGCCTGGCTGGAAGAAGCTCCTGTGATGTTTAAAATGGGTCTCGTAGTGCTGGACGATCCACTTCGGAGAGTCTGCCAGGCCATGACACGCAGGCTTGGTATTCATAGGGCTGAAGGGTGGGGCTTCCCTGTTCGATGACCGTTCCGATGGGCATGATTGGTGGTTGGAGACCCTCTACAGTGTAAACGACTGCAATGATGTGTTGATGTGATTGAAGTTGGTGATCAAATTCATTCACATTTCATGGCCACTTTCAATACTAGCAATAATCATCCTGAGTGTCATTTTTCATGGCGTTCTCCGGCACATTAGTCGTTAAGACAAGTGCTGGGAGTCAACGGCGCCTTGACGGAGCCGCCGCTCGCCTATCTCGGTAGCCTGAGTACCCTGGGAGTTAGCGGCTGCATTGGAAACATATCCCTGCGTTAATGCGTCGGAAATGAGGTTCACTTGTCTCGGGCTCTCGAAACTCTCGCGAAAACTGTTTGCCATGCTTCGGCCGGACGGACTGAGCTCGCTGCTAAGCGTCGACCGTGCTAGTAGCTCATTAGGCGGTAGTCACACGTCGTTCCAGCACGATTCGGGACGAATAGTGGCAGAGTGTTCTTCTTCCATGGGCGAGTGATCGAACAAAATGCTCAGAACAGGTCAAAGTACAGTCGAGACGAAAAAAGATGCCAAGGCGGGGAAGCTCAACCCTACGCTTCTCCGCTCCGCAACTTCATCTCGACCTCCACTCGATGCCGGAGACGCCATGGCTCCCTTCACGGCGCAGATCGTCGACGGTCGCAAAACATTTATTCCCCTTGGTTTGTCTCGGGGTCATCAGTGTCAGCTAATGTGAATACTCACGGGAATGCAGAGAACAACCCAGACGTACTGGCCCATCTCTGCGAGAACCTCGGGGTCGTGCCCGGCCTCAGCTTCCACGATGTCCTCTCGGTATCCCCCGACATGCTCGCCTGGGTTCCGCGTCCCATCCATGCGCTCGTTCTCCTCGCCGATAGACCCATCTACAACGCAGCCCGGTCACACGTCGAACAGATGATCCCGGTATATCACGGCTCGGGGCCAGATGAGCCGGTGATTTGGATGAAGCAGACGATCGGCCATGCCTGTGGGTTGATGGCGCTGCTGCATTGCCTTTTGAACTATGAGGGTGGGAAGTATATTGCGGCGGAGTCGGAGCTGGATCGGCTAAGGAAGCAGGCGATCACACTGGGACCGGACGAAAGGGCCGATTTGTTGTACAAATCGGAATTTTTGGAAAATGCGCATATGGAGGCGGCATCGAGAGGGTCTTCGAGTGCGCCTTCACCTGCGGATGATAACTACCATCATTTTATCGGGTTTGTGCAGAAGGACGGGCAAGTGTGGGAGTTAAATGGGGGGCTGAATGGGCCTCTGCTACGCGGGAGTCTAAAAGAGGGTGATCTCTTGAGTAAAAAGGGGCTGGCGCTGACGGTGCAGGACTTCCTTGATGCTGCGGCCAAGGGCGGCCATGGGGAGATGAGCATCGTGGCAGTGGCGGAGGAGGATGCCCAGCTACTCTAGCTATACCCACTGGTTCAATTATTATTTTTTTTTTTGGTTTTGTTTTCTTCCAATTGCACTTCATGATGTTTGTTGTTGTCTTGGTACGATCACCCAACGTCTCCATGATTCATATAGAAATCCAATAAAACCCTGACTCAACAATTTGATCGGATGCTTGCTTTAGCTTTGAAGTCTTTTCTCTGTTTATTACCTTTCCATTGTTCAAACAAGCCCCATTGTCATGCCGGCAGTGTAAAACCTTAATATCACTAACAAAGATACATTGTTTGGTCTGAGCCAAGTCAAAGTCAACATCTCGGATAAAGGCGAAAGATCTCATTCAGGAGTAAAGCTATATCGACTTCACCCGCACAAATCATCTACAAAGGCCTCGTCCCTTCCACTGAAAGCCCAACCTCAAGCCCAAGTACAAGAATAAGCCCCATCATCCAGCTTTACCAGCTACTAGTACCACCAAAACCTGATCCAGTATATCCTAGCTAATTACCATGTCAGTACAGGAGAGCTAACCAAAATGACCTTCACAGTAGGCCAATTCAGCACTCTGCGAAACTCTCTTTCCACCACCCTCCTTCACCAAAGCCAAATTTTAGCCAATAGTCCAACCAACAGAGAATCCATCATTAAATTCCTCCTCTCTTACCCAGAACAGATATCTCGCCTCGAAGAACAAGGCGAAGAAGAGGCAAAATACACGCATTTTTACCTACCCCACTGTTTCGCCCAACGATGCACCCGCATCATCTCTGAGCTCCGCTCTCAGCGTGAATCCCTTACCTCTCCGATGTTCCCTGCTTCTCTCGTCGCTCGTGTGCTCCGAGAAATCAGCTTGCAGATTGGAAGGCTGAGTATTGATGGCGACCATACTTCTGATCCCTTTGTTGTGGATATTGAGAAGAGTATTGAGGTTGTTTCAGCGTTTTATGCTTCTCCTGCGGGGTTGCCTACGCCTGAAATTGATGCTTTGTATATTTGGCGGGGGCTCAATGCGGCTATGCCTGGGTGTAAGTGTAATCAGTGTCTGGTGAGGGTTCTTTTGCCGACTGGGAGGCAGGTTTGGTGAATGTTTCTATTCCTTCTGTTCTTTCATCTGGTGACACAACTTTCGCATTACAGCATCTTGTACTAGGCAATACAATTTTGATTTCCCACTTGAGTCCCAGACATCCAGTTGATAGTAATTGTAGCTTGTAGAGAACGCACAGCTCTATACACATTGCATGAGCGTAAATTCCGTGCCATGCATACATACAGCAGACCCTTGCAGATCCAAGTTTGTTTATCCAATAGAGTATCTTCCGTACCTGATCAACGATGTATATTTAAGTTCTGGAGGACACCAACACTACCATAGGGTGAATAAGAATTAGCCTGCTTACAGTCAAGACAGAATAAGTTGAAATCTACTATATTATATTCCGAAAGTCCATCATATCTTATTATCAACAGGGTGACAGGTATATGTTTTTTGTATATCAGGGTATAGAGCAAAAGACCAAGATCCATCCATATATGCACAACACACCCGAAATATCAGTCCTGTCAACAAGGCCAAGAGAACAGTGACAAAAATCTATATGCTGGCAGAACCAAGTCTATCCAAAAAATTGTCGTAATCCTTCATATACGGAGAAGATGAACGCAGAGCTGGGCGCCGATCGGGCACAGGTGATCCCGCACCCGCGGTACATGCCCTTCAGCCCCTGTTGTTTCCACAGCGCGCGACCCACGCTCCAAAAGGTCTGGCGTTGGCTCCCCGCCGGTCGTTGAGAAATATCTTCAGTCTGTAGCCGCGACTTGATTGTGTCGGCAGGGTAGAAGAGGAAATTATAACTGATCCCCGCTGTGGCACCGGCAATCATTTGTTGGTAGACGTGGAGGGTGTCACTCGGTTGTTGCGAAGGAGATGACGATATATTATACGAGCGGAAGAAAGAGGAAACGGCTTCGTACCCGCCAAACCATGCGGCACTGCCTCCAGTCTCTCGGATAAGGGTTCCCAGTTGACCGCGCCAAAAACCCATAAGTCCCTCCTGTCGGAATACTTCCGCGACCAGCGTGAGTGGCCGAGGCGCTTGCTGTCCGAAGGATTGGACTGGGACTTGCATTTTGCATTTAATCAGTTCGATCGGGGTGAGGGCGAGCGAGGTGACAGATCCGGACGCCGCACCACTGAGCAGAAGCGCCGCGAAGGGAAGATGCTCAACATCCGGGTAGACGGTGGCGCGGAGGGCGTCTTGGATAATGCGGTAGCTGAAAAATAGACAGCTAGTCTCCACCGCAGCCCCAGTCATTGGGGCACTGATGCCTCGGTATAGACCCCGCACGCCATCTGCCCGAAACGACTGGCGAAAACAGTCTAGAGGGCCTGTATATCGTAGCGGGAGGTGTTCAGGTTGTGATTGCAATCGGACCTTAACGGTATCGAAGGGGTACTCGATGAGCTTTCCTGCCATTCCGGCTGCCTGGTGAAGGGTTTAGCGGAGATCTTGCCGTAGGCGCGTCGGCTCTCTTTCTCGGCTCGAGTGGTCACTTACCGATCCGAAGACGATATCCTTCATTGCCTCGACCCCCTGGTTAGGCGGGAGGACGGGCAACTCCATCGCTTCATCGACTGTGATCGCATGCTCGGCCGTCGCCATCGGCGTCCAAGTCCAGGGGGATTAGGCAGGGAGGGGGTAGACGGGGCTATCGCAGGAGCATGTTTCGTTCCAACAGTATAAGTAGGCGGGTAGGTGGAGGTATTTAACAGTGAGCGATTTGTTCGGGCGCGTCAGACACAGTGGGGGGAGGGAGGTGGACACCAAAAAAAGCGCAAGAGAGGGGATTTGGCGGTGAAGTGCCAAGCCCCGCGCAAGCGAAGTCGTGGAACGTGAGGAACAGTCAGGGCCAAACCAGGCTTTTTTGCTTTTCGGGGCGCCAAACACGGTGCAAGCGGGCCTCGATGGAGAAGGTGAAGGAGAAGAACGAGCGATGAGTGGAGCGTCGAGGTCTCTGACGAGCAAAAATCATCTGCTAGCGCTGCCAAGCCCGATTATCGATCTGATAATCTCCGAGTGAAATTTTCCAAGTTGGCCGTCAAAGTCGCCTCGGGCGAACCTGCTCTCTCCGTCAGCACATCCGCCACCACCAACTCGGCGCAATCACCAGAACCCAGCTACTACACCTCGATTGTGCTCACCTGTTGCTATCCCTCTACTTCTCCCTTCCGCAACATGTCCGAGGCCGCGCCAGCCGCTTCGACCGCTTCGACCGCTGCCGCCCCGCCGCAGGGCATGCGGAAGAATGGTATGTCAACGTCCCCACTGTCGGCCATTACCCGACTGACCCGAGCTTTAGGCAAGAACTGGCATGCGCCTAAGAAGGCCTTCCGTCCCAATGCGGGGTTGAACTCCTACACTAAGCGTCAGGAGGCCGCGAAGCATCAACAGGCTGTCAAGGAGAAGGAGCGTGAGATGAAGGAAGAGAGAGAAGCTGAGCGCCAGGTAGGACACTCCCATGCTTTGAGCATACATTCACCTGTCCTTTGAGTCTTCTTTTTCCTGCCGTTGCCTGCCCATTCACTTGCCGTTCAACCGTGCTAACCTGACTCTATCAGGCACACATCCAGCGCATCAAGGACAAGCGCGCCGCCAAGGAAGAAAAGGCCCGCTACGAGAAGATGGCCGAAAAGATGCACGCCAAGCGTGTCGAGCGCCTGAAGCGCCGCGAGAAGCGCAACAAGCTGCTCAACTCTTGATCTGCGTGACCATCAAGCCATCTTCTTTCCTTCTACAATGCATGCATGTATCTCCAGCCGGCAACCCAGAGATCTAGCGGATATGAAGTTGTGGGTTCTTAAGACTATATAATCGTCTGGTTGGACTCTGGCAGTGTGTGGGCTGTGACCACTGGCGTTTCTGGGAGTGTTAGGGAATCATATCAGCGCCGATTTTCAGTATCTATCAATGGACAAAAGCTTCTTCCATTTATTTGGGCCCTTAGTCACTATTGTATCCCATCCAACACTATGCCCTCTATCAGATCCCACTATAATCGTACCTATGAATCTATGCGGAATAAATATTCTTATTACAAAGCTGTCAATGCATGTGCCTGCTACTGTAACTGCTGCCGCCGATCCTCTTGGCGCAGCCTCCACCAACCACCCCATCTTCTGCACTTGTTTCAGCTCGACGATCCCCAGCTCCAGCTCCAGCTCCCAGCATGCCAACCCCGAGTCTCACATATTTCATTTGAAATGGACCTCAAATCACCTCTCCCTTTCACGCACTCGCGAGCGACCTCGGCAACGTTCCCCCTGACCCATGGCTCGCGCTCTGATGACATACCGTTTGCAGAGCTCGGCGACCGCCGCTCAACCCCTCGCCATGTCCACCACCACTCGACAAGTGCTATCACCGGTGCAGGGACAGGAACAGGCACCGGGACAGCTCTAGAGGAATCCGTACCTACCAGCGCAGCCCACGCCCACCCGTCCAGACCGCGACCCCGTCTTGATCCACTCGGTCTAGACGGAACCAAGACCAGACACAAGCACAGCAAGTCGCGCGAACTTCGTCTCCCACGCCCAATGAGCCATCTCGCTTCCTCCGCCAGTGCCCGTGGGCTCCTTCCAACCTGGTCAGGCCGGGATAAAGAGCGCGACAGCGATGAAAGTCATGGCCTGCTCAGGCCGATGACGCGGGAGACCACGCGGTCGAGATGGGGCTCGGAGTCTACGAGTCGGAGTCGACGGGGCAGTCTACTTGATGTTCCCGAGCAACATGAGCGGCTGGGACCGATTCGCCGACAGGAGATTCGGTCGATGGAGGATTTGGAAGCTGTGAAGAAGCGGAGGAAAATGGGTGAGGAGTGAGTGATGCCTGATTTCTTCGGAGAAGCTGTTTGCTAACGACGGGCAGGTATCTGCGCTCCGCGCTCTCGTCAATTGGGACGCAAGCAACGGACGTCACGCGTCGACTGGACTATACATACTACAACCTCCTCGAGAAGATAACCGCCCTCAACTCGACCATTGGGTCGTTCCAAGATCTCTCCGATTCAGCAGCCACACTCCTCGCAGACTTTGACCATGAAACCTCGACACTAGACCAGGAGATCCGGAAACAGATTATCGAGCTAAAGAACTTCGAACCCCAATCTCAAAAGGCAGACGCTTTGCAAGAAAGGATGAATCAGGGCCGCAAGCGTGTCGAAGATCTAGGCGCCCGCCTTGAGTCCGTAAAATCCGACATCGATAGCTGGGAACGCAGAGAAATGGAATGGCAAGAGCGCACCTCGCGTCGTCTCCGCATTTTCTGGGCTGTTATCGGCGGCGCCTTCTTCGCCTGCATCCTGGCGTGGTTCTTGCAGAATTGGCCCTCTCTGGCCCCCGCCCGTGGAGATGGAGATAGTAATGCACTTGGACACGGACGCGTACAGCAGGATGCTGGTGCTGCATCCGCGGGCTTTGACCCCTTCCTCTCTGAGTCCCTGAACCAATCTGCGTCCTCGGGTCCGACGACTCGTTCTAGGTGGGAGTCTCTCCTGCAGGGCGATGCCATCCAGCCGGAGACGGCCGGCTGGTATCCTTCCAGTTTGGCGGATCGGAGAGAGAGCCTTGCGGCTGGCGCTACCGAGAGTACGAGCGGAGGTGGGGGTGGAAGTGAGAGTGATGCTGCGCAGCCCACGCATGATCCTCTACAATTTCTGGATGAACTATAGCACTCACGAGTACAATGCTCTTTTTGCGATCTTTTTGTGGGCGTTAATGTGTATTGTTTTTTTAAGTCATGTCATGATACCCCTATCTTCACATCAATTCATCATCATTAGAAGATCTTAGACAGCCGCCGCCGCGGCATCTGCCTTTTTCTTCTTCTTATCTTCAATCAGCTCGATATTGGCCTCGGGCACCTTGTCCCCATAGACCTCCAGCAGCCATTCCTTCACGTCCTCACTCACATCGCCCTGCACGGTAATCTCCTCCGCCCCCGCAGGCGACCGGGTCATCGACGATCCCGTCGCGAACTTCTTCCCCAGCTCCTTGGCCAGCTTCTTGTTCTCGAGCCCAAAGACCTCCAGTCCCATAATCACGGTGACGTGCTTGCGTTTGTTTCGCTCGACCCGCTTGATAAAGACCTTGGACGCGGCTTTCCGTTCCGCGTCCCGCTGCTCGTTCTGCGCGGCCTTTGCTTCTTTCTTGGCAGCGTCTTTGGCGGCACGCTCTTGTGCTGAGACGGAGAGGGTTGAGAGGTTGGCCGTTACCGCATCTGCGATTGACGCGGATCTGTTAGTGTGTTTCTCCAGCAGCTTCGAGGTGGGCTTGGTGGTCTAGTGGGATGCAGTAGTGGGGGGAGGACGTCTCAAGAGTCTAGACTGCTCTGCTTTTTGGTCGCCTTAAGAGGGTAGAGGGGGGCTCCGTCTCACCTTCGGAATATAGACGGTTCCAGAGATCGGGCTGTTTCGCCTCAAGCCATTCCTCGCATTTCTTTGCGGTCCCACCGAACTCGCAGAACTAATCGTTTCGTACATGGTCAGTCAATGGCCCTGTTCAATGCGTGCTGTGCTTGCATGGCAGTCGACGGAAAGGTCCAAGCAGCAGGTAAGCTGGCAATCAACTCATTTCATACCTCGGGGGGAGCGTGCAAACTATCCACAGCCATTGCATTAGCCCAGTCGTTCCAGGTCGTGCCCATCCCCTGCCTCGCCCTCCGTGATCAGAATGATCGGCCCGGGCTGGCGTGGACAGCCATCCATCCCGCCACGGGGGTACTCAGTTCGCAACTCACCTCCACAGTACACAACATGGCGGGCCTGCGGTTCGACCGGGCCTGCGTCTGCCACTTCAGCCATTGTTTGATAAGAGATGCCAACCAGAACCGGCTTGTTCGTCTTCGTCTCGGTTGGTCTGCGGCTTTGCGGCGGGGCAGCTTTGCCTTGAAGCTACGGCTGACTAATGATGGAGAGCGGACAGTATAATCACGTGATAACGGGCGAAGCCGCCGGGAAGAACCGCCCTGTTCGTTGTGCCGCAATTAAGTATAAATGATGTATGTGGAGCCGCCCATTGTCCATAATATGTTGCGGATATTACCAGGGTAGCTACGTAGTCTCTGCAATCGCGCCGACTTTCTTCTGCAAGACATACTTTCCTCCCATCAAGGTCTACCAAGGCTGGGAAATGAAAAACCCCGCTCAGTGGCGCGAGATGACAATGCGCCCTCGTTATCGGTTGCGAATGGGGCCATGCAGGTCAACGGCAGAGCTGCATTGGTCTAAAGCGTTAGCACAGGGCGATAGCACGCTGGCGCCAATTGGTGCCCAGCTGGTGATAGATCCACAGCCGTTAGATAAGATACTGGCCTGGAGAATCCTAGAAAGGCTGGGGACGATAACCTGGGTATGATAGTGAAGATGGTGGACATCCTCAGGGATGAATTGGCCCAATTGACCTTGTCTAAAATGTCTGGCTTATCTAGGTGAAACACATTTGGTTGCGGTGATATAATGGCATTGTAATGCGGGTAGCTCAGTCCCCTACAAGTACAGTATGATGTAAATGACACCATTGGACAGGGCCTTATGGCGCATAGTCTCGGCGGCTGTAGCATAGCGAGCATCGGCTGGAAAACTGGTAACCGTTCCCGGCGCGACTTGTCGCGTCGATCGGGGCCAACAGGCTCCGCAATTTCCGGCCAGGGGTCGTGGGGGCCCGTGGGGATGCCAATGCTCGCCGGTGCAGTCATTAAGTCTCCGCGGGCTGTCAGTGTCGAGCGTTGCATGGCGATAGTGGATCGCATGCGGTAGTCTGGGTACTTTTGGGGGCGTGGATCTGGATCCTCATACTCCCTAGTGTACTCACTAGCGCTAGGGTGTACTAAGTATACTACTCATACTAAGTATACTAAGTACAAAATAGTGCTAGCATAGTACCTCTGCAAAGGCCTAAACCCAGGAGGCGCGGCGACATGCACGCATGCGGCGCTGCGACTGGCCCGTGGGCCTGGTGCGAGGGAGGGTTTAAGTTAGGGCCAATCAGGACGGGAGCTGGTCGTCTCGTCCGTGACCTGCAAGCGCACAGACGTAAAAGGCCTGTGTACGACGTTTGCTTTGCCCCCGGCCTGCATCCTGCAAGCCATGGGCGTGGTGGTGGTGGTGGTGATGACGGTGGTAGTTGGACGAGGGCCCAGAACGGTGCTAGAATTTTGCCCTGCTACTAACCTGCTATATTCTGCTCGATGTTCTAGCTTCATAGGTACTAATACTGGATCGTGCTAGTGTAGGTATAGCACATAATTACTATTACATATTTAGACTTTTGGCCTCGCCCAGACGCTGTCGATGGTTCACCCATGGGCTTTAGTCGACGGATGAGGTGACCCTAGGGCGAGTCTAGGGCGTCACACAATTGCAAGCTTATCTTTCTCGTCCGCTGAACAGGCCCGTGCTGCAATCCGAGTCGATCGGGCCGTCGATCGGAGGTTTATTTCCTTCTTTTTTTTGGTGTGTTGACCTCACTTGATCGTTCTTTCGCTGGTGGTTGCACAGGGTCAGCAGTGGTCTGCACCCGCCCATGAACCCAGCACCGCTCTTCTGGAAAAGAGCTCCCCCGTTTCAGAGCTCAGCAATCCCGCGGTCCGGCTGTCCGACCTCGCATGTCCTACCCCAGTCCGCTGTGCGTCGTGCTCAGGCCTGTCCTCGCTGGAAGCTCCACTTGATCGACTGAATCCGGTGGGGAATCGTGCGGTCTAGCCTTGCGGACGGGGGGCTCGTAAACCTGCGGCCGGTGCGCACTAGCGAGTACAGCAGTGGCGAAACAGTAACAAAATCAATTCGCAAATCGTAGCGGAAATGAGATTTGAGATAAAAATATGCACGGAGGCGACTGTCGCTCATGGACGGTAGCGCTTGAGAGCGACGCTTCCTCATATTAATACGGCACGAGTATCGCCCGTCCAGTCCGCCGTTGAGCTTTGCTTTTCCTGTTTCCCCCACATCTCCTCCGCTTCCGGCTATCTCCTCCCCCCGTGATTGCGCGACCTCTCCTCGCTTTCTCATCTTTCTCCTCTTCCCACCCTTCCACCGTCCCCCAGTCCATGCTCCATTGTCGACACCACTCGGTGATGATCGTTGTCCCCTCGGAATCAGCATGACGGCCGTGCTGGCGCACGAACGCCCGTTCTCCCCCGATCCTCTGCGGTCACCCACCACCCAGCGTTACTTTCTCCACGACCACGGCATTCCCTTCAAATCACCCATGCAAGATGAATACCCCGGGGACTGCCCCAGCCCCGTGGCATCCACTCTCTCCTGCGTGCCTTCGCCAAACTTCACTCCGACCGGCCCGGATCCTCTCTACACGCCCACCAACCTCAGCAGCCTCTCCCTTGACGAGAACGACCTGATCCTGCCCGCCTACGATACGGAGCCCAACTCCCCGGTTCGGTCGCAGTCAGAGGAGGAGGAGCAGTTCAAGGGAACGGATCTTCCCAGCGACACGTCGGTAGAGGCCGCCGTCCTGCCACCCCCCCGAGCGTCCGCGCACCCAGCCGCCGATGATACCTCTGTGGAAGATGAACCCTCGCGGCATGTGGACTATCTCTCGCATGAGTGGAAGGAGGAGGATATTTGGGCCTCGTGGCGCTATGTGACGACTCGCAAGAGCGATTATAGCAATGGCGTCCGGCTGGAAAACGCGTCGTGGAGAACCTGGACCAAGGCAAAGAATAACCTCGGGACAATCTCCCCAGAGACTCTAAATTGGTGAGTTCCCAGATCATTTCATCTAGTGGAGTGGAAAATGTGGTTTCTAACAGACCCCAGGTTGAAGGACTGCGACGTGACATGGCTGTATGGTCCCCTGAAGACATCGGCCTCCTCGGATGGCATGGCGTCGGATGGCTCGCCACCCCCGAGTCGGCTAGAAACCCCCAACTCCTACCTCGAGCGAAAACCTATCTTAAAGAAAAAGACTGCGTCCGAGACGATCTTGCAGCGGTCTCTGTCCCAGCACACCCTCTTGCAGCATGCTGGCGCTATTCTCAAGGCCCAAGAGGCCGCCAGTGGCAATGGCTGGACCCGTCCGCCATTCTCTCGATCAAGCACCGATTTGGATCACATCCACCATCGGACGGGCAGCTCAACCTATTCTCTCGGAGGCACCCTCACTGCCTCTTCCTCCTCGGGGTTGACATCCCCGAGCGAGCGAAAGCATATCCACTTCAATAACGAGGTGGTCCAGTGCATCGCCGTTGAGGCTAAAGAAGGCGACGACGAAGACTGGCCGCTCACCTTTGACGATGAGTCTTTTTCGGATGAAGGTGTTGTCATGATGCGCCAGATTTCGGGGGAATCATCCCTGAGCAACCGGAGTACGCCGCGTAACAGCTTCAGCAGCGACAGCAAAACTATCGCCCCGCTTCCTTCCACCACTTTGAAGTACCGCCCGGACACCCCCGACCCTCGCGAATCCATTCTCGACCGCTGGTCCTCCACCCCATCCTCCGCCTCGACATTATCCCCGACTCCATCCGTGGAAACCCTTCGTCCACCCACTTCCTCCGCAAACTTCCTGCTCGACGACGAGGACGAAGACCCGAGTCTCGACTTTACCGGCCATTATCGGCGCGATCAGCCGTGGTTTGTCCCCGAAGACGAGAACGAACCTGCCAGTCGTCCGATGCGGCTTACTGCTTCGGGCATGTTCATGCCCTACAGCGAAGGGGAGGGCGAGCCCGCGAGCAATGGTCTACTTGGCCGCGTCGTGGACACCGTCAATACGGCGCGAGACATTGCCCATGTCATCTGGAACGTTGGTTGGCGGCGGTAACGCCCGATCTGCTGACAGTCATCTCTGGTCGCAGAAGAGACCCTGTCCGTATGGTGTATGTGCCTGCTGCGGCGTCTTGCATCTTCCTGGAGTTTTTGGATTTATTGGAGTGGATTGGATTGGATTTTCACGGCCGCGCTTTTTATAGATTCCCCTGGAGAAAAGAAAACGTCTCCTTGACGTATAAACGAATTCCGTGGTTATGAGCAAAATAATCAGAAATGTAATCTGCAAAACCTATATTACTCGTGATTAATATTAGTCTACGACAGAAGTACTATAACCGCTTACTGGATTGGGGATTAATCTAAACGACCGCTGATCCGCTCGATCTGCCCCACAAGCCCCAGCACAAGCGCTCCTCTTCCCCCCCTCCCCCTGATCGAACGCCGCCTTCACCTCCGCGGTTTTTCCTCTCCCACGCACCCCGGGGGATTCACCATGGAGAACGTCAACGTCGCCGAGCTCGTGGAGCGCCTCGGCAGCGATGAAGATGCCGTCCGCAAAATGGCCGTCTTCAAGCTCCAGAGCAACATCGGCGACCCATCCTTCGCTGACCTCTTTATCGCCGAGGGCGGCTTGGTTCGTCTGCGCTATCTCACCCTCCATGCCAGCGGCAATACCCTCGCCTACAGTTTAACCAGCTTTGCGAGGCTGCTAGAGGTTGACAAAGGGTGGGAATGTGTGGACGCCGAATTGGTCGAGCGAGTAAGCACACCCCCTCCGCAGCAGTAAACATGATCTTCATGGACATTGTACCGACTGCATATCAAAGACTTGTCGATTGATTATTTGGCTCACAATTGCTTGCCCGCGCATAGATCGTCGAACTGATCGTCACTCACCCCCTCGTCAACATTCTCCGCGGCGCCATGTCAATCTGTGTCTCTGTCGTCTCACACCCGCACGCCGGCGGCCGCCAATCGCAATCGCTAGATATGTTCGGATTTCGCGCTCTGAAGCCCGCGATTGCAATCTACCCTCAGTTCCTGGAAATGCTGGTCAGCCGACTCTCGTCCGCGGATCATGCCTTGTGCGCCAATGCGCTGCAATTGATCAATTCCCTCATGCGCGATTCCATCACCTACGACTCTGAAGCCGAGTGGCCCAAATTCATCCAGAAACTTCAGGATCTCGGCGTAATTCGCGCAGTCTACGTCCTCATGCAAGATTCTGCCTTGCAGGATCTTGCTCACCCCCTCCTCGAGTTCCAGTCACTTACTAAGGTCCTTCTCCGGAAGTGGAAGGAGATTCCCCTGAACCAGGAGAAGCCAGAGCATCGCAGAGCGATGAAGGGCATTTTTCTGGCCAGCAGTCCGAATAAGGGAACCGATGAGGCTGCCGAGAATGGAGACGATACGAAGAAATCCAAGAGGCACCACCCTGATAAGTGGCAGCGGTTAGGGTTCGAGTCAGAGAGTCCCGCGGCGGAATTCTATGAAGTCGGGTTCCTAGGCATGATGGATTTGGCAGACTATGTGCGCAGTCATCAAGACGAGTTTCAGAAGATGCTCCTGGAGCACTCAACGAAGCCAGCTAGGCAGCGATGTCCCATTGCACGGGCTTCTCTAGCTGTGACGTCCATTCTCTACGAGCATTTTGAGGTGGACAAGTCGGATATGGATGATTCTAAGAACTATATGCTGATGGAGTCTCGCTCCAGTCTCGACAGGCTCTTCCGTCCATTGCTGCTCCACTGGACCCGACTGCATGTTGCAGGTCTTCAGGCTTTCTTCCGCATGTGGAAAGCCACAGCAGCCGAGACTGATGACCTGGACAAGCTCGTAGAGCTGGTTCGAATCCTAATCGAATCTGTGGTGGGTGGTGCATCCCGGACCAAAGACGTCCAAGACGTGGAAGAAGAGCTCGCCAACTTCGAATATAACCGCCTCCGCGAACTGCAAATGGAATTGCTCGAGCTCACCTACGAAGACGCCTGGGGTCAGCATCTACGTCAGGTCCGTGAGGAATTGCACCATGAAGCCCTGCAATTCGTGAAGGAACAGCGGATCCGCTGTCTCCTTCAAGGCGCTTGGTTCTCTCTCGAGTCGAATTCCAAATCCGGCCCCGGATCAACGCCCCGGTCGAATGCCTCGCACCAATACGTTCAACTGTCGCACAACCGACGGTATCTCCATTTTGGGGAATTCAATGCACTGGGTAATCGAGCCCCAGAGCTCGACGCCCTTCCGGAGAAGAGTGAGTCTAACGTTCCTCGTGACATCTCTAATGATGTTTCTTGTTTTTCTTTGAGGGGTTTGGGCACAATGACTCATCATATTCCATCTAGTTGATCTATCTACGGTCTCATCCGTCGTCTCCAACGTCTCCACAAATCCCGACAACGCTTCTTCATCCACCGTCAAAACCGCCCCTCGTCAAACCGCAACAAAGGTCACCATCCACGGCTACGCCCAATCCACAAGTACCTCCCACTCGAAGGGTCACAACAGTCACACCCGCTCAGCGAGTCGATCCACCCAAAAGGAAGTCGTCCTCCTAGTCCTCCGACCTTCCTCGCACAGCATCGCTTCCGAATGGTTAGATGGGCTGCTGATGCTACTCAACCAGCAGCCAATCACCGCGGAGACTACCAAACTGATCGATTTGGTGGGCAACTATGGGCTGAAGATTCGCCTTCTGAACGTCCGCTTCGATGACGCGGCATTTGCGGGCGAGGCTCCGCCTGTACCCGCGCGCGATGGTCTGGATGAGGATTACTACTATGATGTTTTTGGTGGGGCGTAATGTATAGCTGTTTCATAGCTGGTCTGTTTGTTTCCTCTTCTTGTTGTCCCTTTGCTCTTTCTTCTTCCATGTTTATGTTTTATTGGGGTTGGTGCAGTTGACGGATTGTCGATATATACCCACTGTGACCATGTAAGATACATCAATTGGAGTCTTTTTGTATACTTCTAACCTCTGCCCAATCTGCTGGTTTGCACCCAGCAGGCTGGCTCCCCACTGTCTGTAATCAGTTTTCGAACGTGGCTTCAGCTAAGCTTCAAAGGCTGATCCCTATGCCTCATTAGGCCGGTTTCATCTTGGCGAGGGCCATGCACTGGTTGCTATTTGACTAGCCTTCACGATTACCTGCTCGGTCCGGATGGCTGGTCGCTTCCCAAGATTCAATATGACTATGAATACCTGGGAGATCATAGGTGAGATAGGCCCAAACTGGTTCTTTTGCTTGTTTCGCTCCGTAGAAAAAGCATTCATCTCATTACTCGATCGTCATCTCTCCTTGGTGATGTCAGCTGATAATACCAGGTTGGGACGACACCACTTCGCTTTGCCTCCTCACGGGGCTATTCACTATGATCAATCTGCTTCTTCGGAAAATATTTAAATACCCTGTAGTGGATCGAGGCGGTTGGCTTGCACTGGAGTAGTGTTGGTTTGGCATTTCTTGTGTCGTATCAATTGTAAGAATAGACGGTATGTAGAGAGTTGATTAAAGTGAAGTATATATATCCGCACCACCTAGTATCCACATATATTCGAGATCCGCGCCACTAGGTACCAAAATAGAAAACATGAGAGCCATGAGAACAAAATAGGTGATCTCTGGCACCAGAGGCAGCATAGGCGTTAAATTAAAACCCATGCTTAAGCTTATATGAAAAAAATGTACTGCCAAATGTGATGCACCGTCTGGGCGACTGATCCAGTGCGGCGGACTGTTTGGGTGGATCCTCCCTTATCGCATTCCGCAGCAACTTTCGGCCTGGCTTCGACCTCGCCTCACCCATCATGGACGGTCGCCCTCCCAAACGACAGCGTCGGACAATCCCAGAGGAAACTACACCCGAATCGGCACCGCCATTAACGACATCCACAAACGCCCGCCCTGCGCTCTCGTCGCGTCCAAAAATTACGCGCCCGCGCCCAGCTCCGCCCAGATCCCTCCGAGATCCATCTTCCTCGCCAAAACAAACCAAGTCCAAGCCCAAGTCCCTGCACAGCTTCTTCTCAAAAGCCACCGAGGGCCAGCGATGGTCTGCGCAGAAGTTTGAATCGAAGCCGGCGCTCGCCCCTGCTGAAACGACGCTCGATGCAGATGAGATCGAAGACGATTATGATTCCTACGATGAGATCTTTTCGGAGTTGGACGCCGGAAAGCAGGCAGACACTCGTCCTGCATCGAAGCCCACTCGTGCAGTGCCGAAGAAAACGACAAGTGTGAAACCGAGGACTAAACCGATAAAACGGTTTCTTATGCCGCCGGACTCTAGTGTCCCAAATACACAACGCGGTTCTCGCCCGTCAATTGAAGAAGACTTGAGGCCTTGGGCACAGCGCTATGCACCGTCGGGGTTAGATGAATTAGCGGTCCACAAGAGGAAGGTCTCTGATGTACAGAAGTGGCTGGAGGATGTCTTTGAAGGGAGGCGTAGAGAGGTACGTCATAATCACTGAGCCAGGACAGAATGACCGAGGTGTCCAAACTAACGAGACCAGAGATTGCTAGTTTTACGGGGACCCGCTGGATCTGGGAAGACAGCAACCCTCTCGCTGCTCTCAGCGGTGCTGGGTTGCGATGTCATCGAATGGAGGAATCCCCCAGTCCCCGAATTCGCCTCTCAGGATTACGTCTCCTCGAGTGCCCAGTTCGAAGAATTCCTGGGACGAGGTGATCGGTTTGGCGGACTCGACCTGGAGGACGCGTCGGTAACACAGAAGCACAATGAGACACCCTCTCGCAATCGTCGCGTTTTGCTCGTGGAGGAGTTCCCGACAGTGTTGAACCGGAGCTCTTCAAGCCTCGCAGCATTTCGAACTTCCCTACAGCGCTATCTTGCAGCTGCTGCAGATCAAGCGTGGGGTGGGTGGATGCATCCACCTATTGTGATGATTGTCTCCGAGACATTATTGAGCTCGGCCTCCTCGATTTCAGATAACTTGACTGTTCACCGACTACTTGGACCCATGCTCTATAATCATCCTAGCACCACCATTATTGATTTCAACAGCGTAGCAGCCACTTTCATGCAAAAGGCCCTGCGATTGGTCCTTGAAAAAGAGTCCCAGTTCTCCAAGCGTGCTCGAATTCCTGGTCCTGCCGTCCTGGAAAAGATTGCTGAGATTGGAGATATCCGCAGTGCCATATCATCACTCGAATTTCTCTGTCTGAAGGGAGATCAGGCTGGGGCATGGAGTGGCACTCTTGCCAAAACGAAGAGGTCTCGAGGGAAGACGGCGCTCACGCCCATGGAACATGAATCACTCGAGTTGATATCGCAGCGAGAAGCAAGCCTGGGTATGTTCCACGCGGTGGGCAAGATTGTCTACAACAAGCGTCTGGATCCTAGCTTAATACCCAGCGATGCTACGATCCCTCCATCCCCACCAGGTCATCTAGTCGACTGCCGACGGCCCAAGGTCTCGCAGGTCGCGGTTGATGAATTGGCTGAAGAAACAGGCACCGATATCTCTACATTTATCTGTGCTCTTCATGAAAACTACCCTCCCTCATGCGACGGACCGAATTTCACCGATTCACTGAATGGCTGCATTGAGGCCCTCTCTGACAGCGACATCCTCGGCGCAGATCGCAGATCTAGTCGAGGAGCTCGCGGGGGCGTTGGCATCGGCGCTACATCACTCAATTCCGGCGTGGACATGCTCCGACAAGATGAGATCAGCTTCCAGGTGGCTTCGCGGGGGCTTATATTTGCTCTCCCCTACCCTGTCTCGCGGCGACTTACACCTAGAGCGGGACATGGCCGACCAGGCGATACTCATAAGATGCTGTATCCGTCCTCCCTCAGACTATGGCGAAAGACTGAGGAAATCGATGGTCTCGTCGACTCGTGGATGAGACATATGCTCGACCCCTTCAGCAATCCACACCAACATAGAAATGACACCAGCAGTCACACTGAATTCACGGGTGTCCGTTCCTGGAAGAAACTCCGAGTTGGCCCTGTCGCCAACAGAGAGTCTGGGAGCGACCATTCGACGCTGACAGTGACCATGATGCGACGACATGACGCGCTGTTAGACCAATTGCCTTACATGGCACAAATTAAGCAGAATGACCCGAGTGGCGTGCAACTAAAACAAATCACCAGCATTCGAGGCAGTCGTCTGGACGACGTTGAGGATGACGAATTGGCGCCCTCACAACCGCCGAAACCCAGCAGCAGTAGCCATGCATTTGGACCTCAATTGCCGCAAGAAGAAGAGAAACTGATTCTCAGCGACGACGATATTGTGGATGATGATGTACCATAAAATATAGACATAATGAATAATGCAGTGCATTTGTTGTGCCCAAGTCGATGTCGTTAGTCCCGTCCATCGGAGAGTACATCGGAGAAGAGTGGAGCCGTCCATCTTCCTCCGCACTTCCTCCAGTCCAAGCTACCCTCTTTCTCATCCCACTGCTCCCTCGACTCCTGCCCATCAACATTCGAGACCCCCTCACCGACGACCCCCCCCCCAAAAAAATACTTAGGGATAAGTATATATATATATATTATAGAGCCAGAGGAAAAGAGATTGGCAACCTGCACAACTCACATCTCCCTGCGCACGCCCGAGCGCATCGACCAGAGAGGTCAACAAAGCCACGCGAGCCGGAGTTGCCCCGTCGCGTGCGACAAGCAGAATGATTCATGACAATGACGGCCTCAAACGACGAACAGACAATTACAGAGTCCCCGAGAAATCCCCCGACGCAGTCGTAGCCGACCGCAATGCCACCGTGTCACCGTCCGAATCTACCTCCACAAAGTCCGGTCTGAAAGAAGACGCCAGCTTATTCGCGGCTGTCGCACAAGCGGCGGTTCCAAGCTGGGCAAATATGGTTCTGATGGTCTCATTAATTTTTGGGGGTTGCTGTGCGAATGTGAGTTCATCATTGAGACTCCGTGGCCTGTGACATTGGACTTCTCAAGAGCGGGAATTCACACCGGTTCAACAATCCAGGTTTTCGCCCTCGAGGCTATCATCAAGGAGCAGCCAACGGCTGGCCCTCTGATCACATTTGCTCAATTCGTCCTCTGCGCATTGTTCACCTTGCCGCATTTTCTTTCATTCTCCGCCGGACCAGTTACCCTTTTTCTTAGCCCGAGGGCTATTCCGCTGCGCTCGTGGTTGATCTACACCGCATATTTCGTTTCGGTCAATCTGTTGAATAATTGGGCATTCGCGTATAGAATCTCTGTCCCACTGCACATCATCCTTCGATCCGGTGGTCCGGTAGCATCCATGATTGTGGGGTACATCTTCAATGGTCGGCGCTACTCCCGTGGCCAAGTCCTCTCGGTGGCCATGTTGACCGTGGGCGTCATGGCTGCTGCGCTGGCGGACGCGCAGGCCAAAGGACAGTCTATCGAGATTGGATTAGAAGATAGTACTGCCATGATGACTACTGCGACCGGCTTCTCAATCCTTGCTTTGGCTATGATTCTGTCCGCATTCCAGGGTATCTATGCGGACAGGCTGTATGCCTTTTATGGACGGGACCATTGGAAAGAAGCCCTGTTCTACTCACACGCGCTCTCTCTTCCTCTGTTCTTTACTAGCTGGCCGCAACTATATTCGCAGTGGCGTATTGTTTCCTCATCGCCGTCCCTCCTTTCCCAGATGACGACAAGCTCAGGCTCAAACATAATGCCTTCGACCTCTTCCGGATTGTTCTCCAACAGCACCGCAAGTTATTTCTTGGAAATAGCTCAGAAGAACTCATCGTTTCATGCTATACTCGGCTCCATCCCGATTCAAGTGGCATATTTGATAATGAACGCATTGACGCAATACCTCTGCATTCGCGGCGTCCATCTTCTCTCCGCCAAATCTTCTTCCTTGACCGTCACTGTTGCGTTGAATATCCGCAAACTCGTCTCGCTCTTGCTTTCCATCTATCTCTTTGGAAATCAGTTGGGATCGGGCGTTCTCATTGGCGCCGTTTTGGTCTTTGTTGGTGGTGGATTGTATGGGTTTGAGGGGGCGAGATTACGAAAATTGGCTACAAAGAAGCGTCAGTGATATGGACTACTGGAGCTTGATTTTTGCCCATACCTTTTCTGTTTCGGGGTTTCATTTTTCGTCTTAACCTTCACAGAGGTTTTCTTTCAGTTAGTATAGATTCCGGACGCTTACATTAATCTGTAAATTTAGAAGAAATGCCCTTTTCTCAAGTGTTCAATTACAATTGTAAACCGAGTGCGGTATTCGGCTGGAAATAGATGGGATTAAGTAGAAGGCACCATTACTGGAGTGTGGATAAGGGAAGATATCTCTCAGGCATTCAACGTCATTCGATATCCTCATAGATACAATGGAAAGAAAACTGGAGCTAAAGCATACGGAACATGGTAAGACCCTTTCCGAGGTAAGATAACAGAGGGGAAGGCATTGCAGGAAGAGAGGAGGAAAAAACATATATCACGAGCATGTGCATCAAGCCCCATTAATTGTACATCCACGCAACCAAAAGAATCACACAGATCCCATACTCAAACGTGTGAATTCGAATTCGGATTAGAATCCAAATCACGGTTCAAACGCCTGCTTGCATCTATAACACTTCACCGACGATCTTGGCGGCTTCTTTGTATGTCTCTAACAGCCTCTCGCACTTCTCACGCTCGGCCTTAATGCCGTCGTCTTCGTAGAGCAGTTCGCCAAAGAGATCCTCCTTATACAATTCGCTGACAAGTCGATTCTGGACGACATCTTTGCTGTGGTTGACGAGTAGATGCATAATGGCCTTGGGGACTTGATCGGCAATGGTCTCGCGCACGATATTAAAGTAAGAAGAGATGAGACGGCGGATCAACTCTGTCTCCAGCATTTCCCGGTCCGTTAGAGTTGGCTCGGCATTTTCGTGGGGCTATTGAAAAGTGTGTTAACAGTCATCTGGGACACAATGTACAGTCTGACGAAATCAAAAACTTACGAAGACAGTGGCATCACCTCCATACTCAGGCGGAGCAATGTATTCCTCGGACTGCATGGGGGAGACCGCATTTCAGAGCGACGAAGGCTTTGGCTGATCGTGGGTTCAATCTGGGCGGACCGGTTTGATACCGGAGGAGCCGCATTTTGAACACCACCATCCTTGCCAAAGAAGTAGTTCAGAAAAGAGTCACGAGTAGTGTGCGGGCCACCGAAGCCAGCCGGATGGTTCGCATGTGCGCCGTTCAAGGTCGCAGCAATCCCGTTCTCTGCATTGCGGCCCACATTGGGCGACAGACTGCGCGCACCCTTTGTAGACTGACTGCGGATGGGGAGGTTGTTCTTGGATTCGGATTGAGCATCTTCCTCTTCCAGCGTGCCATTAACACCGTTGGCTGCACCGAGCTCCTTCATTCGTCGCTTCTCGCGTTTGCGCTTTTCTTCCGCCAGAACGGCTTTTCGCTCTTCTTCCTGCTTATTTTGGACGATCGACTGCATGGCGGCAGCTGCACCTGGAAAGTTCGGGTGATTGGTATTGATATAGGCTCTTTGAATGGAGATGAGAGACTCCACGTAGCCGGAACATGGTCCCAGGCGTTCGCGGAGGAGGTCGGACACAACCTCGATCAGCTTTCCTTGGAGACGAGGGAAGCGCAGCAGTTCCTGCGAGCCACATGTGTGGCAGATCTTAATCAGCTCCTCGTACACGAGCTCAACACATCGCTGGGCGGGCGATTCCAGGAGTTTGATCTGGGGCTTGACCAGAAGGTCGAAGGCCAGCTCTGGTACGAAAAGACTGGGACGGGGGCCTGTTGAATTGCGAATGGCAGTCCGGATGTCCGAAACGGTCAAATTATGAGTGGGGTCGATGGTTTCCAGAGAATTTCCAAACACCTCGTTGAAGATATAGTAGATCCGCGCTCCACCGCAGAGCTCCTTAGTTGAGATCTCGGAAGATGTTCCATCGATGGAAGAGATGAACGACGACGCAAAGCGTGTCATGAGCTGCAGAATCAAAGACCCGCGGTGCTCTGGGCCACTGAATTGCTTGTTGCCGTAGCTCGCCAATTCCTGCTGAGTCTGTCCCATTAACGTATTGAGACGAGCCTTGATATCCGGCAAGCGGTCACGGATATGAGACATCAGAGTCGTATTCAGAGTCTTGGCCAAGAAATGGGTACCACATCGGTTCGCCATGTTCCGATACGCAGGGTGATGACGGAAAAAGTCGGCTTCAGCTCGCAGAGCTTCCGCAAGTTCCTTTCCGGACTGGATGTCCTGCTGAGACCGGTTGACGACACCGATGAAGCCAAGCTTCAGGGGGTATACACGACCGGAGAGGATGTCCATCGCATTTGTACCGTGATCCATGAGATCCAGTTTGGACAGGACGCCGATTGTCCTTCGGCCCATGGGATCAACTTGCCGGGCGAGCTTCAGAGCTTCGGAGTTCACCAAGTCAACATTGGCTGGGGAGACGGCAAGAATGATACTGTTCGGTTTGGCAATATATTCCAGAATCAGGGTGCGTGTTTGTTTCTCAATATCGGAAGGTTGGTCGCCAATGGGCACCTTGGTTAAGCCAGGCAAGTCCACCAACGTCAAGTTGAGGACATGGGGGGAAAAGATTTTGAGGTTTATCGGTTGACGGTTGATTCCCTTGTTGCTGCCCGCAATTCGTGCTGTTTCAGCCTCGATCTCCTGCTTCACTTGGGCGAAATCCTCGAATTTGCGGCCCGGCTGGTGGTGGAACTCGGCCCATTCGTGATGGCCGGCCACGCTGGCTGCTGTATGTGGGACATGGATTTCGTCGTTTTCCGGCTTATCGGTTCGTTCACTTGGAATGTTGATGAGTTGCAAGATCAATGGACGTCGTGTGACGATGCCACTGCCGCGCGGCAAGAAATCTCGCCCGACGATATTCTCCAAGACCGACGACTTGCCGGACGATTGGGAGCCGACCACAACCTGGAGGATTTAGTTCACATGACGATCTCAGTATTACTGGAGGCGGAAAGGTGAGCACTCACGATCTGCGGCAAATCGAGAGAGTCATTGCCAATCGTGTTAAAGACCAAATCTTGGAGTTTGTTCACGGTGACGAGCAGATCCTCGCCTAGCGCTGCCATGTTGAGGGACGAAGGCTGGGCACCTGAGAGATTCCGGCTAGGCACGCGAGGAGAGAGGAGGAATCGGCAGGATGAAGCTGCCCTCGGGGTTGCAAACGAAGGTCCCTCGCGCCGTGCACGGAGATCGACCTCGGGGCGCTTGTTTATGGACGCCTTTTGCGCGGCACGTGATGCTGACTTAATGCGGTTACATAAGGTGACATGACGTCTTCCAGTTCCTCGCGGTTTCGAAGCTATTTACACACGGGGGGTTTTTGAAAACAACAGGATCACACTAAGAAACATCTAAAAATGATACACACAAACCTCCATGTGAGGTTTCAGGGGTTTATGCGTCCAGCTGTACGTAGTTGGCCGGGAACAGTCCCTGTTTGCCATTGTACTCGCCAAGCCACCAATCGTCATCCGGGAACTCCTGATATTGTTCAGTTAGTACACGGTCGATTGAGCGGTGGTCCCAGGGAGAAAGTGGGGGGCAACTTACCACATTGGTGATCTTCGCGTTCTCTGGGAAAGATATTTCGTTGTCTTCCGCCGCTTCGTAGTCGTAAAGCGCGATCGCCTTCGGGCCCTTGGAGCTAGCCGGGGCCGGAGCAGCTGCTGGAGCTGGAGGTGGCGCAGGAACGGCAGCTGGCACGGGCTCGGGTGCAGGTACTGGCGTTGGCTCCGGCTCTTGAGTGTGGTATCCAGCAGGGGCACCGTGCTGATCGTCCTGTAGAACCTCGACATAGTTCCCGGGGAAAAGGCCCCGTTCGCCGCGAGCGTTGACACCCAGCCACCAGTCCTCGTCAACCATATCAATTTCTGTCACAATTTCACCCTCCCGAAGTTCAATTTCATTGTCCTCAGCCTTCTCATAGTCGAATTGCACCTGAGCGCGGATTCCACCCTCGGCTTGGCCAACGACAGTGGCCTCGGCGGTAGCTCGGCCAAGGTCTTGAGTCTCTTCAAGATCCCTCTCATCTGGAACCGCCTCCTGGAGGCTTTGAACTGGCATCGTAGGAGGAGGAGAGTTTTGTTCCTCATGAGCATCAGCCACGCCTCGACCGACGGGCATGGCCACTCGGATAGGAGAGTTATCCTGAACAGGGGGTGTAGGGGGAGTCGGAGAGCGCGGTTGCGGGGGAGGAGTGGGCAAGGGCTGCTGAGCATCATGTTCTTCCTCCTCCGGCTCAGTAGGCTCAGTTGGACCAGTAGGGAGTCCAGGGACTGGAACAGGACGACTGGCCTGCGGAACAGGAGGAGGCGTGGGTTGGGCAGGTGGCGCAGGCTCCTGGGCGAATTGATCCCGAATTTCATGGACATGAGATGGAGGCTCAGCCTGTGCATTCTCCGGCTCGTTGGCCTTCGCATCGACCACCTGCGGAGCAGACTTATCCTGGACGGTTTGAACCGGAGCCCATGACTTTCCTGCGTACGAGCTCTTCCATTCGCCTTGGCCGCTCACCTGGCTCTGAATTGGGCGTGATGGCTCTGCGTCAGCTGAGGCAGGAGTTCCACCACGCTCCCTGGCCTTGCGCTCGGCCCAGAGCTGAGCTGGAGTCTTTCCTCCCTCGTCTGCAAAAGTGCGACTAGCACTGCCAACCGGCGCAGCGGTAGCAACAGCTGCTGAGGGTCCAGTAGGGAGAGGCGGCTTAGTGCCACCAAAGGCGGGACCACCTCCGAACTTATTGGCCACTTTGGGCTTTGGCAGAGATGTGAGGCGTTCGGCGGTCTCACCCGCAGCTGGTCGCTCGGGCATGTTCACAGGTTCATTCTGGGGCACAGGGCTCTTTGTGGTCTCAGGGGCAACTTCCGGCTTCTGGGATCGAGCTCGGATAGCAGCGATGTCCACTTTGCCCACGGGTTCATAGGATCCCTTGACCGGCGTCGGGCGGTCATCCTTGAGCTGCCCCGACTCAGCAGCCTGGCGCCGAATCGCCGCAATATCAACCTTACCGACAGGTTGATAACCGCCACGAACAACGTCAGCACTACTCTCGGGAACAGCGGGGGCCGGGTCCTGAGAAGATGGGGCCTGGTTCTCCGACTTCAATTGTTGCAGGTTCACGCGAGTCGGTTGATAAGCAGGTTGCACCTTTTCGAGCTGGGTTCTTGTGACCGGGGGTGCATCAGCTCCCCAGCCGTCATCGTCCACGCCAGCCGATGAGGTTGCGGGCTTGGAACGCGTTACCGAAGAGGCCGAGGCGATACCGCCAGATCGGGCCGGTGTGAACACGGGTTTGCTGGCAACTGGAGGGCGAGGACCGGCGGCCGTCGAAATGGCTGGGCCCTGTGACGCCGCCGAATACTTGGAGCCCGAGGAATCTCCAACACGTTGAATAATGCCCTCGGGAGAGAGGTCACCGTCCGTCCGAGCAGTGATCTGCACATGGTACCCCTATTTTGATGGCCAAGTCAGCATAATCGAACGTCGGGCATACCTGACGGAATTTCAGTCAGAGCGTAGGAAAGGATGATCGGTCTTACATGCAAGAACTTGGAAACGCTGGCCAGGTGGCTCGTGAAATAACCTTTTGTCCTCTCGGGGACTCCCTCTCCGCACCACGCAATCAAAACATTCTTAGGCAGTCCTGTGTTCGGATCGGTCACCTTCACATAGGCAAATTGAACTCGGCCCTCGGAGAACTCCTCGATTAGATCCTCCAATTCACCATCTATGGCGCGATAGTCAGCGTCAGCTTTGGCAAGCAGTGAGAATGAGGGGCGCGGGGTGGGAGGACACTGACCTCCAGTGCTTTGGACCTTCAGGACACTTTCTTTGTTGCCGGAATCTTGCTGAAAGGCATTGACGAGCGGCGCTGAGACGGAAAACAGAGCCCATTGGCCGAAGGTTGGCGAAGCCGCATTGCCCGTCGGCAATGATGCATTCACGACGGACTGGTAGCTCTTCGATATCGACGGTCCGTTGGTCGAGAGATTGAGGGATGCCATGGTGCGTGGCAGCAATCAGGAGGTATTGGTTTGGAGCGTCGTCAATGGAGAGATATGAGGAGAAGGGATTGGGGAAAGCGGGCTGATGTTGTCTGATTAGTTTAGGCTCCCAAGGCCTCTCGGTGGGTTCGTCTCAGCCGCTGGGGTGGCGAAGCTGGAGGGGTCCGAAGTGGTCAAGCCGAGTGCAAGGAGGGGCAGCACATACCTGCAAGAAAGGCCAAAGAGTGAATGGAATGGAGAATAGCGGGGGCAGGTCAGGCGGTGTCAAGCGGTGTCAGGAGCTCTGCGAGTCTTGTAGAGTATGTATGTGTACCGCAGGGGGGAAAGAGCTCAGAAGTGGTTGGGGGCAGGCGCGGTCCACCGACTGCTTAGGCGGACGTCATCTCCGCTCTCTTCCTCCTTTGATCTCTTCCATCTCTTCTCCGCATTGCCTCAGTGCGACTTTGCCTTTGATCAGAGAATTTTTTTTTTATAAAAAAAATACATTGATTCTTCTATCTTAGGTTTGATCTGCCCTGGTTATCTCTCGATTGAACACGGTGTTTACACCCAAGCCGATCCGAAGTACCCAAGGCCCAAGGTCGCAACGGCTCCACCGCGATCTGGCCCTGCGAGGCTCACCGGTGTGGATCACAAGGGGCCCGAAAAAAAAATATATAGATCGCAGCGTTTCCTTTCTCTTTTTGCCTCTCGACTATGAGCCAGTGAATCGCGAATAATTCTCTTGCGCTACACAACCTCGACCTCGTCCTCCGTTTCGATCCGCCGGTACACAGTAGAAGTCATGGGGTCGTCTGAGCCCGAGCTCGGTCTCGATCCCAATGCCAGCACGCCCAACGATGAACTTCCCCGATCCTTAGGCTCTGGCGAAGAGTCGGCCACTTCTCCTGTTCATGAAGAGCCTGTGCAGGACGGTTCTGGCATTCTCCCTCGAGACCAGCAGCAGAAAACGCCCACTTATGACTATGCCTACGAAAAGTCCATGAGTCACGCCGAGGCGAAACTCTTCTATCAGCACCACCAACAAGCCTCCAAAAGCGGCGAGAACCCGGGCCTCATTAGTCCAGTACTGGCAAGCCGGTCGATGACTGATCCGTCTGAAGACAGAACTACGGGTGCGGAGGCTCGCCCGTGGGGAAGTTCTTCGGTGCACGAGTCGGAATGGTATACAGGTTCGCATTCCGGTGCCGATGGCACACCGCAGATTAGCAGTGCCCAGGTCGCCGCAGACTACGCGGCTCGAAACCATGCCGTTTCACTCAGCGTGGCTTATGCTCAAGATCCGTACGCATCAGCTGCAGAGAGTCTCCAAGAAACTGGCCTGGGCATCGGTATGTCCCAAGGTGTAAATGGAACAGCACCAGGTGGAGATGCCGTCACCTCCGAGTTGAAGGCCATCTATCGCAAGATCAAAGGTCTCCTGGACCGTCGGTCCAAATATATGGAGCTGTCCCTCCAGCGATCTGGTGATGACCCCAGAGATCAGCCTGAGTGGGTTGTATATCCACCACCTCCAGAGCCCGCTTGGGATGATGGCAAGGAATATAAACCTGGGTCTGTTGGAGGCCCTGCAGACCTAACAGGAAAGAGGAGAAAGATGGGCGAAGACATCGGCGAGGACTTCGATCTAGAAGAGCTGATGCCTGTCCCCGGAGAGTCCTCTTATACATATCGCTTGGACCGTAACAGCGTTTATCAGGTCTACGAATCGGATGAAGCTGCAGATAAGCAAGAGCCTACTGTCCATATTCCGACATTGCGCGAGTTCTACATGGATTTGGATGCCGTGGTAGATGTCTCAACCGATGGACCGGCCAAGAGTTTTGCCTTCAAGCGTCTCTCGTACCTGGAGGGGAAATTCCAGCTATACACGCTTCTGAACGAATATCAGGAAATCGCTGACAGCAAGAAAGTTCCCCATCGTGATTTTTACAACGTTCGAAAGGTGGACACCCACGTTCACCACTCGGCGTGCATGAACCAAAAGCATCTGCTCCGGTTTATCAAAAGCAAGATGAGAAAGTCGCCAGATGAAGTAGTCTTGTTCCGTGACGGCAAGCACCTCACCCTGCGTGAGGTCTTTGAAAGTATCAATTTGACTGCCTATGATCTCAGTATCGATACCTTGGATATGCATGTACGTTTTGTTTTGGATCCTATCTACACAAATCCATTCTGCTCTTGTCCAGGCCTGTTCGCTCTCACACAGTCTTTGCTAATCTGCTATCCTCAAAGGCTCACACCGATTCATTCCATCGATTTGACAAGTTTAATCTAAAGTATAACCCGGTTGGGGAGTCTCGACTTCGTGAAATCTTCTTGAAGACGGACAACTACATCAAAGGTCGCTACCTGGCTGAGATTACCAAAGAAGTGATTTCGGACTTGGAATCAAGCAAATACCAAATGGTCGAATGGCGTATCTCTATTTATGGACGGTCCATTCAAGAGTGGGACAAATTGGCTGCCTGGGTGGTCGATAATAAGCTATTCTCTCCCAACGTCCGCTGGCTGATCCAGGTGCCTCGTCTCTACGATGTCTACAAATCAAGCGGCATGATGGAGAATTTTGAACAGGTCATCACCAATGTCTTCCAGCCGCTGTTTGAAGTGACAAAGGACCCGTCAAGCCACCCCAAGCTACACGTTTTCCTACAGCGCGTGGTAGGATTTGACAGCGTCGATGATGAAAGCAAGACCGAGCGTCGCTTCTACAGGAAATACCCCATTCCGCGAGAATGGGATACCAAACAGAACCCGCCATACAGCTATTGGATCTACTTCATGTTTGCCAATATTGCATCTCTGAACAACTGGCGGAAGCGCCGAGGGTTCAACACATTTGTTCTCCGACCACACTGTGGAGAGGCTGGCGATCCGGATCATCTGGCTGTAGGCTTCCTCGGCTGCCACAGCATCAGTCACGGTATCTTGTTGCGTAAGGTTCCCCTGCTCCAGTATCTGTACTATTTGGATCAGATTGGCATTGCAATGTCGCCACTGAGTAACAATGCGTTGTTCCTCACCTACGATAAGAACCCCTGTGCCAGCTTCTTCAAACGAGGACTTAATGTCTCCTTGTCGACCGATGATCCTCTTCAATTCGCCTTCACGAAGGAGCCTCTGATTGAGGAATATTCCGTCGCCGCCCAGATCTACAAATTCAGCGCTGTTGACATGTGTGAATTGGCCAAGCACTCTGTGGACCAGAGTGGATTTGAGATTGCACTCAAGAGACGATGGCTTGGTTCCGACTGCAGTCTCCCTGGCGTCGCTGGTAATAATGTTGCCAAGAGCAACGTGCCAGATATCCGCGAGGCATTTAGACACGAGACCCTCATGGCAGAGTTGTCCTTGTAAGTCAAACGCCCTGAAAACTAATCCCACGAGCGCCATCACTAACCCGTGGTTCTTTGACCTGTTTCAGGATCGAGCGGTATTCTGAAGGCCCAGGAGTCGAGGAACGCGGTGCATTGGCCCCGGGGTTGCTGCACACAGCCAAGCAGGCGTCGGTGAAGCCCAGTAGGTCTTGACTATTCTGTTCGGTGTTGCACCATTTCTTCGAACTTGTTTGCAGCCGACTTATCTGGCACGAGTTGATCAGCTTCCCCCGAATCCGTCCAGCCAGCATCATTCAAGCTCCCAGGTTATCTCAGGGGTTCCGATCTAGAGGCGCACATGAGCGGTTCCAATGCCGATGTACAGGTTGTCTCGGACATCCCATTCGCCACGGTACTATCGACACAGAATATCGCATCACCTCGAATTGCTGCGGGGGAGCTCTGTTCGTCTCCTAGTAGCACGAGTCTGCTTGGAGCAGACGTTACAGGTCCCGGTAATCTCCCGGAGCAGAAGATCTTTCCAGGAATTGTTCATGAATCGGTTCGGAGGGAAAGTCTGCTTTCTCGGTCATCTTTGGAGTCTCATGGTCATTGATTCTCCTTGATTCTGCGGGATCAAGCGGGGCAGCAGCCGGGACTACTTTCGGGTTCACTTCATCTCTTGTCACTTACACACTTTAGCAAGATAGTTTTGAATGACCAAGCACGTTCAAACTGCATCAAAGTTACAAGTCGGCTTCAATTCCAACTGCTACTAGAAATTCAGATTATGTGTGCATGTCCCTTCAGACAAGCAACAAGCAATATTCATGGGAGTTTTTCAGCCACTTTTCTTAAGTCCAGCTTCTTGTATCAATTTAGAGCGTATAATTTGGCAAGAGATCATCCAGCCATGGTTGAAAAGTATTGTCAAGATTGCAAGCAAATTATTTCATAACCATCTAGGTGCGCTTCCAAATGCAAATATGTAATCTGCCACGCCAGGTATGGCTGATGGAGGGTGGCGTGGGCATAGATACAAAATAAACCAGATTGATACTTAGGACTTCAGATTGCCCAACTTCCTCGTCGCTCAGGGACTCCCCAAGCTTCAAAAGTGTCATCTTCCGCCATGCTCGGCTGCTGTCGAGCCCATTCACGTATGTAGAGACGAAGAGCCTTCCAACGAGTGCAAGCCGCCGTTAGATCATCTTCAGGTGCCATAACGTACCCTTTAGCATTGGTATGCAAATCGTCCCGTCGAAGATCGTCGACGTGGATTCCTGATATTCGGCTGAGCTCATGATCATAGTAGCGAGCAACACAGGGGTAACCAAGAGAGATATAGTTGTAGATCTGCGTGACAAACCCATCATGGAACTCATCTTCTAGAGACTTTGAAGGGTTCGTGGGAATACTGCGGGGCGTAGGTTGGTCTGCCCAATCTTTTCGAGCCACGCGAGAGGTATGGGAAGGGCTGGGGCTCATCCCGGGCTCATCGTCCAACGCCATAGGGGTCATAATGCCGGACAGGGTTTGCGTTTCCCGGTCATGACCCTCATCCTTGCGACAAGTGCCCATCCAAAGACCCATCTCTCCGCCACCCCCCGGGCGAGTTGGTCCACACCAGAGACCACCACACCCCGTGCATGGGTCTGATTCTGCCTGTGTGCCACTTTCCGCGCTGACCGTTTCAGAGAATGTCCCCTGCGGAGAGAGACTCTGCGGTATGATGATATCATCTCCTAGCATCGGGGGGTTGGGTCCCGGGCGTTCCCCAGACCTTTGCACAGAAGGCTTCAGGTCCGGCTTTCTTGATGATGCCATTATCCTGAGTCGTTGCTCGGCTTCTTCTTTGTGTTGACGCATATACTCCAGCTCCCAGGAAAGGTCTGCGGAGGACTGTCTGCGGGATTTGATATGATGCTTGGGAGGATAAATACAATCTTCTTCTTCAGAATCTCTGGTCTCCTCGTCAATGGCAAAGTGATCGACGGGCTGGTAATTCTGCTCGTTGGGGAAGGCAGCCAGTGTCTGGTCCTTCAGTTGTTGATGTGCAGATCGAGCCGCAAGCTGGAGCAAGTACTCAGAAAGCCCACCTTGGCGACTTTCTTGGAATAACTGACCGTCCCTTCGAAGTTCTGGGTGTAAATCAACTAGCTTCTCTGGAGCTGATGACGATGAAGGTGACTCAGAAGAAGCATCGGAGTCTTCACTGCTATTCGATGGAATAGATGGGAGATCTGGGACTCGAAATGAATGGCGCCGTAATTCATGCCGGCGGAGAAGATTTGCGTATGAGAATTTCGATTCTGATGGGTCAAAGATTCCACGGTTGGGACTTAGTCGAGATGCTCTGCCAGGTGCATCTGGCCGATCCCCTCGGAGCCGTGCATAACGGGCCGGTGTTCCTTGGGCCGAACGATACTCCGTCTCAATTATTTCGGGTTTGAACCTTCTGGGTACTGTAGAGGAGACATGTGGAGTAATTTTCTGCTTCCCTATGGAGGATCCTCGATGGCTTGTCTTTGTAGTTTCAACGGGCTCCGGCAGGAGTCTCCTGCGAGGTCGGACATCTTGTGAAGCTTCTTTGGGTGACGAAGGGTCGGTGCTGTTTTTTGAATTCGGAATGTGAGAGCTACGCGATGATGTCTCAACAGGCTGTGGTAGGAACTTTCGGGGAGGATGAGGGGATGACACAGAGTCTCCGTTCGCTTCATCTGTTTGTTGTTGGCCCGCCACTCGTGGGAGTGCGGCGAGTGAAGACCCAGGTGAGGAATCATTCGACTGCAGCTGCCCCGTCGGTTTGTCCGAGGCGGATTGAGGAGGTTCGACAGGCGAATGGCCCATATTCAATTGTGGCCACGCGGTCCTGGACCAAATTCACACCATGCTCTAGTAGTGTTGACAGGCGCAGGCTAACATGGACAGCGGCATGCCCCAGGGTCCGGACCAAGGACAAGGGCGTAGATAAGGGCCGTCACACGAGAATCAGAATGCGGGGGACAGAGAGGGTAAACAGGACGATCGGACCTCCTGCTTCCTGACTTCCCCGATAGCTTCGCCAGGTGGGGCCGCCGGTGTGAAGAGAGAATCGGAGGCGGAGACGAGGCGGTCAGGCGATGTACAACAATCATTATCGAATGACATCAAGCGCGATAAGATAGCGCCCAAAAGTTCGAATCGATCCTCTCCCTCCACAACTAGAATGATTGCACCTCCAACACTCTCAGCTCAAATGGATTCGGAGAAGCGCAAATTTGGAGATGATGACGAGGGCCAGCCGCCCCCCTCGCCCAAACGACGAGTGATTGGACCGTCGCTCCCTTCGGCCGAATCACGGGAGGCTAGCGGCAGCTGCAGCGGCAGCGACGACAGTGACGATAGTGACGATGACTTTGGTCCCAGCTTGCCTCCGCCGGACGGGGCAGGTGCGCCAGCTGTACCAGAGTCCGCTCAAACGGAAAACCCTGGGCCTGAGTCTGCCAAGGGCGAAAAAGCAGAAAGCCGTCGAGACCAATGGATGCTGCAACCGCCAGAGCATAGTGACTGGGCATCCAAGATTGATCCAACCCAGCTACGGAATCGAAAATTTCAGACGGGCAAGACCGCCCGTGCTGCCACTGCGTCTTCCAAAACTGTTGATGCTTCCTGGGTCGAAACTCCCGAGGAGAGGATAAGACGGCTCGAGGACGAAGTGATGGGTGTGGGTGCCCCATCGGGGGGTGCTCCGCAATCTAAGTCTGAGAAGAAAAATACAACAAAGGACCGCTCCATGGAAGAGAAGATCAAAAAGTTTAATGTACGTCCTGAGAACCCACAATTTTCGTTTTTAGAGATACTGACTCGCCCTGCAGGACCGCTCCGGGAAAAATCGACGTCTGGAGAAGCCAGAAAAAACTCGAAAGGAGGAGGAAGATGACCCCAGCATGCGTGCATTTGACCGGGAGAAGGATATGGCCGTATCTTCAAAGATCTCGAATGCACAGCGCAGGGAGATGGTGAACAAGGCTAGTGACTATAATTCTCGATTCAGTAAAGGCAGTTTTCTCTGACCAGGATGCTACCAATGATTGGTGGGTACCTTGTTAGCGGCGCTGGGTATTTCTTAGCTAGTCTATATACCATCGACTATGCAGATTTTCAACTGCTAATAGACAACCTATGGTAAAATACGATCTTATTCAGACCAGTCAGGTTGAGACTAACTAGCTGGATGATTTCTTAATAATACTTTGACTATCTTTGAATTTCAGTTTTAAATAATTATTAACTTATTTGAAAGGATATATATTAGATGATGATGATGATGATGAATTTCATTTGCCAAATGTAGCTCGCTCTATATATATGCTGCTATGTAGATATATCTTAACTAGATAAAACTATCCTTAGAATTAGTAAACTGTATACTATTAACGTAATCCACAAGCGAGTCGGCACTTTCTCCGTCATCACTAGAATATTAAAGCATTTCAACCACCAACGCCATTAAATTAGACTATATAAAAGATAATATAAATAGCTACTTATTAGGACAGCGTCTTATGGTATGTCCAACAGTCCCGCAACTACTGCAGCGTGCTGGAGCTCGCTGGCGAGGCCTGGATGCCTGCTCCTCAACCTGCTCCTCAATATGCGTATCAAGCTGCTGGAGACGATTTTGACCTTCCTGTACAAATTAAATAAGGTCATTACCTAGGGTAGCACGCCTCCTTGCCTTCTTTTTCATTTTCCACTCATTCTCAGCCCGTAGAACCTTGATTTCTTGTTGAAGAAGTAGGTTCGCATTCATTGCCATCTGCGTGGTCCTCAAGATGTTGAATATGAGACATCGGACTGCTAGGTTTCCTTTTTGAGCGCTTCTCTGTATTCTGCGGATCTTATGATCAAGCTGGCGAGGATTCTGAGGTGTTTGAAAAGCAGAGGAGATTGAACTTTCAACTTCAACAAGAGATGATGTTGGCGTACGAAGCTGGAAAGTAATATTTTCAAGAACTCGGTCTTTATCAAGTGGCTTAAGACCAGCACCTGCAAAGCCATTGCATATATTCCCTTGAGTAAAGACCCTCTCGCGCGCGGATGGATATAGGTGGAGGAAGTCTTCCTTATCAATATGGTTATTGCCGGCAGCCATCATCTCCTCAGTCAATTTCCCGTACGCGTTCGACCGGCCCAAAAACACCAACATCCAGTGATTGAAGAAGATGAGAAGTATGGGGGGGGGGCATGCAGAGGCAGATTATTGCATTCTCTTTGCAAAAATCATCAAATTCTGCAGTCAGATGACTAGAATGGCCATCAAGAATAAGCAATCTCGTCGCACCAGTTAAATGTTGTTTTGATTGTGGTTCAAACATCTCCTTTAGCCAGCGAAGGCCAATCTCATTTGTCGTCCATCCATTCTGGCTTCTTGCGATAGCGTAGCCCTTATTGAAGAGAGCAGATTCTTGATACCAAGCAGCCTGGTGTTCTTTTGCTTTTAAGATGATCCACGGGGGTATAAGGATCCCTTTCGAGCTCACGCATTCAATAATTGTGACCCATTCTCGATTCCCCTGGATAACTCTTCAAGGCCTTTCACTACGCTCCACCGCAGTGATGACCTTGGAGGTTGAACAGAGTCCCATTGCAAAGCCAGTTTCGTCAAAATTCCAGATATCATCCTCATTGATACCATGTTCCTGAATAGCTTCATGCACAGTCCCAAACCACTGTTTCATAACCATCGGATTCTCCTGCTTTGCACGCTGGTATGTAATCCTCCGATTATATCGTGTACGTAGCGCTGGATGGCGTTTAACAAAGTTGTATGCCCAGTTAACACCAATGGTTGTGGTAGGATCCTGGGTACGCTCACGAAGTAAGATCTGCGCCATTCCACGCAGTAACTCAGGTCAAATCGACAAGACTCGTTTATCTGCGTCTAGCAAGTGCTTGATCAAGACTTCTTCTTCATGAGCTGTTAAATTTATGGCAATTGGCACGCGTTTCCGACCGTGATTTCATTTCCCTGAGCCGATCTTGAAGGGTTGACCTTGGTACGCCAAATACTCCAGCAGCTTTTGATTGATATTGGATTTGCTTGCTTTTGTACGCGTGTATGGCCATTTGCATTCGGTTTTCTTGAGATAGAGGCATTCTGAATAGTGGTGGTGGAATAATGTTGCGTTGAATAGTGCTTGATGTTGGTGCTAGGGAAAACTGCTGACTCGGTTGTGGATTACGTTAATTTAAAGATTCGTTTTATCAATATAATAATGATGTTTTGTCATAATACAATTATAATAATTTCAGATCTAACTGAGAGAAAATAAGGAAATTTTTGTTAATGTATAAAATTTAAATGTGGGGAAAAAAAGAAATATTAATTAGACATAAGTAAATTAGGTTGCATAATTTATTATAAGCTAAATCAAAGAATATTTTTGATAATGTAATCTCTAAGATATTTGTATAGAAAACAAAATTATAAAACAAATGTTCATAGAAAAAACAACAAATAAGGTGATAAAGCTTTAATATCAATATAGTTAATCTAAATAGAAATATGGTAACTTAAAATATATAACTCTATTAATTATCTCAGTTTTGTTTAATTAGATTTAGGAAATTTTATATTCTATAATCGATACTATATTGATAGAGCTGGATCAAGATAGAAATAATGTCAGCATTTGGGGTCTATGACAAAGCGAGTCATGTGCTGGATCCCAAATGACGTGGAAAGATAAGATGGGTGAGAACAGATGATGAGATTGAGAGGAATTGTCTCTCAGGGTCTAACTGAGTATCTGCCTGTCTAATTAATAATGGGATCATTCTCGTATAAATAGACCGAAATGGAAACAAACAGGATAAACACGGTAGAAAAGAAAGTGGGGTAAATACAATAAATCACTCATAAGAAAAAGACGTTTGCCTTCTTCTCATCCGTGGGACCACTCTCTGATAAACCTCAAGTCCTAGCCAATCAATCTGGTGAATTTGATCGCAGCCTTAGAAGTTAGGTGTTGAACTGTGTTAACTTCCAACATACCACTTATTTTTCTTTTGAGAATCGTGATTCTCGAGTCCTTTCCATCCCAATCTGCTCAATGAATCTGGCATGCTTTTCTCGAGAAAACCGCTTAGTCAAACCATCTGCAGGCATTTCAGATGATTTAACCCATTTGATCTCGAGTCTGTTTGCCTGAACTTCCTGTATTATCCAAAGTCGGTGAATGACATGATGCAATTTGGTCTGAAAATCTGATCTTTCTCATGTTATCAGATCAACAGTCTGTTTGTTATCACATCTGATTAGGAATTGATGCTCTGGGTCAAACTCGATAAAAGGGAACAACCTCATTGTCCAATATAGCTGTTTACTAGCCTGCAAAAGGGCTAGTAGTTCTGCTTCCGTGCTCGAGGTTGTTATCGTTCTCTGTCTTCGGGCCATCCAGTCAATCGGGCCGCCAAACAAACAGAACATAAATGGTTATGCAGAACGCTATGAGTTCAGATTCGCATATGAAAAAGCGATCAAAAAACACCGAGTCAGAAATCTGCTTTTCGGCCGAAAAACCGCGGTGCTTTCTCATGTTATCAGACAAAGAAAACATTCACTCTTCACGCCCATGGTTCAGAAAAGGAAAATGATGTATGGGTGTGTTTGATACTGGTTCCACCCTGCACATCTGTAATAACCTCGATCTTCTATCTGATTTTCAACCATCAATCTCGACTGTTCAAGTTGGAGATACCCAGACGACTGGGTAGCCCGAAGACAGAGAACGATAACAACCTCTGTCGTCGGAAAGGGTGTCATTCGCAAGTTCCCATCATCTGTTCTCACCCATCTTATCTTTCCACGTCATTTGGGATCCAGCACATGACTCGCTTTGTCATAGACCCCAAATGCCGACGTTTACTATCTCTATAATAATATCTCAAAAATTATAACTATAAGAAAACTAGGTATAGGATCACTAGCATAAGATATAGTAACTAGTAGAAAAGTAAGCTTTAAGTGATTTACAGGTAGACACTGGATTTTCTAGATGAAGAGTATCATAATAGACAGTGTTATAGGATTAAAGTCCCGTTCATATTTAATTTTTTAAATATTATCTATAATTTTGGAAATTATTTGTGGAGTTTTGGGGATATAAACTTCTGTCGGGAAATCATACGTGATTACCCTTGAGAGTGACGGCCGATAGTTCATCCGAAATTCTGAATACTGAACCCTCCCTATGAGTGGCGTCCAATATATTGAAGCCACCTTAGATGCATGGCGTTTAATGTATCGAACTACCCCTGCTCGTGCCCCTTTTCATTGCATATTTTGTTTGCACTATTTGTTCTATTTTCGGTCTATATATATCTACTTAGTTACATCATTAGTTAATCAGACAGTTCTATCTCTTTAACTGAACTCACTCTTCTTCCACACATTCCTGGTTATATGATTTAGCATCAGTCAACTTGCTTTGTCATCGCATACCAGCGGATGCTGACAACTTCTTACCTATCTTGGTTTCCAAAAAATTGGTACTAGAAAAATAAGAAATATTAATAAATTGTTGGAAGTCAAAGTAGTTCAACACCTGACTTCTAAGGCTGTGATGTAATCCTGATCAGCTCACTGGGGAATAAGAGAGTTAGCTCGTGTGTAAAGGGGAAAGTACGAAATTTACCCCGCTTTCGCTTATATTGTTTGTCTGCTTGTTTGCTTCTATTTTGGTCTATTTATATGAGATTGATTCCAACGTTAGCTAGTTAGGCAGTTGAAGGTTCTCATCTCTGAATATTAGCTGTTCTCACCCATCTTATCTTTCCACGTCAATCGAGGTCCAGCACATGACTAAGACGAGTCATAGACCCCGATTGCTGACATAAATTTATGCTGAAGTTACAGAAAGCTAAATTAATATCTGTAATATAAATTATTATTAGAGCTATATTTTTTGTTTATTTTTATAATCTCTTTTATGTAGAACTATTCATTCTTATATATACAATTTTCAGTGCATATAGTATCTATCTGATTGTATATAGAGAAATTATTATC